TGAGATAACATAACCGTTGATAATCGTTCTTTGTAACCTCTATTTGTAACCTTCCTTTGTAACCTCTATTTGTAACCTCCCTTTGTAACTTCCTCTTGCAACCTTTGTTTGTGATCGCTATTTGTATCATATATTGATAACCGTTGATTATAGGCTTTAAGTAGCCACATCGTACTCTTCGAAGACCCCTCAATAAATCAATGAAAATGTTATCTTTCAATTATCTTTACTTCTTGTATTGCATTTTTTCTTCCTTAGATGTAGCTTTCCAATTCGCATCGTCGATTGAATTCCAGTGTATATCTCTATCATAGGTGTCGCATCATCGATTAAATTCCGGCATTACATCTTTGCATGTTCACAAGTTTTGCCAGCATAGTTTGTGTACGTGTGTTCCTGTGGCTATATATTCACGCTTTGTCGTCGATTAAATTTTGGCACGATTTATATGTACAATTAAGTTCAAAGTAAAAAGTTTGCTAATTTTTTGTTTGCCTGGATTTTTCTTGTCCCCAACTTGCCACAAAACCTGTCTCCTCTCACTAAAAGCTGAAGAACGACTTATATTTCGTAGGAAGAGCAATTCCGACAAAACAATTCCTATATTTTGGATTCACGCGTTCAGGTATTGTTGAACATCAAGCTCAATTAAGTGCAAGAAAATATCGTATTCTTTTCGTTGCATTTGCTCAATTTACATCCAAACTTTACCTAACAAAAAGAAAGGAATATCCATGCGGTTAATTGCGTGATTTTGGAGTTTCTTGCTGAAATTTTTGAAAGTGAAATCCAAAAGTGTTGCGGGTTTGATAAAAGCTGAGGATCACTTCAAATTATTGGTTCACGTGAGCGCATCAAAAGAGTGCATTCCTATATTTTGGATTTACACATTCAGGTATCGTCAAACATCAAGCTCAATTAAGTTCAAGAAAATGTTGTATTCTTTGCGTTGCATTTGCACGTTTGACATGCAAACTTTACCCAACAAAAAGAAAGGACTCATGTTTATTATTAGACATTGCGATCCTGTTCACACAAAAAGCAATCGAGTCTGAGAAGCACATGCTTAGCACATGAGTATGGACAATCACGTAATTGACACGTGAACATTATTACGCATGTGATACTTTGTTGACAATGTCAGAGATTGACATTCATCAATGGACATCAATACGCATCCGTGGTACGTATTCGGTTGTTGATATACGACGACGAACATCTAGTAAGCATCGATATAGATGTTAGTGATGGGCGAACAACAGAATGTAGATTTTGTTCTTTGAAAAATGAAAGACACACGAGTATAGTCATCGGTTGAGACGAAGAAACCAGGATGATAGAGTCTCCAACAAAGATCTACTTGGAGAACATTGAAACACGACCACGAAGTTCAAAATCAGCAAAGTAGTTGAGCGCGAGAAAACGTCGTATTCTTTTTTCGTTGCATTTTCACGTTTGACATCCAAACTTCACCTAACAAAAAGAAACAACTCGTGCTTATTATTAGACATCGCGAATCCCTACAATAACCGCGGGAAGATGAGGCCAATCGCGTGGATTTGGAGTTCCTTGCCGAAATTTTCGAAAGCGAAATCCAAAAGCGTTGCGTGTTCAGGCAAAAGCCGAGGATGACTTCAAATTAATGGATCACGCGAGCTCACTGAAAGAGTGCATTCCTATATCTTGGATTCACGCGTTCAGGTACCGTCCAACATCAAAGCTCGGCTAAGCTCAGGAAAACGTCGCGTGCTTTTTCGTTCCATATGCACGCTCGACACATCCAAACTTTACCCAACAAGAAGAAAGAACCCGCGTTTTATTATTAGACAATTGCGATCCTTACAATAATCGTGGGAAGATGAAGTCAAATCGCGTGCATCCGGAGTTCCTTGCCGAAATTTTTGAAAGCGAAATCCTAAAAGCGTGGCGTGTTTAGGCAAGAGCCGAGGGAGGACGACTTCGATCAGGAAAAGATTCATTATGAAAAAAGTGCAACAAAAATATCTCAGCAGAGGCGCCCGTCCAAAGTTAAATTAAAAGTCCTCGTTTGACCAAAAAAAATGGAAAAGTTAATTTAAAGCCTTGGGATTAAATTAAATGTTTTTTTTTTTGCTGTGAATGGGAGTAGGCATCCGTTTCATACAATCACACCTACCAACCGCCTATATAAAAATCGCTCGTAACCCCTTCTCTAGATTGGTCAAAGTAGATGTGCTCGTGCGACCCCCTTGATCCGACACTGAACCGGTTCGGGGGCCGTCCTTGGACCGTGCGCATTGCCCCTGTTCGCGGTCCACCTACATTTTGGTCGCCCGTTGTCTACTGTTTTCGATCGTCATGCCTGTTATTATATTAGGAAGGCAAAAAATAATTTAGAAAGAGATAGATCGCGGCGTCTGACGGCATCGCACGGATGAACATGCGAACGGCGTACGCGATGCTTCAATCGCTTAGAGTCGGATCCTGTCTAGGACGGTTTTTTTTGTTTTTATTTTGTTTTTGAGCTCTCCAAACTTTCGGTTAAAATGTTTTTCTCGCTGTCGATTTCTTTTTTACGATAATGAAAAAAAAAATCTAAAATGCCTAAGATTCCATTTCCACTGGCATTGCGGCTACGAGCTGCAATTAGAGGTAAACGGTTCTAGGTTTCGCTCGGATTTCACTTGAAATCTGGTACCTATTCGTTAGAACAAATTTATCATTTTTTGGAACTTGAAACCTACCGTGCATACCTTGCAACCTACCTTGTCACAGGTTCTAAGGTTAATTTCAGGATCAATCCAGTATCTGCCTGTATTATTAATCGAACGATTACAGTGAATCATCATCTTTAATGACCACTGCTAATCACAAAATATATCTAGACACACGAAGAATATAAAACGTTAATAAGGTAAAAGTTTCACTCATAAAATAAAAGCTCAAACTAGTGATTTTAAATCATTGGACACCATGGAATTGACAGAAATCAAGAAAAACACAAAAACTTGTTTCAGATTTCACTTATCTAGAACCTCAAATCTATCCGTCGAAATAGATTTTTTAATTTTGAAATCTGAAATCTACCGTGCATGTTCTAAGACCAGGAGTCGGATAGGTTCTCGCTGGTCCGATATCCTGCACCGCTCACCCGCAGGCTACGGGCCGTGGCTGCAACCCAACCGCACAGCACACCATGCTTTGACCCGACCGTTGACAAACCTGGACCGGGTAGACCCGACCCACGCGAATCCCGCAAGGGGGGGCGTCTCTCCGTCCCTCGCGCCGCCCGAGGGCATTTGCGTCAGATCCAACCCGGAGCCTCCACTCACGTGTCGAGCGCCCGCGCGCGTGCGGGCCGGGGGGGTGACGGGGGCCCCAACGCAACAGCTCGGGGGCGCAGGCGATTGGCCAGCCAAGATCAGATGCGGTGTCCGCGCAACGGCCGCCCGCCACGTGTCGCGCATTCCCGACAAAAGTCGTTCTGCAGGCGTTCGGTGGGGCCCCGCGCGGAGCACCTTAGGCGGGACCCACCGAGAGGCCACCATAAATACGTGACGCAGCTGCAGTAGCCATTCCCTCCCCTCACAAGAACGAAGAGAAAAGAGAGAGAGAGAGAGAAAGGCCGGCTTTTTTGAGCGGCCCGTAGAGAGGGAGAGGGAGAGAGAGAGATCGTAGGCGCAGGCGCTTCGTTCCGTTGGCGTTCAGGTATACTTCGTCTCCCTCGCACCTCCGGATCGGCTCCGATCTCCCCTTTTCGTTACCGCCCTCTGCATCTCCGGTGTTGGTTTTTTTCTGGCGTGAATGCGCGTGCGGCTATGGCGCTTCCGCGCGTCGACGTCGTCGAGAGCTCGAATGGCGTTCGGTTTAGGGGGGCGAGATCTAGGTCGCATTGCGGCGTTCCTTCGGGGTCGATGATGCGGATTTCCCCTCCGGCTTTCCCCGCTCTGTGATTTCTGTGCGTGTGCGTTCGTGTTGACGTCGTCGATGCGCGATGTTTTTCCGGGGCCCGCGACCGCGCTCGGTCGCGGCGCCCCGCTTTTCGGGAATCGCGGCCGAGCTCTCGCGGAATGCACAGCTCTCGCTTGGCGATTCCTTTCGTTTCGGTTTTTTTTCTCGCGTGTTTTGTTTTGGAGTTCTTAGATCGTAGATGCCTAGCCGGATCTCATGCTCTTTTTACGATGAACAGCTTTAATTTCTTCAGGTCCCCTTTTCGTTTTCTTTCTTCTTCTTCTTCTTTCCTGTGTTCTCTCCCGTGACCTCATCGTCTCTTTTCCTGATGTGCACAGCACGCCACGCACCATGAGTCTATTCCTCCGAGTTGGTGGTTTTCCTCCTTTTTCCATCGTTTCCTTTTGATAGAGAAAAAGGTGGAGATATTTTGCGGGCCTCGGATGGCCTTTGTCGCCTCGGAGCGCACGCTCTTTGTCGGGGACTCTGCATCTTTATTCGTTTCTCGATCGGACCGATGCGTCAGGCGCGCCCATGTGACCGGTCGCTGTAGCAGACATTACATCGCATGTCTGCATCGTCTTGTCTGATAAAAATCAATAAACAAATCGAAGCAGTAGGCGCCGGGATCGTTGCCTTCGGCGGTCCTTCTCCCTGGTTTTTTTTTTTTTTTCCTCTTAAATTTCCTTCGTTTTCACTTGGTTCATTCTCTGCTTAGATTCAAGTTCAGCTGTACCCGATTCCATTTCGTTACATTTTTTATGCGGGCGTCGGGGTCTTTCGTTCGGCCTGTCCGTTCGCTCAAAAGAAAGGAAAAAAATGGGTCTCCCCCTTTTTTCCTTTAATCACATTCCAAGCAAGACAATCTTGAAACTTTGGAATGGGGGCGAAAGTCTGATTCGGCGGTTCGCAGTTTCCTGCGAGAAGACGCCAAACTTCTTGGCTGGCCTCTGGTGTTCACTCCGGATTTTATGGTCCACACAGATAATTTCTAATTTCCCCCGAAAAATGGGGTTAATCACCCACTAATTAATTTTTTATTCTTTTTCCTATTTATAGTCCTGCCTTCAATCATGGGGAAAGTTAGATCCTTCCCCACTCAACCTAGTATCTGTATGACCGAAAAAACCTAGTATTTTGGAAAAGGTCAAGCGTCTGATTTGGTTCTAATTTGTGGTGCTTAAGTGGGTAGGTGATCGTTACTGTTGCTGATGAGACGATGGTCAAGATTTTTGGCTCCTCTGGGTCGCAGCATGATTTGTTTTTTGTTTTTTTTTTTATTCTTATAATGTATTCATTCTTTTGAGGGGAAAGAGCGGTGTTTTCTTCTTAAAGAGGGTTAATCAATGTGCCCAAAAATCTCCGGGCCTCATTTTGTTGACCGATACTTTGAAATTGGTTCAGTTAGCCGAGGTGAGAGGACCTCGATTGTGACATGTCTGTGGTAGACATCTAGAGTCGACGCTTATTTTGCTGCTTAGGGTGTCCAACACGTACGGCTCGTTCCTGTTCCAACTGCCGTTCTTTAGAGGCGTGATAAACGTCGTTGCAGATTTTGTGGAGTTTTTGGTAGGGTCTTCATATTCTGTGATAGTGTCCAGCAGTAGACGGCACTTTGCATCTCCCACCTGTAGTGTTAGGCAACTGCTGCTTTCCCCAGTTGGCGGACGAGGAGAGCAGAACCTCTTGACAGGAAAATTTGGCAACCTGGATTTTCTATTATGTCGGAACTCGTTAGTTGCTTAGCACGAGTTTAACACCAGAAGGAAGCATGATCATCCCACCTTACAAAGAAATGAAACTAGTTGCTGCCATTCCAAAGCAAGGATTGGCTTCATTTCATGTCCTGAGCGTAACCCAAGTCCATTTTATAGGGTATACCTTTTCAATCATTGCCTTCTTTCTTTGAGGCTGGACGCATCACGGGTTAGCCGTGGTTGAGATTCTTTTTCTTTACGAACGGTTGGGTGGCGTGGGCATGCGAGTAACTCTACTGATGAAGTAATTCTAGCTTGAAAACTTGTGCCATGAAGTAATTCATGTTTTTGGTCCTCTTGGCAGAATGCTGCGACTAAAAGGTAAAAAGCATACAACTAGAGTTTTCCGTTTTGTTTTGCGTAGTGGTTAGGTGAGGTAAAGGTCTTGGATTCTATCTTTGTTAAAATGGTGCTTCGCCCCACATTGTTCTGGCATGGACGGCAAGAATGTGCTGCTAGGCAAATATATGATGGTTTAGCATGGAAACATTGTTTCATAGAAACTTAAGAGCTGCTTTGGTTTATCTCCTTCTCGATGTGAGAGCAGATGATAATGCATGAATCTTCTAGCACTAAGGCAAGGACTTGCTTAGCTGTTGGGCCTCTGCAAGCCTTTATATTAACAGTGCTTCTTTGTTTTATCTTGGTGGGAGGGAACAAGGAGAGGAACTGTGAGAAATAAAAATTTATTAGATGCTTACATTGATTGAGGCTGGAAATGGGTGCCTCTGGTATGATCACATACTTGTACTTTATTAAAGTAATCGTCTCGTAGATCCACTTTCAGTAGGAGAACTTTACTGTCGTTGCATTAAATTATTATATCTCGTTCGAGAAATTACAGCTGCATCTTTGCTCGATAGTGCATACAGGTAGCAATTTCTTTTGATTGGACTGTTTGTGGCTGTTAAACAGAAACTTCGGTAGAGTTGAAGACATTTATAGTGAGGTTTATTTACTCATTTCTTTTGTTTGGTACTTTTGTATGTGCAGGTCGTGGAACGATGGGTGCAGGTGGCAATATGTCAGTTCGCCCGGCGGTGAAGAAGTCAGAAACCAAGCTTCACAAACGAGTTCCTTCTTCAAAACCTCCATTCACGCTAAGTCAGCTCAAGAAAGCCATCCCGCCTCATTGTTTCCAGCGATCTGTTGTTCGCTCATTTTCCTACGTGGTCTATGATTTGACCATAGCCTACCTCTTGTACTACATTGCTACCACTTATTTCCATCTCCTTCCCTCCCCTCTTTCTTACCTAGCTTGGCCCATCTATGGGTTCGTGCAAGGCTGCATTCTGACCGGTGTCTGGGTCGTGGCCCACGAATGTGGCCACCACGCCTTCAGTGACTACCAATGGCTGGATGACCTGGTTGGCCTCGTTCTGCACTCGTGCCTCCTCGTTCCTTACTTTTCTTGGAAATATAGTCATCGTCGCCACCACTCCAATACAGGTTCCCTTGAGCGTGATGAAGTTTTCGTTCCGAAGCAAAAGTATCAGATCCCATGGTTCTCAAAGTACCTAAACAACCCACCAGGCCGAATGATCACACTCACCATCACACTCACCCTTGGTTGGCCCTTGTATTTGTTGTTCAACGTTTCTGGTAGGCATTATAGTCGATTTGCCTGTCACTATGATCCTTACGGGCCCATCTATTCCGACCGGGAGCGGCTGCAGATTTACATATCTGATGCTGGTGTTCTCGCGGTCACTTATGGGCTTTACCATCTTGCTGCAGCTAAAGGACTTGCATGGGTTATGTGCGTCTATGGAGGACCCTTGCTCGTTGTGAATGGGTATCTAGTGTTGATCACTTATTTGCAGCATACTCATGCATCGCTTCCTCATTACGATTCTTCCGAGTGGGATTGGCTCAGAGGAGCTCTAGCGACCGTGGATAGGGACTATGGCATCTTGAACAAGGTCTTCCACCATATAACAGATACTCACGTAGCGCATCATTTGTTTTCTACAATGCCTCACTACCATGCCATGGAGGCCACCAAGGCAATAAAGCCGATTTTGGGAGAATATTATCACTTTGACAAAACTCCAGTTTACAAGGCCGCGTGGAGAGAGGCTAAGGAGTGTATTTATGTCGAGCCCGATGAAGGCGACCAGAACAAAGGCATATTCTGGTACAGGAACCAGTTGTGATGACAATCAAGAGCTGGAGCTGTGTGTCAGGATCTGCGGTTCGGTAATGGGTTCCCTCCTCCACACTCTAGATTTGTATTCTGGTTATGTCAGATTGGTTGCAATTTGACTTTTAGTTCTGCTTCACTTCAATAATTTCGTTGACCCCCCAAAACCCCAATTCATTATAGAAGGAAATTGCATAAGCATTCAAGTTGAACTTTTACTGTCTTCCTAGTCTCTTCTTTTTGACAAAATTCTGAATGCCGTTGTGGTAGAATCACATTTAAATGATGATGGGGAACTAATTTTGTGTGCCAGTTCTATCCACTTCTCTGCATTTGCCAACAACCATTTATACCAACAATGATGCTGATGCCAATGAAACCAAAACATAACAAGTCCTCAACTGAGTACTAGTCTATGTTTCGGTGAATGTAGAAACATAATTTGACCAGCTGAATTTCCTGGGATCAGAGCTTCCGACATACAAACGGATCTGATATCAGCATTGAGACAACAATAATACTTTGTATTATAATGTGCAAATATCTTGATTAGCAAATTGACTGTTCTGATGAATCCTTCTCTATAGCTGCGTTAGTAAGTACAATCGATCTTTGACTGGTGACATAAAGTTTCTTTGATTTGCCTGGACGGTTTCCTAGGAAAACAAGAAAAAATAAGGGTGAGAAAGGACACAGTTCACCTTGGATTATGGGGAGTTCATTCACGAAGTTTAATTCCGAGAAGGTTAAGGCTAATTACAAAAGCTTTTCCAAAGTACACATGAAGCATGTTTGTCCACATATATCATTGTTTCGAATGTACAGATCGTATCGAAAGAAAATATCGAAACCGAGAGGGATCTTATTGAACAAGTTGTAACGCCTTTGTTAGGGTGTAAGCATTGCCGTTCGCCAATTCAGTAATCTAGTAACTCAAAAGGAAAGACGCGCTGAGCACGAGAGGGATTGGTGCTGTTGCCCTTCGCGACTGCTTGATACTTGGTGCAATTTGAATGAAATATATGCTTATATAAAATGTCTTTGGCGTATGACCATAACTATAGCTTGATTTACTCTTAGATTGAAAACAACCTAAACAGCTGCATATATTCGACCAAAAAGCCATGGTCTCGCTCTTTGCAAGCCCTATTCAAGCACTTTCCGAAGTTGTTGTACATGTACGTGTTCATTCCATGGATGACATGAGATCGGGATCGGAAATGCGCCGGTTAGGCTTTTTTCTGCCTTTCTTGGCATCTCGTTTTGACGCAATCTGGTGCATGGTCTCACTTTCATCTGATGTGGGTTTTGAGGACTCCTCATGCGAGCCATAGTGGTCTCTATCTAACCACGCTGAAACACAGAAATATTCGTCATGAGTGAACTAATTTTTCTTCAGTGACAACGTTACCTTTCCATTTTCAGTGACAATTTACCGTAGACAAGAACAGGGACGGGTCGACCCGCTCGGCCCATCCAAGCCCGCCTAAGCCCAAGGCACAATCTGGATGGGCCTGAACAATCGGATTTTTTTAATTGGGCCTGAACCTATTTAGGCCCATGAAGGCCCCGCTCTTTTTAATAAAAAAAAGTTACTTTATTTTACAAATCACTAAAATTTGTAAGTTGGAATATCTATGTGAGCCTCATCGAGGGATCGATTAACGTCATCCTGTCTCTCTCTTGTTCCTTTTTTCTTCCTTGACCTTGATGTCGAAAATTTGCCTGCCCATAATGTCGCATCGCTATTTTAGTTGTGTTGGAAAAGAACCGCATTCAGTAAACAAAGCGATTCAGGAAAATTAATAATATGAAAGGGAAATTGCGAAGAAATTGAAAATTTACAGAACCGAGGAAAAATGATTATGATTAACCCTACCAGATTAAAATCATCCTCTCCACTAATTATTTACCGTAAGTGCAATTTCAAAATCTTCTGCTAAAGATTTTTTTTTTTCGAGAAAATATCGATATCCCTACGCTTGACTACTACTTCATAAAAATGAAAAACAAAAGGGAAAATAACGCAAATGATCGTGAACTTTGACTCAAAATGCAACGTCGTCCTTAAACTTTTAATTTGTTCAATGCGGTCTCTGAACTTTAGCTCAAAATGCATTGTCGTCCTAAATATTTAGTTTTTTCGATGTGGTCTCTGAACTTTTGTTACATGTTTAATTTATTCCTTGGACAACATGAATTAATGCAAGGATAATATTAGAAATCTAAGGACCAGATTGTACACTTATCAAAAAATTCAGGAACCACATTAAATGTATCAAAAGTTCAAATACAACATATATTGGGTAAAGTTCGGGGACCACTTGTGTAATCTTCTCAAAACAAAACTTTTAGGGAAAGGGCAAAAAAGGGATAATGACATAAATGGTCCCAATGTGCATCGTGGTCCATGTACTTTTAATTCTTTCAATGTGACCCCTGAATTTTACCCCAATGTGCAATGTGGTCCTTCGACTTTTAATTTATTCAATGCGATCCCTAAACTTTTGGTACGTGTTTCAATTTAGTCCTCGAACTATACGAAAACGTTCGATGTTTTCCTTTCGTCAATTCAATTTCAAGGACGACATTGAACGTTTTCACACAGTTCAAAGTTTATGGACGATATCGAACAATTTAAAGTTTTAAGGACTATATTATATATTGGATTGAATTTCAGGGATGATATTAAATAAATTAAAAATTTAGAGACCGTATTACTTATTAAGTTAAATTTTATAGATTATTCGTGCTGTTTTTATTTAAGGAAAGAAAAGGGGGGAAGAGAAGGCAAGAAAAAGGAGGCCACGGGACGAGAATGCCGGAGGGATCCAGCTCATAATTGAGAAGTCGTGCACCCCCCAAAAGTCGTCCGACTCGGAACCACGTCAACGGCTCCAACCATCCCTCCCTCCATCCATCACTGCACACTGCACTTCTCCTCTTCGATGGTGGCGGTGGGCCCCCCCCCCCCCCCCCCCTTCCTTCCGTCAGGGGCTCGCACGTAGCCACGTGGCGGTTACAAGGGCCCCCCCTCCCCACATAAAACGACAGGAGGAGGAACCCCCCACGATGTGGGACCGGCACGAGCCTCGTGTGACCTCCAATTGATGACGACGCCAAATCGCACTATATGCGCCCCACCCTAAGGATGTTTGTTGGGTCCCCTCCTAGACAAGGCTCGCTTTTTAACCTTTGGCTCCAGCTCGTTTCACTTTTGCTGCGCTGCTTAGCCGCTGCGTATCTCGCGCGACGAGGCTTGTCAACTGCTAGCGTCTCAATGGAATCGCGGCGAACAGCCCGCCGAACTCCAAATCTCCTATTCATTGGAGGGTATAAAACATTCTCACGGCTCGAACCGAACTTTTTACGACGGACGGATGTGATGTGAACAGCCTATTCAAAGCATAATGTTGCTAAGAAAGACGACGTGTACAAGAAGGTATGTTCTTGTGGCGTTCGAATGTATATGGCGTCCATTCCCCCTGCTCTCGCTCGCCGATAAAAATGGCCGCGTCCGCACCCAACTTACAACGAGAGAGGAAGGATATTTTCTAAGGTCCAATCGCGCCTTAGACCGATCCCGTTCCTATAGATCCTCAAACAGACGACGAAGAGCTAGTCGTCTCCGGTTGCTCGGTGCTCGGTGCAATTTGTCGCCAATACATAAACTATTGCTATTTACGATGAAATTTTAATCTGAAGATGCAAACTTTCTTTTCTTTTTTTGAATCTCATTTGAATATATAATCAAATCTCCACATCGAATGAGGAGATTATAAGCTTCTTTGAACTTACAGGTTTTTGCAGCGTCCTGTCCGGCCTCCAGAAATCATGCGGCACGGAATCTCCACAGCACCGTGCACTTTGCAGAGACGTGATCGCGGCGCAGCAGATGATCCCGACGTTCACGTGCGGATCAGACGGTTACGGTTTCGTCTCGGGACCCCGCCACGTGCGCTCGTACGCGTCGATGTGGTACACAGGTTGTACCGAAGTCAATACTCCCCTCGCCGGCCGGCCATGATCCTCCGCTCTCTTTTGCTCTTTTTGAATTTCGGAACATTTTTTTTTTGTTGCATTTCTCCATTCATTGCAGCTCAATTTGGATTTCTTGTAATTTTTGGAACATAGTTCGAGAGCGTGAAGGCGTGGATTTCGGGTTTTGGAGACTCGACCGCTCTCTTTATTTTTCTTGTTATTTCTCGTGTCATTGCCGGTCGGTGATGAAAGAAAATTCAATGATCGAGTGCTCGTGGTCATGGAAAATGTGCATCGAGGGATGGTGCTATTTCAAAGCTGAATTTGATCCCATGCTACTACTATGTTATGTCAACATGGGAGGTGACTTCTTCTAAGTGAGAGTGACTGATTGAGGAGGTGGTTTGATTTAGGTGGGAAAAAAAAGGAAGTTTCCTGCTAAAAGGAAGAGGTATTTTTGGTACGTGTCGGAGACAAATTCATGGTCCACTCTTTCTTGGACGGATTATTAGCAAACAACAAAATAAAAATTGAACGATTGATTAGGTCCTGATATTTAGTTAGGTTACTATCACAAAAAAAATCCAAAACTCTGTTCACCGGGACATAAATACCGCGAACTTTTTTTGTGTCACCAAAAATCCTAAACTTGTGCATTGTGACATAAATACCGAAAACTTTTTTTTTCGTCTCATAAAATACCCTGAATTTATACTGGTATGACAAATATGGATAGAATTGAAATGGATAGTATGTCTGTCATACTTGTATGAGTTTGAATATTTTGGTGACATAAAAAAATTGTGAGTATTTGTGTTACAGTAGTCAAGTTTAGGGTTTATGGCGACACAAAAAAAGAAGTTTGGGGTATTTTTGTTCGTATAGTTTGGAGTTTTTTGTGGTAATTGCCTTAATTATTACTTGGACAAAGATCATGTGTGTGCATATATATCCTAAATAGATAGGGATTACAAGGTTGAGGAGTTCAACGTAAGAAATGATGACACACGACACATGGTTCCACAACCACTACGCGGATTCATATGTAAGGAGAGTCGAGGATCTTTAGTCGTACGTACGTACCCCCACACGAGCCTAGTATGACTCACTTTTTGCCAACCCTATAACACAGCCGAAGCTGGTGGAAGCGGGGCGTGCCGCGTCGAGACTCGACTGATCTGGAGGTTCGTGGAATACCGTGCAAGTCCCGTAAACCGATTAAGTTCGAATGTTGGGTGTTGGGTCTGTATCGGCGGCCCCGACCTAGAGTAGTTTGCATGCGATTTGTGGGATTCGAACGATTATCTATGATCATTACAAGATTTCAAAAGGTCCCTTTTTCTATACAAACAAGAAAAAAGGCGAGGATAGCACAATTGTTCGACACTACATAAGGTCCTACATGTTCTTTACAGAATATCGAGTCTGAGTCATGACTAGTTTGGACCGTCATCCGCGGATCCGAGGGCTCGTCGTGTTGAAGGCCGTCTAGGATCGACCAGCATAAAGCTATGCATACAAGCACACTACTTTTTTAACATAGACTTTATATATATATATATATATAGATTCATAATACGAGTGACGCGACGTCCAAAAATCAGATATACGAGCAGGAAATTGTCCGGAAATTTGTAGTTTTCATTGAAAAATAATGTACAGATATTTAGTAAGATACCAAGTCATCTGATTGCATCTGTCCATGCTAATCACCGATTTAGCTTTTAATTAATTCCCAACATTGAAGCCGTCCAAAGTTCTATAAGGTGATTAAACAATAAAAACCGTTAGCAAGTCAATGTGTATTACTAGATCTTACTCTAGAAGGTTAACCTACAAGTGAAAATATAATAGGGGATTTGGTAAGAAAAGGTCTTGATTTCCAAGAGAAGAGGGTCGATTTGGTCAAGTGATCATCAACAAAGAGAAGGCATGAAGTTCTTTCTCAATTTTGACTACCATGTCATGTTATATAGTCTTGCACGTTTCTTGCATTTGCTCATTTTATTCATTCTTGTTTTTATTTTTTTGCTATTGGCTTGATAATTAATTAAGAAAATCCCGATATCCAGGGGCAAGTAAAGGCCTCTACAAACCCTTAGGTCGAGCACAGACTGTAAATAAGAATTCGAGCGGATGAATTTTATTCGAGTAACTATAATGGTCGCCACCGCACATATCCGGTCCAGTGTTGAGAAAGTTCGGGATGGGGGTCACGGGATCGATTTCCATGAATCGTCAAAGGATAGAAGAAAGCCGTATCGTTTTGTAAATCTAATTTACGGGCCTTTTTTTTATATATCGCGGGATTATTTTATGATGAATCAATAGTCTGAGGGCGTTCTTTCATTTGGTGAATGAAGAGGGGACCAAGGTCTGGTCTGGTTCCATTTGTCAAACTTCTTTGCATTTCAAGAGACAAAGGATCAAACGATTTCCTGTTTTAAGGACAGGTTGTTTCTGCTTTAAAAATGTTGTATCATTCATCCTCCAATTGTTTTTTTTTTTTTACCTTAAAAAAATCTCTATGCCGTGCTCGACCATGTACATAAGCAGACTCTTTCTTCCTCGCAAACAAATCCACACCTCTCTCTCTCTCTCTCTCTCTCTCTCTCTCTCTCTCTCTCTCTCTCTCTCTCTCTCTCTCTAGCTGAGCCATGGAAGAGATGATCTTCAGGAAAGAAGCATGCATCCCAAACCCTAGCCCTTCGCCACTCGCCATGCGCAAGCGCTCGCGCACCATCTCCAAGGCGAACGGCAAGCCCAAGATACGCATCATCCACATCTTCGCGCCGGAGATCATAAAGACCGACGCGGAGAACTTCCGCGAGCTCGTCCAGCGGCTCACCGGGAAGCCCTCCGAGAGAGACGGCACAAAGGGCAAGGCGAGAAGGATGGCCGAGAGGGTCGACCCGAGAATGATGATGACGGAGAAGTACTCGCCGCCGATCGCCACTGGAGTCAGCTGGGACGCACAGGATCAAGAAGAGGAAGCGGAGGGTCGCAACGGCGATTCGGGGTGCAGTGAGAGGATGAAGATGGAAGAGGAAATGCGGAGAGCTGAGAGCTATGGTGGTGGTGGTGAACTGTTTGGTCGTCCGTACGAGGAATTGGGTAGCTATGAAGAAGAGTTTCCTTTGTTAGCCGTGGATCTTTCTCACATGCACGCCTTTGAAGCTGCTCAACTTGCCTGACCAGTTTAAGTCGTAATTTGCAGAATTAATCACGTAGTTTCTAGGTATATCCTCGAACTGATCTTAATGATTCCCCTCTTCAGAATTTTTGGTCTCCAGGAGCACGAGAATTGTCTCTATCGATTTTCATTATTGCTTACTGTAAATACAGCACTTCTGCCGCGGACCGTGTTTCTGTTTTCTCCTTCCCCCATTTGGAACTTTTATGCTGCTCATGTCATTTCGCGGAGATATTTGTGTAGTTTTAGAATGATTTGGTTTGCCTCATCTTGATGAAGAACTGGTTCTTGTCCCTTCTATGTTTGGGCCGCTCTCTCTCTCTCTCTCTCTCTCTCTCTCTCTCTCTCTCTCTCTCTCTCTCTCTCTCTTTCTCTCTTTCTGAGCTAAACCATTGTTTATGAGTGAACAGTGCTGTGCAAGACTGTCGATGAAATTTGATTGATGAACTACTTTGCTTGCAAGGCTCGATATATATTTTATCAAATGCGTAATTTTCTATATAACCGAATAGTTCTCGACCATCATTCGCTTGTATAAAGTCTGTGTTAGAAAAGACATAACTAGGGTTAATTTAACGTATATATTATTATGTCCATCTTCATCCCCATCCATTCAAATGAACTTTATTTTATTTTCCAAAAGCATACGCCACGTCCTGCAAATCTTCTAATTAGAGTCTCCATGGATCTTCCATTCTCACAAGTCCCACGAGAACAGCAATTATCATACCTCAACTAAGGAATTCTTCCTGTTACGGCCTTAGGCGGTAATAATTTGGACCCTCGGTACACACTTTTTCGCATCATCACAAGTTTATTCGCATACCACCTTGCGCGTGGATGTACACGATCGAGCGCACATGTCTCTGACCGTCTCGGGCTCGATCCTGATTAGCGAGAGAGGTTGTTGGCATGAGGATAGACACGGTTTTTGGGATGACATGCATCGACAACGAAGGGAAATGTAGATAAAAGGTGCTTTGGCGAACCAGAGAGGACAGCTATGGAGGATGAAGGCTGTTTTAGGATTATCATATTCTTCTGCTGCATATGATAATCCGTATGGAGGGTTGGTGTTATAATCGTTTCTTTGACTTGTGATCCAAAGTCAACTTCATGGTAAACTCCATATATGTATGTATGTGCAAATTGCAATAGAATTTTGGAGGACTAACGTGTGGATGTGACCGAGTTTAATCATTCATTATTACAAAATTCAAGATGACAGTGAGACAGGACCCGACCCATGAAGCCATGATTTGACTGTGGCCTTCAACTTGCTGGGTATTTCTGTAGTTTGATTGGATCGTACACCTAATTTTGTGGAGTTATATTTGTCTGGCATAAGGGGCGTAAAAAGAGGTTCCATCCAATTCTTTTTTATTGACTTTGACCCGTTTGGTTCAGCTTTAGGAAGGAGTTTTTAACCTCGAAAATCCCTTTCCAAAACGCACTTTCCGAGTTTGAAAAGCCGAAAGTTAGCATTTGGAATGCTGAAGCCTTTTTTTCTCTTCCCAAATTGCCCTCACTCAAATTTCAATATTCCGATTTTGCCCATGTTACTGTTCATCTTCTTCACCCGAGGGTGGCCCCTGAGAGTGGCCGATGAAGGGCCGGCGAGGGCGGATCTAGCCAGCAAAGGGCCGGCGAGGGGCCGGCGAGGTCGCGCGACCCAGGCGAAGGCCACCTAGGGTCGGGCGACCGCCCAGGCGCCATCGCCTGGGTCGCGCGACCTCAGGCGACGTCGGCCTAGGTCGCTACCTCAAATCCACCCTTGCTGGTCACATTTTGGTAAGAAGATGAACAGTAACAAGGGCAAAACAGGAATATTTAAAATAAAAATTGCCAAAATCCTTTGCAAAAAAAAAATTGCCAAACACTACTTAGGCCAAAATAGCTTCACAATTTTTTTTTACGAAACGCCACTTGCATTTTCCCAAGTGGCTTTCACCTAAAGGTATTTGCATTCCCCCAAATAGCATTTGAAAAGTCGAACCAAACGGGCCCAATTTGCAGTTTATAATAGAACTGTTAAAAGGGGGAGCTAAGCTGGTAAGCAACCCGAAGGAAGGAAAAATTATGCTATCGGTCATAAATTCATTGTATATATGTTAATTCAATTATAAAATTTTCAATCTTATAAATTTAGTTCTAAACGTTTATGCGAAATTTCAATACAATTCTTTTGATCAATTTCATCGGATATTGATGACGATAGCGATTTAGTCATCGTCGGTCATCCTACGTGGCACACTGTTACGTCAGCAATTTCCGATAAAAATTAACCGGAAGGACTATATTTGCGCAAATATTTATGACTAAATTGGAAAATTTGAAATATTTATAATTGAATTGACATTGTATATTTATGATTGATTGGATAATTTTCCTTTCGAAGGAACCATAACTTCATCCCCTGGAGAATATTTGAAATTTTTTCCAGAGTGAAAACTAGTATTCTTTTGAGTTCTGAGAGAAGAAATCAATTGATTTTCCATAACGATTATCTCATATATTCACAAAGAGACATTTGTTTCTATTCTTTTGAAAGCAATAATGACTTTATACGAGACTTAAACCTTGTGGTTTCCACTTTCCAGTGATCTATAATTGATTGTGTATATTAGGACTTTGGCGGTTGGTATTCAACTTTTATTTGATATTGAACACTTCAAATGGATAAAACATATCAGTAATGACTTAAAAAAAGGTCATAATTAGTATTTTATTACATATAATTTATGAAAATTAAAATAATTATAATAACTTTATCAGGCACCCAGTGATTTTTATGATCGTGGACAAGCTGTACTTCTTTTGGACTTCTTCTTTCCTTTGATCTGTGGGTAAGTTGAATCTCGAAGAGCACGTGGGGGCAATCTTTTCTCAAGATGACAAAAGATTGTAATCATTTGAGTTACGAAATTCTAAGTAATTCCGCAATGTTTTAACTTTCTAAGCTGTTTCGCAATGTTGATTAGATGTTAGAAACGTCGTCAAATTAGTAGGACGCTTCTAGAGCATTTGATTCGTTAAACGAGTTCGAATTTCTCGACAAATTCGTAAAGTATCAAAAGTCGCGTTCTCATGTCATGTCAATAACCACCATCCGTAAAAAGTTGTAAGCGACTTCTAAACCCGAAAGTTTGGCCATGTACAAGTTGCATGGACGGTGGGAAGACCCTTATGCTTCCATTAATCAATCCAAGCTTCGTTACTAGTCGAGAAATCACGAGATTATATAAATGACTTGGACAGGCATCCCCAGACAAAATACCAGCGAGCTGAGATTTTTAGGATAAGAAGAGCAACGTTGTCTCTTCGTCCAAAGAGAAGAAAGAACAACAAAGGAAAAGAGCGATTTTGTCTCCGCGTGTGACGCAAAGGCAAAGATTTGGTAGCCTATAATCAGCAAAACGACGTCAAATTGCAGTCGTTTTCTTAATTATCTTTGCCAACCCAAAAGAGGAGACAATATGTTAGTCAATCAACGTGGGTTGCGTTCCTTTGTCCCGGTGGGGCTCATACTTCCCACCAACTCCCAATGATCAACTCTTTGCATCCCTTTCTACCAGCAAAAAAATAATCAGAATGCCTTATCATCGACGACTGAAATATGGTAAAATATTATCTAGTTGCAAAGCACGTTTTATCGCTACAGCACGAAAGCACACCAGAAACAAGATGGTTGACCTCTGGCAAGACCTTGCAAGAGATTCATCGCTTTTGCTAATTATGACGGTGAATCGACTAATGTTTTTTACCCGGACACGGGACTCAGTGAGTGAATTCTTTGTGACCGAGAGGTCTCTTCCCTCTGCGTGGAATGCGACTGAGCAGAAAGAAGCCGAACCGCGGACGAAAGAAATGAAGTAGCAGATCAGTGAAAGAGGAAAACCGTGAAACTTCTGCGCGGTGACTGTGCTTCGAAATATAGTTTATCGTTGTCAATGTCAATGACATACTTTCTAGCTCTCATACTCCACGACTGGCTCTACCATCGTAGGAGGCACCTCCAATCTTGTGAGGACTTCAGGTAGTCCATCGGTACTCCTTATTATCTGCAACAAAATTCAAAACTCTAATGACTGCAAATGCTCTTGGAGCAATTCCATGTCAAATCCAAAAAGGAACCTTCATAGGATTGGTCCCCAAGTTTTCAGTCCATTTATGGCTAAACATAGATGAATGTGTTAAACCTTTCTTGGAACAGACATTCAATTAGGTGACTGATTAAAAAATCACGTTCAGACTCAATAGCTTGATAAAGGCAGTAGGAAGATAACAAAGAACCATATTTTTCTATAATATTTTAGCTTATAAAAAGGGCAGGGAGGGCAACCATCGTGACTCTAGGTGTCAGCACGGGAGTCCAACACCCTCTTTGATTCTTATTCGTATGTCACTTTAGGAAAATTATGCACGTAAAAACTCACTAGTATCTCTTCGTCAAGGTAAGATATCATGAAAAGCCTCTGGAAAGTCCCACCTGAAGAGCATTAGAAGAAAGAATTTAGAGCACGAATAAGGACACATGAAGTCGTAGAATGCAAATATTCATAAAAGCACCAGGACAACTTTTTTCTTCTTTTGGCATAAGTAAACAAGTTCAGCAACGAGCAAGCACCAAGTGGGTGCATGACATTGCCATCCAAAAGCAGGAGAACCTTCAGCATTTGTTTACTCTCGGAGTTGTCATCATTACACTTATCAAATTAACTGGGCAATGACAAGAAATAGTAGGTGTCACTCGAAAGAGATTTCCAACAATGAAACAAAAAAATTCTCCCTAAAAAGTCATAACATGTCATCTAAGCTGAATACCACTACTTCTACTGCCACATCCTGCTTATTATCTTCCCATCTTGTAAATTATGTTAACCATAAACATCTTCCCTTTCTTTTAGCTTGATCAATCTCACCCATGATTTTCTGTGAGCCCTGTATGGTTTGACATCGTACTTTTTGACTAATGAAAGGTCAGAACAGTTTTGGTAGCATAAGCCAGGAACAACAATTTATTTTTAAAGGTGTTGACGTTATCTTTTTGATGCTTGAAATCGGAGTTGAAGTCTCAGCCAACAGAAATAATTGAATAGGCAACAGTACTTTTGTGGTTCAATCGTGCCCAAGAACAAAAGGAACGCTAGGTAAAGTAAGAAGGTTAAAGTTAAGATAAAAGAAATTCTAAGTAAATAAAATGGTTAATTTCACCGGATTGCTTACTTAGAGGTACTGTTAATCCGCTGGTGATGGCATCTCTAATTGGAACAGGAAGTTGCTGCACTGTGCTAACTGCCTGGCCAAGTGCACCTTTTAGCTGGTCCGGTACAGTTTCTTCAATTACAGTTGGTGTTTCAAGCGTCCCTTCTACATATTCCTCCTTCATCCGAAGTGGGCCCTCCACAGATAACTTGGTGGACAAGATGAATTTGCTTTCTAGCTTCATTAAAGAAAATTTCTTGCTATCAAAACCCTCAAACATGATGGTCCAGCCTTAGACATATCAAAATGGAAATCAACAATGAAAGTAACCACATTGTTATAGCCAAATAACCTATTTATTTGTCTATCACCTATGAAGACACAAATTACAAATAGAATTTCCACAATTTATTTGAAATAGTCCATAAGTCTACATTCATGTAGAAGGAAACCCAATGTCATGATTTCATCCCCTGGAGGAGGGAAGAGTGCCTATCAAAGAAGTGATAATTAATTTTACTCCAGTAGAATGAAAAATGGATCTTGAAAGATTGTAGTTTGTTTTAGAATTGTGAATTTTACAAAGAACAAAGATCCCGCTCAAAAAAGACACATAAAATAGGAAGAAGACAGAGTAGAAGATGACAACTAAAAACTCGTCTTAATGTGAACACATCGACATGGGAACATGTCCAAAGTACTCCTATTACAATTTTTCGCCTTCCACTATTACCAGGCCGGACATCCAAGGAATGAAGAGAAGAATAATAGTCCTGTCAACCACAGAATGAAATCTTACTAGATGATTTAAAATGATATTGAGATGCACAGGAACAGAAAAGGAGCTTCTCTGAGGTGGTTTGAACATGCGAGACAAAGGTCTTCAGATGCTCAAGTGAGGAAATGTGGTTTTGGGAGACTGGGGTTAAAAGGGGCACAAAAGACCTAAAAGACACAAGGGAGGAGACGACAAGCAAATATATGGAATGCTCGGATCTTACAGAAGAATGTTTTGCTTAGACTTGACTTACAGAAGACTTGACATAAAATTCAGCACAGTGCTTGAGATGAATACATAGCAGACCCACTTAATGAGAAGATTTTCAGCTGTTTGTTGTTCTTGTTGCTGTTGTTATTGTTGTTGCTCTTGTCATTGAGATATGAAGGGGATTGATCGGAGATTTATGAGCACGAAATTGTTCAGCTCTACAGCCACCAAGCATATGCATATCCATAATTCGCATGAAAGGATCGAAGGCAATGGACGAGATCAAAAGACACATGAAGTGAAGGGGCACCTTGCTAGCAATAGCATTCAATATAGGGGAACCAAGTTAACAAATTCCATTTCAATGTGAACAGTAGCTCTGATTTATATCTCTCTTTCAAAGCAAGAAGGGAAAGGGAATGGTGCTATTGAGAGCATGTATACAATTTCAACCCCGTCTACACTCATCTTGCGTGTATGGATGTAATAATAAGGATCAATAACTAAGAACTCAATCCTCTATTCCAGATTAAGAATTTTCACCATAATATTAAATTAGATATTTAAATAAACATAAACATATCATAAAAGAATTTTAGCCCGCATGCAATCTCACAGTCCATCATAACCAAGAAATTCATGCAAAGTTGAGCAGTGAACAAGTGCCCGCTGGCTTTCTAGAAAGACTAACTTTGCAAAGATGAGAAGTCGACAAGCATCTTTACTTCAGTTAGAGTAACACGGACAAATGTATGAAGCAAAAAGCCTGGAATTACCGAGTTCAGTAACTTCAGATTAGCTGTAATTCTAGCATACCCATCTTTAATCATGATATCCATTTTTGACAGATTGGCCAAAGTTGCCGGAAATCTCCTGCCATTAAGAGATTAGATTATCAAAATTAGAAGCCATGTATGGAGACTGATTTTGAAATTCAGCAGGGAAAGCTTACACATATCAAGTGAAAAGCAACTGATGAATATAGTGATTGCTCCACAGAGAGAGAGAGAGAGAGAGAGAGAGAGAGAGAGAGAGAGAGAGAGAGAGAGAGAGAGAAGTGAAAACTCAAAACTTACTCGAATATCACTCTAGCAGCAGTCAGCCCAGGGCTTCCAGAGCCAAACCATTCAAAGTTCCATCGACCTTCTAAAAAGGGAGACCTGGGTTGCTGAACAAACGAAGTAAGATTCACAAGAAACAGGCGATACTTAAAACGTTTGAATGAAGCACCTACGTTGTCGGCCTAGGTGTCGGATTAAGTCGCTCAAGACCAATTATCCTCTCATTCACATCAATTTGTTGCATATCAGTCATCTTCCCACTGATCAATGCCTCAAAGCCTCCAGAATCTTTGAACTGAAAATACGGTAGCAAAGTGAGTATACAGGAAAAGTTTGTGCTGCAGGATTGGAGCTGTGAAGTCCCAACTAGCTACTATCTAAAAAGCACACATCATGACATCCATTTTCAGCTCATAACATGAGTGATTAAGGCTAATATCCAAACTATAACTAGATTTATGAGAATGAGGGTTCTAGAGATGAGGAAGCATTTGATGTGTAGTAGGAATCTATGCCTCCACTCAACACGATACTAGAACCACATTATGCTATCAGCAGAAATGGGAGACACAAGGGAAGGTTTCACTAAACAGTGCACATGCACTTCTCATGCTGCATGCAATCTCACAGATTCCTGCAAACATGGAATGATGATGGAAAATTTTGAGCAAAGAGCAGGGCCGGCAACCTAATTTTCCAAATTTTCATCGTGGACAGATAGATTTCCATAGGTTCTGCACATGGATCAGCATATTCCGATTAAGGAAGCAAAAGTAATGGCATGCTTGGACGGGCAGGCTAGAAGTAAGCACATCTTAAACAAAATAGAATTATGGATACCCAATAATTTCAAACAAGTCTGCCGGAATCAATCAGACAAAAAGAAACTCCGAAGGCCGTAATCATGTCGACGTACTCCACAGTCCCGGGAATCGCCGGTGGTGCGACTTCCCCATCAAATGCATTCCAAAAAGAGCGCAGAACAATATCATTTGACAGTAAAGATACACCGCGAATGATATCCGAAATTACGCATTGTGTGAGCCTCCACAGACAGATAGAGGAGGAATGAAGACGGTGTGAGCTTGAAGCTAAGTGGACAGTGAAGCTGGAAGCTAGCAATCAACTCAAACTCCTCAACCCAAAAAAATTAATAAAAAATAACACTTGACGAGCACATAAGCTTACAAATCACATCACAGAGAACACAACAAACGGAACGAAAGACGAGAAATCAACTCGATTCACCGACTCGAAGCGGCTCCTGATCTAAGAAATACAATTCCGGCAATCGACATCTTATCCAATCCAATCGCAGCGAGCCGCAATCAGCTCCAGCGCCCGTTAACTTACAGCGAGGAGGAGTGATTCCTTGGCGGAGAGCCTCTCCATCTCCTTGGCGTACGTCGCCGGGGCCCCCTGCACGGCCTGCTGCACCATCGCCACGCGCGGCGTCCCGCCGGAGATCCCCCGGCGGCGGCCGGGCATCCTCCGTCCGGCGGCGGCGGCGGCGGCGGAGGGCTTCGGCGGGCGCGGAGGGAGGGAGGGAGAGCGGGAGCGGAGGGAGACGGCCGAAGGAAGAACGGCTTGAATGGCAGTCATTGCTAGAGATAGAGAGAGAGAGAGAGATGGAGCTTGAGAAGACGGAGACTGTGAAGAGCCGGTGACCGGGAAAGACGCAGGGGGGTCAGGGCGAGGCTGGTTTTTGTCCGGGTCCGGCGACAGGGGTAGTTTCGTCCGAGACCGTGGATAAGTTTGGTGATGAGTCACCTGCTTTTTGATTGGCTGTTAATAACCGTTTTGCTCAACCTCTCCGGAATTCGAAATTATTTGCGAATTTTAATTTAGCCTGCTGTGAAATCGAGATGACGAAAGATTTCATTGACATATCCAGCGAATATTTTCAATTTTAAACCTTATCTTGACTATGGTAAATTATGAGGTTATGACCTGATTCAATGTAGCCATGAACATTTTTGGGTTCTATGCGATGGCAATTGTAACTTGACGAGGGGTACTTTCATACTCTTTTTCTTCCCTCAACTCCAAAATGCAATAGGTTCTTCAATTCTCTAGAAAAAAAAGAAAAAGCACAAATTTATGATTTAGAATTTTCCGAACCGGTCGATCCTGGGCGGTTTACGGGGACACCGGTCCGGTTTCCGGTTCCTGGTGTGGAACCGCTCACCCGAACTTGATTGATTTTTTTTTTAATTTTTTAATTTCTTAAAATTTTGTAAAAATAAATCCTAATCTATCTTCCATGTTACAAAAGATTGCTCTAAAAAGATTCGAGTGAGTGCGTTTACTTACACGCGTGAGTAAGATGACGAGAACAAATCAGTACACAACAGTAATTGCTCATTCCAATCAAATTTCGCCACAAATTGGAAAAATCTCTGTGAAACCTATAATGTTACACGCAACTCACTGATTTTAAAACGACTTGATTATCAAGAACATCTTCTTCATCTTAAACAATAACGACAAGTAAAAAAAAAAATACTGAATATGCCATCGGCTCCATTGGCCCACCCAGGAATTAGACCGAACGAACCGGTCGGTCTAGGGGGCATCGGTCCCTTTGGTCTAGTTTCCAAATCTTAGGCGGGAACCGGATCGCTCGGAAACTGATTGCCCCTAATTGTTTTCATCGCAAATACAGTATATAAAGGAAAAAAAATCTCCACGAGCAGCCGTCATTGCTGTTGATGAATTAATGAAGGGAATGGTTGATAGTTACCAATCAGACACATCGACGAGACTTCCTATGATCCACCATGCACCGGTCGTGGTCACGTAAATTTCGTCGTAGTACACGAAAAAAAACAGAGTTTGCGGACGAACTTTGATGGCGTACGGACTGATTTTTCATCTTCTCCTTTCAAGTTTCAGGGCCACGCACGCCCAAACGTACGGTCCGGCCGCAAAAGCTGCACGTGATTCAACCGAAGGGCCTTGTACCCTTGCATGGCAAAGGTCCGCGCAGATGTGTACGTGCATTTAAACTCTTGCCGGCATTGTTTCCCGTCAAGGTAGCTAGAAAACTTTAGCTGCAAGACAGCTGGTAGAGACAAAGGCACATGGCATGACGCACGAGCTAGATGATGATATGGTGAGGTCGTCCCATTTAAGGACTTGAGGCCCAAGAATGTACGTGAGGAAACTCTCTGTCAAAGGTAGCGCCTTGGGCTTTGGATGGTGGGTTCCTGAAAGAAGCTGCTCAGGAAGTGGCAAAGTTGGGGCAGAGAGTTGGCTCCGATCAGTAGCTGAAGCCCGACATCGAGGAGGCGGAGGGGAGCCTGCTGTTCCCGAATACCGTGAAGGCGGTCGCGAGGAATCGGAAGAGGGTAACGACGTCGTAAAGAGTTTAACTATCAAACTATGGATCCGTGTTGCCAAAAACGTGGAGCCGGCGCGGGACTTGAAGGAGGAGGTGGTCGGAGAAAACATTTCTTCAACATTCGAACGTTCGGTTCTGTTAGGGGTCGGATTTAGAAATGGCTTGGAGACGTGTAGCAACAGCAGTCACGATAGGATCCATTGGCACATCAAGACGGGTCTGGGCCGAGCATCTTGAAACTTCTCGGCCTAACGGTCCAGGAAAACCTTGCCCAAACTTCTCCACGAAATTGTTCATGTAGATCTCAAACCTTGATTGATCTTCCTCAAGTTGGATCTTTTAAGTTAGGTCATTTGCCTAAACTTCATCCAAGTCGTGTTAATATATCTTTGAATCGGGCGTAGGCAGGGCGATAATTTCACGCGAAGCCCACCCAAAAAGGTAGGCATGGCTCTCGAGCCATTAGCAATCAAGTTCATGATGAGGTCTATTTGATTATATAATGATCTTACAATGATTCGCGTCAAATATCATGTTGGCATGAATATTTATCCTCACTGGATTGCAAAAGCAAACCTTTAAATTCAATTACCCAAAAGAGTTGCGGAGTTATGTACATACTTATATCTACATATCGAGAGTTGACTGCTGTCCTCTAAATTTAATCCACACTTAGGATTTTCCGGAATTTCGAAATATGGTTAACCGAACTAAACTCGGTTAAACATCCGTTTTGGAATTCGTCTCACCATTCTCGATCGGATCGATTTCTTTAGAATCGAGTTTAGTATCTCCGGATCCAATTATCGATAATCGGAGTATGACTGCTGGTCTGGTTTAGCTCGCAAATGGTGGGGCGGCGTCAGGCGAGGGACCGTCGTCCCTCGGAAATCTGGAAAACGGTCGTTGAAAGGGCTGGTCGGAACAGCAGATTCACCGCCACAGCCCATGTGGTGGTGCGGGGTCGGTCGCCACTGTTCTGCCGATCTAATTTTTTTCGTTCTTTGATCTTCAACGGCTATATTTCCGCCCCAAAATGCCGCAATTGCCCATCCCGATTCCCAACGGTACTTTTCCCTCCACAATTATAACGCAAACATTGTTCCCTGAACTTTCCCACCCGGTTCTCTCTCTCTCTCTCTCTCTCTCTCTCTGAATCGATCATCGGCTCTCTCTCTCTCTTCGCCATGGAGGAACCCAGCTCCGATGCCCCCGCCGCCGTCCAGCACGTCGACAGGAAGCGCTCCGACCAGCTCCTCAGCAAGTTCGCCGACGAGACGAAAGATCCGAGGGCGCCCAAGCGCCGGAGGAGGGACCGCCGCAGCCCGCTGTCGCCGGGGGGCGGCGCCGACCTGAGCGAATCGCAGGCGTCGGGAGAGAGGCGGTCGCTGCTCGCGCCGCCCCCGGCGGCGAAGCGGAGGTCGGCCTTGCTCCGGAGGCTCGTGTTGGTCAAGCGGCCGCAGCTGGGGACGAGGGACATCAGGAACAGGTCGCTGTTGGGAGCTATCGAGAAGGTAACTGTCGCGCAACCGATCGCATTCGACTTTTTCTCGATTCACGTGTAATCGGCGCACTGCAAAAACCTTTATCGAGCGCTCGGAACTGTGAGATTGACGGGTGCTATAATGTTTGAGTTGCAGACATGGAGGAGGACGGTGGAGGGCGCGTCGCGAGTGTTCATGGAGAAGCATTACCATCGTCACAAGCGCTTGATTAGCGACGCCGTTTAAGCTCCTTAATCGTGATTAATTATGTGGGGCCCGGATTTGGCAGGTGGAGACAATCATGGTTGTAAACTGTAAAGTTTTCAACGTTTTTTTTTTCTGTTTAATTCGTTGAGGGTTTTCAGATTGTTTTTGGTTTTCTCAATTTTTTTTTTTAAATTTTTTTTAACAAGTTGTCCAATGATGAGGAATAATTCGGCATAGAATCCTTACTATGCTTATTTAGCAAGTTTTATTTTTCTCAGTTTCGTTCTTCTAATTTGTTTCGGTGTAGTGTAATAGACCAACCATTTGCTATGAATTTCGTCTTACTTGGCGTTATTTACGTGTAAGACATGCGGACGGTGATGATCGATCGGTTACGCCACGTCATCACTGTCACGTGATGTAACCGTTACATAATATATCTTCTCAAATTAGAGGTGGCATTCGAGATTAGAAAAAAGAGCATCAATTCGTGTCCATGCCTACGCAACCCATTTTTAGGAATCCAATGACATAACGTAGATGCAAAGAAGAAGTCAGATAGTAAAATTAGGCAATCAAGCGATGTACTAATCCGTCAAGCTGCTTCGTTTTCGCAACTTCTACATCGTTTTTACGAACAAGCTTTGGCAAATCGATTTTCTCATTAGAAATTTATTTAGATGTCCACACAAAAAAACGCCTGACAATTCCAAAACATTATTTTTCTCTTGTTACGTACAATCAAAGTACACCAAAAATGAAAATCTTTCAGTTAATTAGTGCTACAAAACGCTGGTTCACAAGGACTATTTCTTATTAGTAGCCATAATCATTGGATCGATCATGTTTATGTAAAGGGACATTATTTCGGACGAGTGTTCGGTTAAGAGTTGAAACCTCGTCACAGAAGATGAGTTGAAACTCTCACAGGGGCTTCCGTGGCTTATCTGCTTGATATACAGTGACGGCGGATTCCATGGACGCGTTCTTTATTTTATCGTGCCGGTGCCTGCACGTCCCGTGCCCCTAATTTTTCATGTATATTTGTCTTCTCTATAGAGGGGGAACACTCTCTTGCTAGAAGTTTTATATTTCAGTGATCCCGTGAGGATCGAGATTGAACCTTTTAAGGATATGCTCGGGTCCGAAATTAAAATGTAAAATATGAAGTGGATAACGGATCGGATCATGTTCATGCGGCTAAAGCTTTGAATGAAAAAGTTTTGGGTGGTTCTTTTTCACGCGTCCCATGGGTGTTAGCAGCTCATCTTCTCCCCACTCGGAAAGCAACGTTGCCCCGATGATCCTTCCGGAACACATCCCAAAAAAAGTTCACGACTTAGGTGAAAGAAAAAGACCATTCCTCACGCGCTAAAGGCATCGCACTTTTGACCAAAGTCGAAGAAATTTCTGCACTTTTGCACACTTTAGTCCACCTAAAAGGAGGTCTTGGACTTTCGAGGCCTCCTCGAGCCAAATCGCTTCATCACCTTGCAAGAAAATCAAACCAACTCATCACCCCACTAGTAAAAACAATGGGCAAGAGTGATGCCGGTGTAGATTCCGCACTCAATCGCAGAAAATTACGAACTCGGTCGATCGAGTGTGATAAATGGCTAGTGAGTCTGCCTCAAATCGACGCCATGATGCACTACATCTATTGCTGTCGTCTAGCATTTGTGAATTTATTATGTTAAAACTAATCAGATCTTGGTATGGTAAGAGATGTTATTTTCCGGCTTCTATCGGTTCTGGACACATTGGTCGCTTTGTAGAGAATAATTGTGTGATTTCGAGATCCTAAAGAAAAAATTTCTGCCCCCGAGAAATTCATGATCTGGGGCCAATGTGGGAAAGAATGAAACTTTGGGAGGTAGATTGAGATAATCTCCAAATTCCAAGGGAGGACTGTAATTAATTCTACTTCTTTCTGCTTTTCCCCGTGTATTAAGGAGTGAAATTGCACATGCCCGTTTCGATGCAGTGATCTAGCGTAAAATATACAAAATTTCGGTGTCCTTTGACTTCAAAAAGTCAACCGAACCTTTTGTGTGTTTCTTCGAACGGATCTGTGAGGTTGCGGGTCCAATGGTTCCTCTTGATTTGAACTTGCTGCTCGAGTAACTCACGAGGTAATCAATTTGTATTTGTGGACTAGTTTGAAATTAAAGTGGATCAATTCACAATTCCAATGCCCCTTAAGGAAGCCTAAGGGGCCCCCCTTATTACTTCTCTTGGTTCCATTGTAATATTAACCTTAGCCTAGTGTCAAGGGACGCGCGTACATGAAGTCGGGCGGTTGTCTAAGCGACTAAAATGGATAATTCACGCGTAAGGAAGCGGTCGAAATGAAAAGGTATAAAGAGACGTACCGATTGTATCTTTTTTTTCGTCTTTTTATTATATAATATTCTAGTTGTTATCGGGGCCAATGTCGGTTGAAATGAAAACGTGAGATAAAGAGTGATTTTAGCTCTTTCTTTTTGGCTTAATATATAGGAGATTAGAAGAAAGGTTGGTGGAAACCACCGAAGAAAGAAAATACTTAAGGCCTATTTGATAACCCAATTAAGTGCTGAAAATAAAAAAATTTCGGCACTCGATGGAGTGAAGCTTGTTTGATAAATTTTATATAGATTGACTTAAATTATTCAATCGAGTAAAAAATCTACTTAATCTGATAAGGCGATAAGTGAGGGAGGGGTTACTTCATTCGTTCGATATGCAAATAGTTATTAGCAATCTTGATGGTTAACTAAATAATAAAGAAACTAGTTGCATTTATGGGGCGCGGATTTTTTAATTTACGCAAAATCCGAATATGTCCTTTAATATAAATTGTTCGTTAGATTGTATCCATAGATTCTATTCTATCAAACAAGATATAAACAAATTTTTTAGTTGGTGTTATACATTAATGCAAATTATAAGCTCAATAGAAAATTTCTAATTGTCGTTGTTTTATGACATAAGACACTCGATTAGTACAATTATATTTAGGGATAGTGACATAAATAGTTATGAACTTTGACCCAATGTGCAATATAGTTTCTAAGTTTTTAACTTGTTCAATGTAGCTCATGAACTCAAGTTCAATGTGGAATGGGATCCAAGAACTTTTAATTTGTTCAATGTGATCTCCAAACTTTTGCTACATATTCAAGTTTGTTCCCAAAGCATATGAAAATGTTCAATGTCATCATTTCGTTATGTTCAGGAATATTATTGAGCATTTTCATATAATCTATGAACTAGATTGAACATGTATAAAAAGTTCAGGAATCGCATTGAACAAATTGAAAGTTCACGGACGACATTGCACATCGGACTAAAATTTAGGGACTGCATCCAATAAATTAAAAGTTCAGGAATCAAATTATACATCGAGTCAAAGTGTATGAATCATTTGCGTCGGTGCGTCGGAGCCCTGCAAATTATATTTTCACTTTGAATTCACCTGGTGAAGAAATAAATTAAATTCATCTATGTATTTTTTTTTTGGTCGAAAAATTCATATATATTATACATAAGTATTAAGTAAAGCAAAAGCCCGGACGGGGACTGGACTGGGACTCGTCCAAAAATTCAACGCCCTGCCCACCTCAGATCTGCACGCGTGACGTCATCCCCCCGGCATCGATGGCACTCCCGTAATTCCGCTCCCCCGAAAGAGGAAAAGCAAAAAAAAAAGAAAAGGAAAGAAAGAAAAAGAGGAAGAAAGCGAGCAGCGCTCACGCGCTTCGTCAACTTTCCTTTCCCCTTCCCACCGCTTCCCCTCCTTCCCCTCCCTCTCTCTCTCTCTACCTGCGCCATTTGCAAACTCTCTCTCTCTCTCTCTCTCTCTCTCTCTCTCTACTGAGACTTCCGCAGCCAACTCCGGTGTTTCTCTCTCTAGACTCTCTGCAGAGCACCGCCCCCCTCTCTCTCTCTCTCTCTCTCCCCGTCCCCGTTTCCTTCCCTTCTTCTTCTCCTTGGCCGCCTTCGCCTCCTCCGCCGTACTTCACCAACCGTCGATTCGCTCTCCGATGCGTCGGTCCCGGAGTCAACTCTCGCCTCTCTAACCGTCTCCGGCGGCTTCCCCTCTCTCTCTCTCTCTCTATCTCTTCCTTCTCCGGAACGTCGCTCCGGCTCGACTTCCCGGACCCTTTCTCCGGCTCCTCCCTCCGACGGGTTGATTCCCTCCGCTCCGGTTCGGATCCGGGCCGCGGAAAGTTTCCTCCCGCCTTCCCCCGTCTGCCGCGCGCGTTCTCCGAGGTTCATTTAGGGTTTTGAGAGGGAAATGAGGGATGTTGTCGTGGCTGGGAAGGATAGCGTCTGCCTGCTGGAGACCGGTCAGTCGATATGTCCGTATGAGCAAGGATGATTGCGGCGGCGATGACGAGAAGGCCGACCCCACGCTCCAGGACTCTTTGGTCTGGTGCAAGGACCTGGAGAAGCACTCCTGCGGGGAGTTCTCCTTCGCGGTCGTCCAGGCCAATGAGGTGCTCGAGGACCAGAGCCAGGTGGAGACTGGTCGCCACGCCACTTTCGTGGGGGTCTACGACGGGCATGGTGGCCCCGACGCCTCTCGCTTCATCTGCGATCATCTCTTTCTCCACCTGATGAGTGAGTGTTTGATTTCCTTCTTTTTCGGTTTCTTGGTTGTGTGGCAAGGGGATTGAGTCTGCGCTTTTGACGAATTTGAGGTCCTTTTTAAGGAAAAAAAGATCAACCAATTACCTTCCGAGGACTTGTGGTGATTCGTTAGTTTTTAGGAATCAGTGCTTCGCAATATGCTGGTAATCTTGGAAGCTATTGGTTAGCTTCTTTTCGTTTTGACAATTTTGGGTAGCAGCGGCTTTTCTATGGCGTTGTTTTCATATTTCCTGTTTATATCTGGCTTGCTAGTGTGTTTCTTTTTATCAATCTATGTGATAGATATAGAAATCTTGGCAAGTCAAGCTGGTAGTAAGACGATGCAGTTTCACCAGCTCGCAAATCCTCAAGTGTGTGTTTTGAGGGTAGGAATGGGAAGCCTGTTCTCTAGGTTGGAGGAAAACCTGTTGTCATTGAAATCACTGGATTGTATGGGCTGATTCATTAGGTAGTCCAAAACCTAGATGGAGGTTAGTTTAGCCTTTTTTTATCACTAGCCTTCTTCTGGTTTAAAGTCGAATTCCATTTTTTTTTTCCGTTTAAAATGCGCTGTGGTGAAAATGACACCCATGTTGGACACAAGTGGAATTTAAACTGGATATTTACGATGAATTGAGTCCATTCACCTTCATCTTGACTCTAGCATGACTGCACGATGTTCTGTTGATTGGAGTCTTGACTCTTTCCTTGGACAAATAGCTCCTGAAAAATTTTATTTGCATTCTAGTTTTTCTCGATTTATGATTGGAGTACCTAACAATTAAAAGCGGAGTTTCAAGCTAGAAATTGACTTTGATCACGAATCCCAGGGTCGGGTATAAGTTTCTTGTAGGTTAGGGTCACTTTTTGGGATGAAAGTTGATAGCAATCGTGACACCAAAAGAGTTCAAAGAATAGCTATTCACTGGCTTAATATATTGGGCATTGAATTTCATTAGGCTAATGACCGTATTCTAGTGATTATGAGTCTATGCTAGCATCACATTGCATTCCACTTACTTACAGGACTTGCTCGTGAACGTGGATCCATGTCTGAAGATATGATTAGAAGTGCCTTTTCTGCCACTGAAGAAGGATTTCTTACTCTAGTGCGCAGGACATGTGGAATAAAACCTTTAATTGCAGCAACTGGGTCGTGCTGTCTTGTTGGAGTCATATGGCAGGGGACGTTATATGTTGCTAATGTCGGTGATTCTCGTGCAGTATTGGGTTCCTTGGTAAGGTCAAATAAGATAGTGGCTGAGCAATTGACTAAAGACCATAATGCTAGTATGGAGGAAGTTAGACAAGAACTCAGATCCTTGCATCCAGATGATTCCCACATTGTAGTCATGAAGCATGGGGTATGGCGTATCAAAGGCATTATTCAGGTTTGCTTCTTGTGTTCTATAATAGTATATCATGCAAAGTAATATCTAGAGAGCTGTGTGTGATGATACAAAATTATTGGGGGAAGGAATTAGCAATCTCATATTTTTGGAAGGACATGTTCTTATTAAGTATGAGAAAGATTTGAATTTTAACTTAGCAGTTTTTTGATTGACACGGGATCATTCCGCATGCATGTTGTTGTGGGCCGTCGTGTACCTTTTTTGTTCGTTCACGAGGCTTGAATGGATGAATTGAAGTAGCAGCATTCGATTGTATATCATGGTGGGCAACCTAACTAGTTGAAGAGCACAAGAAGATAATTGCTGTGGTCTATAGGGATGAGAGAGTAACCCAATGATTTTAAGGATAGATAAATTTGGAATTTAGAACTTACATGACAATGATCTTGATGTTATTGTCCTTTTCTCGTCTTTGTGGTGATAATCTTCAGGTGTATTGTCAAGGGTAACGATGTTTTGTACTTTAAAATTCTTACTTATCAGAATAGAGAAAAACATTCTTTGGCTGTTTCAACTGAAATAGTGGATATTCTCTCCTGAGGCATTTCTTTTGTGAGCGTGATTAATGTGATGTATAGTGATGGGGGAAGTACAGTGGGGGAAACTTGTGGTTTGTTTTTCTGAAGTGGTGGCAGATTGACAAAAATGATCGTGTTCATTTGCGGTTATTGGTTCGCATCGCATGGTAGCTGTGGTTTGGAATGGCATAGCAACTAACGTACAAGACAAAGATTTGGCAATTGCATGAATGACTGTGATTCATTTGAAAAGAGTGATTGGCGTGAGATTAGCAATTTATGTTCACCGTTGCCTGATGGCATTAAATATTTGGCTGCAAGATGTGATGAAGTATGCGTTGGTGATTGCGGAAGATAGGTTTATCTGCAAGACAAGTTTCTCTTTGGAATTTCTTGTTATACATTGAACATTTTCTCTCGAGGAGTTTTTATAGGAAGAGGGCATTACAATACCATTTTTTTATGATTTTCCCCCTTTGGCTAGAGAAACAGAGAGTTTGGTTGCATTCCTCAGTTTACTTATTCACTTCTTTTTAATGTGTTGCTGAACTTGGTAGCAAAGGGCTAAGTGGAGGTTTGCAAATGAAGACAAATTTGACCTTTTCATATTTTAATATTGAAATCCCAACAAAGTTTCGAGTCTGAAACTGGATTAAACTTCTTAGCGAGTAGCCAGCCTAAAACAGCTTCAGAAAAGCTTTAATGATGCAGAAATTGCTCAGTAGCTTCCTTCTCACCATATTTGTTGCTTGGCTGCCATAAAGTATTTTAATGATGATAATTATCCTCATCTATCAAGTGTAATTCTTGCTAGAAATATGTGGATTTGTGTTCTGCATATTGTTTTAAAAAAAAAAACTCACAATAGAAATATGAATAATGGCTGTCTTTGACTTAGTTAAATGAATTTTTGTCGATGTCCTCATGCTGCTGCTTTATCTTCTGGTAATGATGGAGTCTTGGGCTAAACTTTCTATAATAGAGACAATCCAAAGGTTCGCCTGGTAAATTCATCATTGCTTCTAAAATAGGTTTTCTTAATTCTTTTTTATTTTTTTAAGCTCATAATAGATTTATATAAATGAAATAGCATGGGTGTCCGTTTAGTCTTGTTCAAATAGACATACCATCTCTTTTTTGTTTTTTTTTTTCACCCCTCTCTCTTCCTCAGCACAACGGGCGAACTTTCTTGCAGTGGCATCTCGCTCGATGTTTTGTCTTTTTTTTTACCAAAGGAATTCTGTTTATAGTATGCTCATTATGTATATGCACTTAATTAAGTGCTGATCATCACTTTGTTTTAAGAGTTCACATCTCTTATTTTCTGTGAAATTTTGTCAGGTATCCAGATCTATAGGAGATGCGTACTTGAAGAGGCCAGAGTTCTCTCTCGATCCTTCATTTCCACGGTTTCACCTTGCTGAGCCCCTTCGTAGGCCCGTGCTTACAGCAGAGCCGACCTTATGTTTGAGAACTCTAAGACCTAGTGACAAATTTCTCATATTTGCATCTGATGGTCTCTGGGAGCACCTTTCCAATCAGGAAGCTGTTGAGATTGTGCATAATAACCCTAGAGCAGTATGTTGATTATCTATTATGGTTCTTCATTTTAAGATTTACACCCATATCGATATCGTCATCTTCCTTTACTCTTCTTGTGTGATAGGGAATTGCTCGAAGACTTTTAAAAGCCGCTTTAAATGAAGCAGCCAGGAAGAGGGAGATGAGATATGTTGATCTTAAGAAGGTTGAAAAGGGAATCAGACGCTTTTTTCACGATGACATTACTGTTGTTGTCATCTTCGTGGATCATGAGATGCTAGGGCAAAAGATATCGGTCCCAGAGCTGTCGGTCAGGGGCTTTCTCGACACTGTCGGACCATCAAATTTCAATATCCTTCAAGGGATTGATGCAAATGCGAGGTCCATTATCTGAAGGTTTTATAAGTTAACTTGCATGGTCAAGCTGGTTGAAGGAATGTTCAGCTGCTTCATTTTGAATAAAATCCCATGTTCTTTCAACAATGAGACTGCTCTCTCTGTTTTACTCTTCCTTTTGAGCTTCCTTGAGCTGGATTCGGTCACTATGCATGTATGGGATGATGTTGATACTTGTGAACAAGCTGCTTCTAAGTCCATTTTCATAAATTGATCTTTACATAACTGAAGTTCTTCAGTCTATATAGATTTAAATTGTCCTTTTCTTGTTATTGAAATCATACAAAAGTTGCATGTGATCACTATCAGTTCGTTCTCTCATATCTCATTTCAAGTTCTCTGCGGGCAATTTATCTTTCCCAGTTTTAATATTAGGTAGCCAAATGATCGCGCCTTGGGGTTTGACGACTCAGTCGTCTCATCCTATCCGCCAGTCAGTACTTGAAGTTTTTCTTTTTGTTTTTGGGTTAGAAAACAGTACTTAAAGTTAAGTTACGTTGCTTTTGCCTTTCTCTCGTCAAGTTAGAGCCGAGTTCTCATTCTGATTCCCAGATCACGTGTTTGCTTATATGCCATGCCTTGGTCGGCAATGCCCTGCTTACTCTGTGCAAGGTCACTAAGCAAGTGGCCAGATTGGTCAGCACTGCAGCTAAGTTTGTGAATATCTCGATTGATTGAATACGTCTTCTAGTAATAGGTGGCGACACCGGCTCTGATAATTTTCTTCCAACTTTTTCGGGTTTTGTCTGGTGGGTTGTTTCGTGAAGGATCGATGACACTGTTAGCTGCATCTAAGGGGCTTGACTCGGACTTTTATACTTCAGCCACCCTTGGATCCATCCTCATATTGCAGCAAGCATGCCTTTTGGTAATCTGGTTTGTGCCTGTATTACCATGCCAATGGCTAAAGACGGTTCGAATTCCAGCAATTAGGATTGTGACTTTGTGCTTTGAGTTTGGGAGCTGGGTTCTGATGTGCATGGTAAAACTGATGTGATTCAACATGCGGACACTATGAAACTGACAACTTGTCGAGGTTGAATTAGGATGCGTTTGTTTCGCTCGCAAAAAGTGAATGATTTGAAAAAAAAATTTCTTTAAAAATGATCACTTATAACAACTCTTATAAAAATAAATATATAAATAATATTTTTATTAGTCATGAAAATATTCAAATATAAATTATTATCGATAATGAAAATATTTTTTATCGACTAATTATTTAAAGAGACATTGGTGATCATTTTTATGAAAATGAAGAAAGCCAATCCTAATTTCTCCAATTTTTACCCAAATTAAAAATCCAGTAATATATCGTTTTGGTTGACATGGAAATTCATTTCCAAAAGATATTTTCTTGGATATAAAATTTAGATAAAAACTAGAGCAATGGCGTGGAAATGCCCAGTAAGATCACTAAGGGCGATTTAAGATAGAGGGTTAAAATTTAGGGCACAATTTGGAACTAGACCTAAAGTTGAAAGTTTTTTTATAAGATAAAAAAAATTTAAAGTAGAATTAGGATTTCTTTTTTAGGGTATTAGGCCCCACGTAAAAACGGAAGTTGTATTGTATGCTGTCAAAGATAACCATCCAATTCTACGGGAAAAATCAGTTCTTTTCCGGGAAAAAAGAAGAGACAAAAAAAATTACCAAAGGGAGAAACGAAACCAAAACGACGGAAAAAAAACAGGAGAGAGCGAGGGAGGGGGCGAGCTGAGCAGAGCAGGGCAGGGCAGAGACCGGCGTTTACTTTGACTCGGAGTCCAATCGTCCCTTCCGCCGAGCATAGCATAACTCCCGCGCACCGCCGAACAGCTCCAGGGCATCGCTTCTACGCTCGGGGGGAGGGCTCTCAGGTGTTTTCTTCCGGCGCCTATGAAATCCGAACGCCTTTGAAAAGTCCGGGGAGGGGAATCGGGAATCCGCCGGTCCTCGGGGACGGCCCGATCTCTCGGGGGCTTTTCTTCGGACCCGTCGGAAAAGCTCCCCCCCGGCCCGCGCCCCCCGGCCCGGCGACGCTTCCGCCGGATATGGAGGGAGGCAGGCGCGGGAGCCAGCGGGACGGCGAGTTCGGATTGGGCGCGAGCGATCGCAGGCTCGCCTACTCGTTCCGCCAGCCCTGGGAGCCCCGCACCCCGATCGCCGTCCATCACGACGGTCCGGCGCAGCCCTTGCTGTCGCGGAGCACCTCGAGCGTCGATATACCCGCGGGGTTTCGTCCGTTGGGCTTGGGCGTGGGCGAGGGCGCGGGCGAGGTCGGAGGAGAGGGGAAGGGGTCGAGTCGGCGGGCGAGCCCGTGGCTTCTGGTGGCGTCCTTCTTCACCGTCGCGAGGTCTGGGAATAGGTACATGAAGAGGCTGTTTTGGTTGATTTCGCTCAACGTGGCGTATTCGACAGCCGAATTGGTTATCGGACTCTTCACGGGCCGCGTAGGTAATGACATCGTCTCTTGTTGTTTGCCGTCAGGCTTTGTGTGTATACCGAAAAAATCGAGTGACTTGGCGATCGATGTGTTTGCGTTACTTTGATTGATGCTTAGAAATGATTTGGTCATTTTGCTTACTGCTTTCTTCTTTTTTATCACTTGTCTTTTAACTGTCTAGCCATGTTCTTAGTTTGATCGATTCGAGTTTTGGTTCTTTGATTGAAGCGTCGCGCAAGGTATTAAGACTTTATGTTTCAGTGTCTTTCCGTGTAAGCGTTGTATGTTTAGAACACCAATTTGATGGTTTAGGGAGCTAATTTTTGAGTATAGATTTTGCTTCTTCAATTGTGTGTTCGATATTTTCTCAGGTTTGGTTTCCGATGCATTTCATCTGACGTTTGGCTGTGGACTCTTAACCTTTTCGTTGTTTGCAATGGATGTATCTCGCAAGAAGCCCGACAGATATTACACTTACGGGTGAGTAATGTTGGACTTTGCTCTCGCCGACTAGACGTATCTAAAACCCCTCAGAGCTAGCTGAATTCATGCCGCCTTTGTTATTAGTGAGCAGGCTGAGTTCACTTACCATTGTGAAGGTTACTTTGATGTAATTCTGGATGAGTTGATGAAATGAATTTTTACAAAAAGTTCTTGAGTGGGAGACCCTTTGGTTTCTTTCTCGGCCTCGTCTTCTTCTCCCTGATTGGGCAATCAATCAGATAAACCTTTCATGTTTTTGAAACGATGCCGTGCTTGACTGATCATTGTTTTGCTTCTTGCAGGTACAAGAGGCTAGAAGTTTTGTCTGCATTTACCAATGCCGTAAGTTTGTCCCCATTTCCTTACTAAAGTGCATGTTGTGTAGCTAGTTTAGCCCTTCTTCTGGGAACCTATTTTGAGCTGAAGTTGCCAGCCACCCTTCTCCCCTTCAATGAAGGAGAGAAGATATCCGACACCATAACTTTGCTATCTGAACAGCCAGTTTTAGGGAACATGTGAGGGGGCGTATTTCCTGTTAACCGCCCTTAGGTGTAACCACTTGTCTATACTAGAAAATGCGGTCTTGTTCCGGTTTGCCCTTTTATGTGGTTGTTCCTCCCTTTCTTTCCCTGGTTTTACTGCACTGGTCTTCTATCACATTCATCTACCATTTCCTGGAGTTGATTATGTTAGAATAACTAACATGTGATTTCTGCTGCTTGTTTAGACAGCTCTTTCTTTTGTTCATGTCATTTTCCCTTGCTGTGGAAGCCCTTCATGCCTTCATCCAAGATGAATCTGAGCACAAGTGAGTTATCTATCTTTCTTTTTTTTTGGGGAAAATCTGATAGCTCTATTGAACAGAACCTTCTTGTTGCAATTGCTGGATATTTAAATTAAAAAAATACAAAGGAAGAGAAGACAAAAAGAGGTCGTTTGAGTTTGATTTGGTGCTCGAGTGGCTTAACATGAGCAGTCAATGCTAGAAGGGACAACTGCTTAGCGAAGCCTCTTGCCTGTGCATGTGTTCTATAAAGATACTAGTACTAGAAAATAAGCGACAGGTTTTTGAAGAACTCTAGCTTGGCAGTTGGCTTACTTCTCATAGAAAAAAGCATCCGACGCCCTGCCTTACTAATAGGTGTAACATCGTGTCAAATCCAGTCAGTGTCAGTTTTCAGTTAACCAGGACCATCTGACTTAGATGTTTTTGATATTAACGATGGATAATGTTTCATTGTTTTCCGAAGTTAGCAGTTGGGGCATTGAGTTGCGCCTGCCTTGATGGGCATGATGAATGGCTTTCGTAGAAATTTCAGTGTGAAACTTAAATTGCTTAATTATGTCTGAGGTTTCTGGTGAAATCTCCCTCATTCAAGTATTAACTAAGATATATGGAGAAAGGCTGAAAGGTCATTTAGGTTCTATTTACCAATTGTGCTCAGTTTGTCTGTCTTGTGGGTGCATTACTGAAATTTGATTGCCTGGATTGGGTTCAGCTTTTCCCTTGTTATATATCATGGTGGTATATATCATATGTGCATACATCCTTTTGTGATCTCTTCATGCTGTCTAAAGTGCAACTGAGATTATGATGCTATGCATACTCTTTTCTAATGGCATCATCTGTCTTCTGTCTTCCTTGTGGTTGTAGGCACTACTTGATAGTTTCAGCGGTTACCAACTTATCGGTGAATCTTATTGGCGTTTGGTTTTTCAGGAACTATGCTCGTATTAATATAGGTGAGTCTGCTTAGTCGCCATACTGGTTTTTTTCCCTTTTCCTTTTGTAATTTGAATGGAAATGCATGATTATGCATCCACCTTACGCCATTATTGTTAAAACTAAATCTCACAAGGCAATTGAACTAATTGACTGTGTAGTGGCTAAATAACAATGTTGTCCAGTTGTCTCTATACTATTTTCGGAAATTCATAATTGTCCCTGAACTTTTTTTTTTGGTTCAAGATGGTCCTTGTACTTTTTAAAAAAAGTCACTGTGCATCCTTGACTGATTTGGTGACGGATTTTCTGATGTGGACTTAACAGTGTTAATTTTTTGCTGAAATGGACTAACTCTGTCATTTGAAAACATGATCCCCCCTCTCTGACTTGAAAACAAGAACCTCCATGCTGTGGTCATGGCTGCTGAGCTCAAGCAACAGTGGTTGCCATCGCTTGTAAGCCTCAGACAACGGCGGCTACCACGTGATGGTTGTCGTCTTCTCTCTCTCTCTCTCTCTCTCTCTCTCTCTCTCTCCAGCCCAATCTTGGATCTGGTCATCAGCAATAGGGAGGAATTTTCAGGCGGCTTAGGTGGATCTTTCACCAGCCCAAGAGTGTACTCCACTTTTTGACTGGTTTGCTTACACTCCTTGTTGGACTTGATGTTCGATTCAGTTCTCTGGACTTCATTCTAGCTCAACAAGTATCATCTTAAGACTGAACTGATTGGAATCTAATTAATTATCTCATTCAGTAATTTCTGCAAACACTTCATCTTCATTCTCTTCCTCTAGTCTCTTGTTGCATGATTCTCACCAAACAAACTTCTCTGACCAGATCACAAGGTCAATCATTCAAGTATATAGAGAGGGAGAGACTCTCATAAATTGAATCAACATTGCATCTCATTCAACTAAAGCGAGAGAGAACACCCCAGAAAACTGCTCATGTTAGCTTGAGGCGACGAAGGCCACCGCATGGTGGTCTCTCTCTTTTCTCCCCAAATACTAGATCTAGAAAAACACAAATAGCAGGAAGTGCTACTTGTGGCAGCCTAAGAGACGGTGGCCATAATGTGGTGGTCAGCATCTCAGGCCATGGTGATTACCGCGAGGCGGTTGACAATCTCAGCAGTCTCACGCTTTCTCTATCTGTTGTTTTTTCGATTTTTTTAAATTCTGATGTGGTATCTTGTAAGCTGTTTGATCAATCGTATTGTGATGCATGTATTCTGGCATCCACCTCAGCACTCTGGCTAACCAAGTTAACAGAGGGACTAATGGTGACTCCCTTAAAAAAATACGAGAAATATTTTGAATAAGAAAAGTATAGGGACGATTTTGAATTGCCGACCGTAATACAGGTACTACGGGTGACATTATTCAAGAAAAAATGGCTGATTGTCATGTGCACTACACCCGTACTATATGAAAAAGACCGTCAATCACAAGTATGATCCTTTACACCTGTAAAGTGTAAAATAGGAAAATGCATCTACTGCTCATTTTTTCGTCTTCCTTGTATGGAAATTTATGAAATGAAAACTGGAGCTGTTATGTCCGGTTTGAAGTCCATGGACATTGAAGCAAATTCAAGTAAGCTTAGGTCCCTTCATCATTCATATATCCTTTTTGTTCAACAAAATGAATTTTAAAATTGTAGACTTGAGCCTGTTTGACGTTGCAGCAACTAACACCATGTTTGTTAGGAGGGATTAGGAGGTATTGTGTTTGGATGATAGGAAAGAGATGGAAGGATTAGAAGGGATTAGTAGGAGATTAGATGAGAGTGGTTCGGTCAATTTTAAGGGTCAATTTTATGTACATTTTAAATTCCTCTGAATCCCTCTAAATATGGCGGGATTCAGAGAAATTGAGAGCAATTTGTGTATTAATAAAACAATTTATTCTTCTTTCTCACTTATATCTTGATGCTACATCTATATATTATACCACAATGCATTCTTTTCCTTTTTTCTTCTCTCAATAGTATTTTGATAATATGATAACTCCATCCCTTCAAATCCTCTATATTTTTCTCTCATAATTGTGTAAAAGAAAATTCCTTCTTTTCTTTTCTAATCACTCCATCCAAATTCAGTGTAAGGTTACCTGGAAGTCCTTGAGAATGGACGATTTTAGTTCCTCATTCGTTAAACACTTATCTCTGCTTTTTTTTTTGATAAGTAGATCAAGAAAATGTGCAAAAGGAAAGAGAGAGGGACACTGATTTTATTCTTTCAATGGTGAAAACTTTCTTAGATAGAGCCTTTACCTGCTTTTTAACCATAGACAGGCATGGGATTTTGAAATTAATATTACAGTGCATTTATGCTTGTTTGTCGCATTACATCTAGGTTCTTCTTTATTGCCTTGGTTTGGGGATATTTAATCAGGGCACTTTTTTTGAGGAATTGCAGTGCTACCAAGTACCTGACTTGGCAATCCTTCAATGAAATTAGCTTTTACTTAGATTAAAAAAATGAGGAGAATTTGGCATATATAATTTGCTCTTCGGTTTTGGGCTCGAGAATATTGTGAAGCAGCTTGCAGAGTTCCACAATCTTCTGTTACAGATGGAGTTTGTATTCATGATCCTCCCTATCCTCTCACTTCACATTCTAGGGAAGTCTAAGCAATAGGAAAATTTTGAAGAAGGGAGCTGATCAAATCTTTGGACTTGTGAAAATGTTCATTGATGTTCAAAGCATCTTACTTAGCATACCTTATTTGCTACTTATCTCTTGTTCTGTTTGCTTGCAGTGTATAGAAAAGCTGAAGACATGAATTACCACTCAGTTTGCCTGCATGTTCTTGCAGATTCCATTCGCAGGTATAAAACCACTCTTGCATCCTCTTTGGCCTTCTATGCATTTGTAATATAGGAATCCATCTTAAGCTTGTGCTTATTTGTTTCTCAGTGCAGGTTTGATACTTGCATCCTGGTTACTGTCCATTGGGTAAGTACTAATTTCATTCTTGATTTATTTTGGCAAGGAAGATTACCTGCTAGTTTTGCTTGCTTTTTTCTTTCTCTAGTTTGCGCGAGATGACTTTAATCCTTTTGCTCTGCAGGGTTCAGAATGCAGAGGTTCTTTGTTTGGGATTAGTTTCAGTGGCAGTCTTTATGCTTGTTATGCCACTCTTTAAAGCGAGTGGGGGTATATTGCTCCAAATGGCTCCACCTAGTATGCCAACTTCAGCATTGAGCAAATGCTGCAGACAGGTGATTATGTATTTCCTTATATTTTGCTCACGTAAATTTTTCAATTTATTAATGGTTACTGAAGTTTTGATACTGTGTGCAGATTACTGCTCGAGAAGATGTAAAAGAGATATCTCAGGCTCGTTTCTGGGAATTGGTTCCTGGTCATGTCATTGGCTCACTTTCGGTACAGGTAAGTTTGATATGTGTCATTTAATAGGCGTTGTCCTCCTTTCCTCGACACTTGATTCTTGTTCTCTTCTGATTTGATTTCTGGTAGCTTACTTTATTATGGTCTAATAATGATTAAGAAGCTTCGGGTGTTGTCTCATGGTAACAGGTGAAGAATGGCATGAGTGATCAATCATTAATCCAGTTTGTCCATGGTTTGTATCATGATTTGGGTATTCAAGACTTGACAGTGCAAGTAGATGATGTCTGAGCTGATCTTTTTGTTGCTTAATTCAACGGTTAGTATTTGAGACTGTCAATGTGTCTGCATTACATGGATCTGCTTTCGCGCTTGTCATCAATGACAGCTGGATAGTTGTATTATTACAGTGGCATTTAATTGTTTCCCGTTTAAGAGTGGCCCCTCCAGTCATCCGGGTCAAGTCTTTTATGCCCGATCCTTAGGCAATGAACTTATTGGGGGGAGTATTGCGAGAAACTTGCTCTTCTTTACTTGTGTTCTCTCGTTGCATGTGATGATTTGTGTAAGATGCAAATGTTTTCCTTGACGAGGTAGCAAATCCCTGGTCTGAGGTTTTTGATACGGGCTACAATGGACCGATATATTTTGAGAACAATATTGGACATATTTAGACAAGTCCGGTAAATTTGTTTACTAAGCAATGCGGCACATTCCTGTGGGCTGTCTAAATGAGCCTACTAACTTGAATAACAACACGCAGAAAGCGACATCACTTTTTATTACTATTTTAGTGGACAGTCTTATTATCTCTGCATTGTTCTTCTTGGTGAGTCCTATTCAAGATTTGGAGTAAGAGTTATAAGTGTGTTAAGCCGATGGTGGTGCAACTGCTAGGATTTAAGCATTCCAGGTCTTGAGCATGAAACCTGACTACTTGAATTCAGTTTGATTGTTCCGAGAAGATAGGGAATGCTAGCTACCCTTGCTTGAGGTAGCTCGGTATATGTGAATATACTGCACAAACGGGCGAGTTATTCAAGCAGTTTTCCAGACTGAGTGAAGAGACCTTTCAGGTTGTCTGATTTAACCCAAATTTTAGGAGGCCAACCTTCGGCTTACGAATTGCATTCGCATTTTCATGGAAGAAGCGTAAGCATTTTCGTGGAAGAAGTAGCGAATATCTTTTCGTCCCTTAAAATTTCTGATAGAAAATGAAAGTAATGACTGTAGAAAGACAGAGGTTGGACATTCTCCTCTTGACTTGGCTAATTTAATGGCAGATTAGTAGCTCGTGTGATGCTCAGGACCGAAGGGATTTGTTTCGAAGCGATAAGCCAGTTGACACCAACATACTGCCTGATGATTACGCGACAAGCAAGAGCTTTAACAATTCCATCTATTACTTGCTTCGTTTCTCGAGGTCCAAAATATATTATTTTCGCGTTAGTGTAACGATGGGAATGGAAAATGGAAAGGAAGGCTGAGCTGAGACTTTGACACCATTGAAAGAAGCTATGTTGTCATTCGTGTTAGTAAATCAGTAGGAAGATGCACTGATACAAACAATAAGATTAAAACATACATATGATAATGATCTGAACATAAACAATAGATTCACACGGAACTCGCCGGGCAGGACAATCAACCGCGTGGGAACTTAAGCACCGAGTAGGACGATATTTCCAGGAATCCTCCTGTTATTTTTCTTTGCCTGTCTCACATCGACATTGTCCCAACATCCTAAGTTCCCTACACTATAAATTGATGACAGATTCTAGTAACGTTCACTGCATCAAACAGACACTCATACACACCCATAGAGGGAAAAAAGAGAGCAAAGAAACATGAACTCTCTCAACAATGAGGCAATGCCAGTTTTCCGGCACTTCAGCCACGAGCACCCTTTGGAACTCACTAACTTCAGTGGGGCTGGCACTGCAGTATGCTCGGCCTGCAACATTCAGATAATAGCTGGCAGGGATTACTACACTTGCCGAGCTTGTCCCTTCTCTCTTCACCGTCCTTGCTTCAACATGCCTGAGCGGGTCCAGCATCCGGCCGATCCCAGCCATGACTTGAACCTCCTCATCACTCCGTGCTTTCACTGCAGAGCTTGTGGACACCAAGGCGCCGGCTTCTCTTATCACTGCCACTTGTGCCAAGTCCAGTACCACCCCTTGTGCTTGCTCATGCCGCTCGCAAAGCGGAGTCATTGCCATCCCCATGAGTTGCATCTGAAGTTCTCTCCTCCTTATGGTGATTCCCAGGGCTTCCGCTGCGACATCTGCGGCAACCCGGGTTCCAACCACTGGCTGTACAGATGCGAGGCCTGCGAGCTTGACGTCCACCTCAGTTGCTCCTCTGCTGCTTCAGCACCAAACCCTCCCCTCCAACCTCCGGCAGTCCCTGCAAACAATCAGAATCCGCGTGTCGTCAATCACCAGCGCTCAGTTTAAATGATCATCGAATGAGTTATTGGAATGTAATTGTGGTGTCTTATCAGATTGTCTTTCATCTGACTATTTAGTTTCACTACTTATGGGTAGAGCGTACTCAATAAGTGGGAGCAATGGAAGTAATCCAAGGCAGAACATCCTGCTTCGTCGGGCTCCTTTTCCCTGAGCGAGGCATGATATCTAGTGATCTGATCTCTTCCTTTCGTGCCTTTGGACCCTGAATGTTCACATCTAGTACTTGATATCTCTTGCGCTTATCATCATTAAAGAAATTGGATTTCTTCTCATCAAATCAGAACAACTTCGGAGGTGCTGGAATGGGTGGTTTAGTAGTACCCGGGGCTCTGAGCGGCATCGGAGGGAATAGGAGAAGAGTTACCCAGTGTGTCATCCATGGATTGGGTAAATGTCACACACATTACGCACGGTCTTGTAATGCTTAAAGGAGATGACAGTTTCTCTTCGACAATAGACAAACCTTTGTGTGAACAAAGTGGCCACGAGCTCTCCATCTTCTAGCCGTCTTTCTAATTTTCTCGTACACTTTGTGCTCGAGTTGTTTGCGTTTTTTTAGGCAAATGTTCATTGACAACGATGAACCACTCTCCATTACCCAAATGGAAGAAAGCTGGCTTTAGAAAGTTCACAAGCCGCTCAGGAATTAGCAGAATTATGTTATTCTCAACAATGAAGGTAAGAGCCTCTTACTACACGGTTCCAATTCTTCCTAATGCCGGCCACATTAGATGCCGTAGATGTAGGAACTGCGAGAACCTCAAAGCGTGGTCTGCCAATTTCCAAATGTACCAAAAGGAAAGTTTTCAAGATTGTCGACGCATGTCATTTGTCTCCTGGTAAAAGCTTCCCTGCACTTCTCTTGTTTTGTTTGGCTTCTAGGATGAAGCTCCACATCTTGGGCTGAGCAGAGAATGAAAAGATATCCCCAATTTTTATGCGAGACTTTGGAAGATTGCGGGTACCCCAACACAGGCCGGCCATTACAGTATTGTCAACTTCGTCATCTTCAAGTTGGGATTTGGGGAGATGACAAAGTGCAACTTTGTAATCAAGAAAGACCGAGGCCGGCACAATTCTCCCACTATTCTATATTCCACATGGACTCAAGTCCATAATTTAGTTAAAATGGTATGACCTTCATTTGCACAGCTCAAAGCATTGCACGTTGTTATCTTTCTTTTTCAGTCGCCGTCTTTTCTTTTGTACTTACTTAAAAACCGAATAGCCGGGACTCGTGGAACAGCCGCTAAATAGGTTTTCTGTGGAAAAAGATAGACTCCAAGAGGAGCGAGCAGCGATGGAAGTGCCGAGAAGAGAAGCTGTTTTTCATCACTTGAGCCATGACCATCCACTGGGACTCACAAACTCGCCTCCTCCACAAAATGCTCGGTGTTTCGGATGCAAACTATGTCTTCTCCCAGGAACGGACTACTACCACTGCAAGAGCTGCCCTTTTTTCCTGCACCGGCTCTGCTTCAACATGCCTAGGAAGCTGCGACTTCCCGCCCATCCGGATCACTGCTTGACCCTTCTTGCAACGTCCTCATCCTCCCAAGGCAACTCCACTTGCAAGGCCTGCGAACAGCTGGTTGACGGTTCTTTTTGCTACAGCTGCGCCTCGTGTAGCGTTTCTTATCACGCGTTATGCTCGGCCCTGCCTCCTTCAATTGCAATCACTTCTCATCCTCATGTGCTCAAGTTGGTATTCTCACTCCCATATGAATTCAGGTGTGATCTGTGCAATAAACCCAGCTACAGAGGGTGGGTATACAGATGCAGACTCTGCGAGTTCGATATTCACCTCAACTGTGCTATATCTTGCCATCGAGCAGACCTAAATAGGGAAGAAGATGCGAACAAAGAAATAATGCAACTACTAGCTCAAAAAATTACCAGGAGTGAAGTGGCAAAATGGGTCGAGACACCTAGCTCTCTAAGAGAGAACATCAACATCAGGAGTGGCTGGACGGAAAGCCTAGATTTGAGTAGAGGAAAACTTGACACAGTTTCAACTCCGCCGACTGCAGAACAGACTCGTCCAGAGTATCAATCACCTCTGCTTTCTGAAGGCCACGCGACTCCAAGTTATCAGTTCAGCGATGCGTACTTCTCGATCGATTTGGCAAAGTCTTACTCGAGCTATCTCGAGAAAAATCAGCCGGGAAAGGGAGCTGCTGATCAAGATGCTACATATGTTTCTGGAGCAAAAGAGAAGATGAATTCCGGTGGTAACACGGTGCCGGGCAAGAATGTGGGAGTGTCCAATCAAGAAAAGCAGCAATTGAATCATTGGAACATAGTTGGACACGGCTTGGCGTCACATCATAAGGTGCCAGATGCTAGGACGAACCAAGCATTTGTAACACGGGATGGGGCATATCCCGTGCAGCACTTCAGACTTCAAATGGAAAACAGATATGTCGATGGATCCATCAGCAAATCACAGAGTGACGATAAGAGCGCCGGCTCAGCTGCAGTGAGTACACTATTACGGATAAGAACTCCTATTTGCCTTGCTTGTAGTGAACAGTGGACAGAAACACTATAATGTTTGCCAGAAATGCTTCCTAAAACTTTCTGTATCGAATATTGATATATGTCTATGCATGCAGGGAAGGTGTCCAAATTGGAGGAAACTATTTTTCTGGTGCTGTCATTCTGGCTAAAAAAAAAAGAAAAAAAGTTGGACAAGGCGACTCGGGAAGTTCCATAAAAGAGTTCTGCGATGTATTTAACGAAAGTTTTGCGAATTCGGGATTTTAACTTGCTTTCTAAGCTGCATAACTGGCAAGAATGGGTGAGGCTGGCCAACTCAAGCATGATATGGCCGAAAGCATGTACACAGTACATATAGCAGCTGGCATATGCTCATAACAGCTGATTTTTAAGTTTGCAAGTTCATGTATTCTGATGGATCCATAATTTCCTAGATGCATTCTGCTATGTTGACCAAGATCCTATCTTCCTTCTGCACATTTTTGGGATTTTGAGACATGAACAGGCCGTAAAGTTAGAAGAGGAATGCGCTATGTTGACACGGATCTTGTCATGCACCTCTTACATGATTTAATTGTCCCTAATATCCGTGTCAGATGTGCGCATGGGGAAAGGATTGTTATAATCGAAAATCGCGAGAAAAGCATGGTTTTGCAACGGGATCGAAAAATTGTAGTTGATTGTTCAGCATCCACTAGGAAACTTAAGAAGGATTTAGCATGGTGCTCTTGACTTAGGAAACTCGATAATTCTGAAGTGGGAATGCGGTGAGTATTTAAAACATAAACTAGTTATACTATAACAAACTACTCTCATTTCAAGAAATAAAGACGATCACAGAAGACACAATAAGAAATAACTTCCGACACATTTTTCATATTGTGATTGATTTTGTCCATCACATCATCCTTAAAATGAGTTTACACAATCATTTTCATATCACCAACTGACCAGTATCTTGAGATCGTTTCTTACTACCTTGTGTGCTTCCAAAAGTTACAATGGATGGACACCGAATTGCTTGATAATACGACACCTTGTTGTTCTCCCCCACAAAGCAAATAAGCACAAAAAACCCGAATGCTTCTTCGAAGGAATATAAACAGAGATGTCCTACAAAAGTGGCACTTCATCTATCTCCATCAGTCTCCACCCAATGACCATCGTTTAATAAGAAAGACGAAAGTCCATACATATATAAATATACATGGAACACGACATGTGAACTATTCAATACATGTACAAATAGTTCAATTCTGAGAATCGCCGGCTTCCCAAACAAACTTTTTTTTTTATGAGGAAGCTGTTATATATTATATATAATATATACAGGTTAGAATAATATAATATACTGCAATTAAATTACTTGTGCTGTGTGCTAATAATCTAAGTTAATACCAAGTTCAACTTTACGGTCAGCTGGGTGATTATTAAAACCCTCGAAACCGGTAAGCACAGACGAGGAGCCAGATTGGTGACAAAGGAAAATGGGAGGGTGGTGTCCATCAACATCACCATACTAAATTCTAATAATGCTTCTGCTGTCCAACCAGCCTGGCTTGTCGTCACCTTTTTTCCGCTCCCCTCCCTTTCCTTTTCTCCTCAGTTTTTTCATTTTTCCAATTAATCTTCCAATAGATCCCGCACAGCGCACACACAACACATCCTTGTACACCTCATCCTTAATGAAGAGACAGAGAGAGACAGAGAGAGACAGAGAGAGAGAATATTTTTCTTTGCTGTGGTGGGGTATGGTAGGAGATGAAATGTACACACAAGACGTCCCTATTTTCAACTTTGGAGCCCAGCCAGTTCATCTTTTGCGAAGAAATAAGTGCACAGAAGAAGAAGTAAGAAGACGTCGGGAAGAGGTCATTGCATAAGCTCGGTTTAGTAAAACTATGTCCATCCATCGCACGTAAGAAATAGCGAGACCTATATTTTAATAGGTTAATATTACGAAAAATTCCAAACTGATATATCTGTGATAATTTTATCCTGAACTAATTTTTTTTACTATTAAAAATCCCAAACTGGTACATCTACATCTGTAACAAATTTACCCCAAACTAATTTTTTGACCATTAAAAACCCTACACCGGTACACTTGTGATAATTTTACTCCAAACTAATTTTTTAACCACAAAAAACTCCGAACAGATACACCTGTGACAATTTTACCTAAAACTAATTTTTTGACCACTAAAAATCCTAAACTGGTATATTTGTGATAAATGTATCCTCCGTTAGTGTCCGTTAAATTGGATTAATATCACGAAAAATTACAAATTGGTAAACTTGTGACAAACAGATGGATAAAACCCCAAACTAGTACATCCGTCAACTACCACGTGTTATCAAACTTAACAATTTGACTGAAAAATTTAACGGAAATTAACAGAGGGTAAATTTGTCAGAGATGTACCAGTTTGGGATTTTTGGTGGTCAAAAAATTAGTTCGGGTAAAATTATCACAGGTGTACCAGTTTGGGGTTTTTTGTAATCAAAAAAATAATTTGGGATAAATTTATCACAGGTGTACCAGTTTAGGGTTTTTCATAGTATTAACCCTATTTTAATCCCATTGAAAAGAATAAATATTTGTATTGCTTCCGATTTAGCCCATCTCGTCATTAAAAGATAATTATGTTCATTGTTGGTTCGGAGGACGTGGATTTACATTGCTCTAGATATCAAATAAGAACAAAATATATGGGCTCTCTTGGTTTTCTTATTAGATAAATCTAAAACGAAATGCTTTAAGTAGTTCTTATCTCCAAAAAGAAAAAACCCTAACAAGAATGAGAAAGCTAAGAAGAAGGGTTTGGATGATTTATACTGAAATTTCGGCATATGAATAGTGATCATCGTTCGATAAAAAATGTGCCAAAAGTATAATGATTCTCAAAAGTATTGACATTACAAGAGATTGAACTAGATAAGCAAAGTTAAACAAGTTTGACATTGCCATACTCACGATGAACTTCAATTAAACGATGTTTATAGAGTTTTGCATCGTTTTGGGACACTATGATCAAAATAAGTTTTTCTTTACGGCCGGGCTACTGCGGTTTTTTAATTGTGCGGTTATATAATACATAAAAGTAACATCCCGAACGTAGTAATTTGTCAGCTTCAACCACGGTAGTTGAGAACCGCAAGGTAATATGTATGTACATATTGCCATGGTTTCTTCATATATGTAGGGAAGTGTTCAGAAAACGCAGTTTAACCGTACAAAACTCATATTCTTACCAAACGCGAGAAATATATTTCCATGAAGAATCTTCGGTTCCTTCTCTCCGTATCAACTTCATTTCTTCAAAGTTGGCAAGATCATGCCCTAATCTCTCTCTCTTTCACTGGCTTCTATGGGTTTGTTTAGTAACGTTTCTGTTTTTTTTGTTTTTCTGTTCTTTTGTTCTCCGGAACAGAAAAAGAACAGAAATTCGTTTAGTAAAAAAAATCTATTTTTTTTGTTTTTGGAACAAAAAAGTGTTCCAGAAATAGATTTGGAACAGAAACAAGAAGCAAAAAAAATCTGCTTCTTGTTTTTGGAACAAGAAAAAAGAAACAATTTTTTTTTCTAGAATTCTCCAAAAATAAGAAACAATCCATCGGCCGCAACCCGCCCACCGCCGCCTCTCGCCGTCCTTCGCCGCCACCTACCGCCCGCCTTCCGCCGCCGCCGCCCGCCGGCCAACGCTCAACGGCCGCCTCCCGCCAGCTGGCCGCCTCTTGTCGTCGACCACTGTTCTCCGCCGCTCAACGCTTGTCGCCACCTGCCACCGGCCGCCGTCCTCCATCGCTGGCCGCCGTACTCCATCGCCCGACGCCGGCCGCCACCTGGCGCTGGCCGCCTCCCCCCGCCAACCACCCGACGTCGGCGATCACCCACCACCGGTCGCCGTCCTCCGTCGCCGCCGGTCGCCCACCACCGGCCGCCATCCTCCACCGCCGGCCATTGTGCTCCACCGCCCGACGCTGGCCACCACCCGGCGCTGGCTGCCCTCAGCCGCCGGCCACCTCCCGCCTTTGGCCACCCGACGCCGGCGATCACCCACCATTGGCCGCCAGCCTTCGCCACCGGCCGCCATGCTCCATCGACCGATGATGGCCACCCTCCGCCGCCAGCCACCTCCTGCCGCCGCCCCCCGCTGCTGTCACCGCCGCCCGACGCCACCGTGCTCCGCCGCCGACCATCGTGCTCCATCGCTCCCACCGCGCCGCCATCCTCTCGCCGCCGACCACCGTCCTCTCGCCCCCACCGCCACCCGCCGTCCTCCGCCGGTAGCCCAGAAGGGAGAAACTCGTCCATGGAATAGAAATGGATCATTTGCGCCCTAAACGCGTTTCTATTCTTTTTCTATTCCAGGAATAGAAATTTTGTGCAGTTACTAAACGCTATTTTTTGCTCAGAAACTGTTCCAAGAAATAGAAATAGAAAAAACTATTTCTGATCAAAAATTATTTCTGGAACAGAAACGTTGCTATGCAGACCCTATATCTCTTTTCTCAAGCATTCTTCCCTCGTTGTCGTAATATCGCAACTAATAGCCAATCTCTCCGTCATGCCGGCATCTTGAGCTCTCTCACGTAAGTCAGGATGTATCGTGATTCAGCTCTTTAGTTTCTGATTGTTGGAATGATTTGCCAAGACTGTGGTTTCTTCCTTCGGTTCTGTTGATCTTGCCTTTAATTTTTCTGTCTTTTTGGAGATCGAAGGCCTCTTGATGAAATTCAATCAGCGAGTATCGAACTTGATGGCAAAATCGTAACCCCATTGGAAAAAAAAATTTACTTTGTCAATCGCATGTAGGAAATAGCGAGACCCATATTTCGAGGACATTGATTCATAGTACTCTACATATGAATAAGAATAAAGAAGATGAACTCTCTTGATATTCTTATAAGATATATAAAATCTTAAAAGCGAAATGCTTAAGTAGTTCTTATCTTTGGAAAAAAACCCTAACGAAGATACAAAAAAGAAGAAGCTAGGAAGAAGGGTTAGGATGAGTAAAATCAAACATTTCAGCACATGGACAGTGATCATCGGTAAAAACTATGCCAAAAGTATAATCGATCTCAAAAGCATTGAAATACACAAGAGATTGAGCTAGAAAATGAAGTTAAAGAAGTTTGACATTACCAGACTCATGATGGACTTCCATTTAATGATGTCCGTAAAGATTCGTATCGCTTCGGAATGAATTTGATATGACATAATATGCACGTATGTACACATTCTTGTAACCTATCTTAGATTTTTTGAATGGAAAACTCCCCGGCTATGTATTACAAGCCCCATAATAAAAAATTTCGATCATCATTAATAAAGTCATCTTTTCCCATTATCGTTGGTTTAAGTCCCTTGTATTCTATCGTATGGTTGGATAGTCTAATGTGCTGGTTCAAATTATATTTCATGCACACATAATCCACTCTGACAAAGTTCATCTAATAAGATTCCTCCTTTTTCATCACTGCTCAATATATATATACGTGTAATTAGCCATTTTTATCATTGCTTCTCTTGTGCATGGGACCATGACCATCCACAAATGGATACAGCCATTAGGTCTGTAATAAAGAACAGATCTTGGCGAAATTGGGCAATGATTCCAGTTTTGATTACTGTCTCTAATTGGGCTGATCGCGATTGGATTTACAAACATGTCTGCCGTTGACTTCACGCTTTCGCTTGCCTTAATTCTTCACAAAACATGATTATTACATGGTGTAAAAGAATCGTTTCCTCATTAGAAGCTAAATAATGTGTTTTTAATGACAAATTATGGACCCACGGGACATATGCTTTACGACACAGTGCGTCTTATATGCGTCCGAGGTTACGGCATAAAGGAAAACCCTATTTATCAAATGGTGCACCATATTGGGCAATCTTTATCGAACTTAGTCTCTTGTAACCTCCTGCTTAATCCTTGGTGAAGATTGATTTACAAAATTAATAAACTAAGCGACGTGGAAGACTCTTATTATGTGTTGAATATCGATCAATACATATAATAACTGATAGTTTGCGATCCATCGCCTCTTTTGGTATATCAATTTTGCATACGGATCTTCATGCACATGATGTTACTTATAAATGAAAAAAAGAATTGTAGAAGGCTTATGACGATAGGTTCACCTATAATCGTGACAATAGAGAAGTTGTTTTGCGATGACTAAGATACACATGTACTCTAAGCATTATATTTTCCCCTACTTTTGGTACGGAACGGAATTATCGGCGAGGTGATATATCTAGTCAATATGACATTAGTATACATAGGCAAAAAAAAAAGAGAGGGTATGACCATGATTCAAAATGAATTTGAAAAGGAGAGAGCACAAATTACATATATCCTAAAAAGAGTTGCACTTGCTACTAAACTCTAGTGCAATGTGATTAACACTTTGTTTACGGGAAAAAAAAATTGGATATATCCTAAGTCCAGCTATCAATCAAAACAATCGAGATAGAAAAATGTTATATATTCAACTGCATGCAACTTAGCATACTGCACTTAGAACGATCTTGTGCAAATTCATGGTTTTCGTTGGAAGTAGAATAATGTTATATATTCACGCGAAAAGCTTTCCATGCACAATACAGTATACACGTACGGATATAGGACAATCGGCTATTGAGTAGAACATGCCTTTCGCTTGGGAGCTTTTTGTCTGTTGAATGGACCAAACCAACTTAGATGAATTCATGCAAATTGAAATCATCTGCATGAAATCGGTTCAGGGAATGCCAAGGATAATAATTGAACTCGCGAATACCTTATCATTCAATTAATCCCAACTTCGCCGAATTCGCGTCCTCAACCCAAATCCAACTCTAATGTCTAAGATTAAGACCGTGAGACATTCTTGCGTGATCTAGACGCCAGGCGCATGTCACTCGTCGTGCTACATCCTCAACGAAGAGACCCACTCGATCTAAAAAATGTATCAAAGTGCATCGGACATACTTAACACGTGCATCGATGGAATCAATTGGACGTTCATTTCTTAGAGACCTTTCTTGCATCATCGGTCATGGGGTGGAGATCGATGGCTCGAAAAGGGTCGAATGAGTGCGTCGAATTCATCGACATGGGGAAAAAGATGGACCGAAGCTTCTTCTTACCCGAAAAAATTTAGGGCTATAATAGATGTGAGGTTCCAAGACGTCTCTGCTCCGTGACAGCTAAGCTATTGTGGAAGCTTTCGAGCCCTTTGGCATCTTACGACACTTTAAATTTTCCTTGTACCCATCTGGTCATTCCTTACTAAATTGCGAATCTACCTAATTTTAGTTTAACTGGCTCGCATTATTCTATTTCGAGCTAACATGCCATCACATAAATGTCTCCATGCTGTACATCTTCCTCCTCTTTTTCCCCTCCTGTTCCTGCTTTTTAATGAATTGGTCGAATGTTTATCCCACGTTAATGATTGATTTTCTGACCATACACACTCTCTCTCTCTCTTTTTCGAGCTGTTTCACTTGCTAACTCCAAATTGCATGTGCAGCAGCCAAACGACAGATCATATTGCCCGTTCATCGCGAGTCAAATAATGATACAGTGATCATCAAAAAGCTTCGGTCTTCTGGGGTAGTTCCACACGCAGATCAATATTAACAATAATAATAACTTTCCTCGCCCCCCCAGAAAAGATAAAATAAATAAGGAAATAAATAGAGCACTGACCATCTAGGAATAATCCAATCTGAACGAGAATTGAAAACCGAAACCCCTTCCGTTTAGAAAAGGCCATAGCACCCACAAAAACAAAGAAAACAAACCATCAGAGAACACACTTTTTTCTTTATGTGATTCTTACATGAAACAATACAGCTCGATAACATTAAAAACAGTTGACCTACTAGTTCAATACTCACACCTCCGTTCTCGTTCCTCCATCAGTTCTTTTCCCAACATTGTCGCAATGCTAGGTACGCTAATGTTCTTCCACAAAATAAACAGACTTAGCGACGTGTCAGACGGCGAGTTGATATTTCTGAGAAGTGGACGAAACCCCGATGAAAGTATGTCGAATCACTCGCTGCATACCAATACATGAACTAATCCTAGCATGGCTAGCATTGTTGCTAACCTAGACTTGGTGCTCGTACATGCTTCTCAATGCTCTCCCAACATCATCGCTGTGCATCCGCGGTTGCAGTTGCAGTTGCGCTGCTTGCTTGGCCCAGCAAGCTGCTCATGGAGCGAGCTTTCACTATCCCGAGCTTCACCTTCTTCTTCACTGCCACCTTCTCCTCGATATCGCCATCATCTTCTTCATCTCCATCCTCGGTGCCTTCCGCTTTCGCCAGTGAATCTAGAGCTCTCTCTTCTGGAAATAGTTCGTTGGCTCGCGACGATGACAGCAAGTTGGGTCTCTTGCTTTTGCTCCGGACGCTCGTCATGCTCCTGAGCCTCCCCTTGCCCAAGTGATGCTCGCACAACGAATACCCCACCAGAGTCTGTTGGCAACACCGCCATCCTCTCCCGTTGACGCGGCTGCACCTCGAACCCTCCATGAGGGCCCCGCCTCTCCCTCTCTTCTTCGCACTGGAGCTCTCAATACCCACCACAATCTTCTTCTCTTCCCCTCCTCCTTGGCCTCGCCCTTCTTCGAATTCGCTGCCATCGTCCTCGTCAATATCGTCTCGCCTCGCATCTTTCTTGCTCGTTCTCGCATTCCCCGACTTGGCCGACCTCATCTTCTTGCTGCCGCCACTATCTTTAACATCTAGCATCGCGGTTTCGCCCAAACTCCCTCTTCTCTTCTTCGGCGGAAACACTCTCTCCCCCTCACACCATCTTTCCGCTGCTAACAATTACACAATAACGCACATTCGTCGAAACCGTTCCGTGCTCTATCAGTAACACACATCTCTGAGCTTTTATGATTTTTCAAAATGGAAGACTCACCTCGATGGGAAGGAGATGAATTCGCAGGAGATCCGCTCGGATATTCCACGGCCAATGCACTGGGGGTGCAAAGATAGTCACACAAACACAACCAATGAGCATGGCGAGTCAAGAAAGAGAAGATCGACGACCACGCTTATGCGTAGAAACTTGAGGCACAAAAGGGAGGGACGAAGAGAAAGGAACGACCCAATAATAATAATAATGGAGTGAGTGCAAGTGCAACAATGAAGGGTGCAAAAATGTTTTATCGTGTCTTTCGTTGGATGGGGACCAGCATCCTATGCTAACGTGCACCGCATCAGCATTATACATATATCTAGGACTCTATACATATATAGTAGTTGGTCAAATATATAACGAGGAAAATTAAAAAGAAAAAAAGAAGAAAGAAAGAAAGAAAGAAGAGGGTGAGATTAGATTCAGATGCGAAGGTATACTGGTGGCTAGCCAAACCTGATCTATATATAAAAATATCCTAAAACAGTATTTTCCACTTTCATAATAATATATACTACACATACAGGTATTTTTATCTCTCCTTTTTTTTTACCTTAATCTTTTTTTCCTCCCTATTTTCTTCTTTATGTGGGGGTGTAACGTGAATCAAGAGAGTGGTCTACCTGATCTTTAAGCTCTTTCTTTTTTTCACCTTTTTACTACAAAGAATTTTCATGAAGTAGGAGAGAAACACAAATTGGGGTTTTCTTAACTTTTTGTTGATTATCTTGATTTCCTGTCTTACCTGGAATCATTACCCTTCTTCTCTCCTCCATCTTCTTCCTCTTCTTGCAGCAACAGCTCCTGCAAAACTTACACATCACATGGAGGATCTATATTGAACAACAAAACTTACACCAATATATACTACCCCACCCAAGGGAAAAAGGGTGGATCAAATCAAAGACAGTACAACTCTCGCAAAAATCACATTGAACAGAAATCGCATTATTCCCAACAAAAAGCAAAAGAAAAATGAAAATCAAGAACACCCCCTTTCACAAAACAAAGGGAAAGTGCATAAAATGAACGTCTTTTCCTTCACTTACCGGAAAACCTCTCTTCCTTTCGTTCTCCTCCCGAGCAGCAGTGGAATCAGACGAATCCCGGCCTCCCGTCTCGGGTCCGACCGGCCGGGGAGGCCGATTGGGTCGATCAGACGGCCGAGAACTGGTGGGGCCGTCGGCTCCGTCGTCGTCATGGGCGGACCGGAGTTGCACCAGGCAAGAGCGGCGGCTCGAGAGGGGATCTGAGAGAGGGACCGGAGAGAGGGCCGACAGAGGGAGCGGGACTTGCCTTTTCCTGATCCTCATGCCTCCCCGTTTACTTCGGCGCAGCGGAGATATCGCGCGAGGGAAGAAAGGCGCGATTTTTTTTGTTCACCAAACGCGACGTACGGCCCGTAAGGGACACGACCCACCAGCTCAAACGGCGCCAAGGTCCGATCTTTCTTCGAGGCCCTGGTATGGTGGGGAGGAGGGGCGAAGGAGATGGAGGAGATGGGCTGTCTAGAGAGAGAGAGAGAGAGAGAGAGAGAGTGCAAAGGCGAGACCGAGGAGGAGAATACTTGCTAATACAACACCAAGACCGAAGGGGAAAATGTCTTTTTTATATATTGAACTCATCCAAGTCACACGCACAGCAGACGCACCACAAGCACACAAGAGAGAGAAAACACACACAACATACTTTGGCTTGGCTTCTCTCTCTCTCTCTCTCTAACTTTTATCTGTTGCACCACAGGAACAAGAGATAGAGAGAGAGAGAGAGAGAGAGAGAGAGAGAGGAGGGATGGCGTTGAGAGGGAGAGGGAGAGGGAAGGGGGGCGGAGGTCGCACGTGGGAGGGTGGGGGCGGGCACTTGCGGGGACCGGCTGAGCCGGTAACCGGTGAATCACCCGCAAGAGTTGGAGGAGGAGGGTGGAGGGAGACAGGGCGCGGTGTGGATGTTGGCGATCATATATATTGCTCTGGAGATTTATCCACTATTGCATGTCTGATCAATCACGTGTCCAAGAAATAACTAGATAAAAACCATCAATTACCGCTTTCCAACCCGGCTTACCAATATCTCCTTACAAAGCCCGTAATTTCCTAAATCGATTCGAAGTGTCGAGATTTTATGAAAATATTACTATTTTTTAAAAAGACTTCAAGTATTTCGTGCGAAAAAAAAAATAAAATGAGCATCCAAAGTGTCATGGGACGGCGAGATTCAAAAGCGGAAGGAATCGGTTTTCCCAATCACCCCGTCATGAAATGATGTTTGTATTCAACTTTTCATTTATTTATTTTTTTGGGCGTGTGGGATTGGATGAGGATAATGCTTTCCTCCTCCTGGCTGGGTGGAGGGAGGGAGGGAGGGAATGCTACACAAAATGATGGGAGTGGTGGGTAGTTTTATCGTTCGCACCACCCCGTCCTTTTCTTTTTAAATCATAGGAACAACACAAGCAAAGTAGGTCCCCTCCCTCTCCTCCCCACCCTTTTGGTGTTAGCAGCGACCGAGATGCTCCTCTTCATTGAGCCTCCTTCCTTGTCATTAAAGAAAGCCCAAACCTTACAACCAGCTCCCCTCCCCATTCACCCCCCCCCCCCCCTCCCCCCGGTGCAATTCCTTTTGCTAGGTCGCCGCCGGTCGATATAAGTTCCGGTCATAGTAGATCGGACCCTGCTGGGATTCGGATTTAGGCAAGGCGTTGCCTTGAGAGTTGAGGGACGTTCGCATGTTTCTCCTTTTGCGACCTCTATCCCATGCTCGCGAAGGGCACCGGGCACGCTAGCCAAAGAGCCGTTGATCTGCTAACCCGTCTCGCCGTCCTTCCATCCGGGCGAAATGATGTCTCCACCCAAGTTGCTAACCATGTTCTCAAGCCTCCCTCGCCCTCTCCCCCTCTCCCCCCTACCCCCGTCTCATATTTCATTAGTCAACTTTCTTTCGTATGCGTGTCTCGTGTGGTCTAATATGGGTTCGTGACGTCGGAGGAGAGAGGACTATGAAATGACGAGATGAACGGGCGATGGGCGATCAGCTAGTGCGACTAGGCTAGCCAGCGACATAGACATAACAAGGAGGCATGTTGCGATATTTACGGCAGTAGCGCAAGTGAGAAAGAGAGAGAGAGAATATTTATCTCAAGGGATATCCTCACTGTGTAATTATTGCAAGCGATCGTTATCCTTGTCTAAACAAATCTAGCCTAGATGGAAATATGAACGATGTTTTGCATATCTAATGCTAATTTCAGCTTTGGTTAATCAAATTCTAAATTTAAAACTTATAGAGGAGATTATTAATGTAGATGCAGATTTGCTAATGTAATGTGAGAAAGTGGCATTAACATGTACACCTACCCTCTCCGGTGCCCTAATCACGTAGTAGATGCACCAATGGTATCGCGTCATCGGCTTGATTTGACGTACATCACAACTTTTACTTTTCGTGCTTATGACATGAATGGCAATATATATATTATCTAAAAACACAGTCATAACATCTAAATTCATGGAAGGGCAAGTTGACTAATTTGTTCACCACAAATAAGGGGAAAGTAGCTTTCAGTGCCACTCTCGCCCACTTGCGTCCTGCCCATTTTCTATTTTCTCTCTCAGTTTTTGCCTTGCTTTCCTATGGAATTTTCCCTTATTTTGTGCCTAAAATGTACTTTTTTAGATGTACTTGGCAATGATTGGCATAACAAGATACGATGTATTACAATGCATCCTACGAGAGGTATTCTTGATCTCCAGACATAAAGAAAAACATATTTGGATTCACATTACGGTGCACTTAATTCGATATTTTTCCGATGTGCATGAGGTGTTTATTCTCAACATGAATTAAACGGAGTGTGTTTTTATAGAAACCTTATTGATATCAAAAACTCATCAGTCGATATTACGTTCATTTGGCGTATTTTACTATAAAGCTTATTAGGTAAGAAGGCAGCGAACTTTTATTTGTTTTTATTTTATTTTATGAAAAGTAGGTTATTAGCTACTTGCACCTAATATATGTAAATTATCAATATAAATACATGGTGTCTCGAACTTTTTTTAACGATGTCTCACATATTAAATTTTTTTATTAAATATATCAAAAGATATATGTAGATTATTAATAAAATAAATGGCGTCTTACTTTTTTAACGATATCTCGTACATAATAGGAAAGTTCCGTTAAAAAGATAAAAAAAGACTGCGCTAAATATATATTCACCCATCTCACTAATAGAGTGGGGTACATTTAAATGATAAGTTGGTGTCAGATGCCAAATATATTTTGAATTTATTATATAATTTTCTCACTTATAAATATTTATCAAAAGGTTGTTCTTGTTACATCTTTTAATCTTACAAAAAAAATTCGATTAAAATAATTAGATGTGCAACTATTTCCATCAATGGGTGAGATAAGTGAGGGGGAATATTGGCATCAAATACTAAAGACCTCAGGGATTTTATTAAGGATGAAAAATCACTAGGCTAAAAATCCTTGTGTTTAACGTTTAATATTTACCAATTTGCATAAAAAGACATTAATAATCTCTGAACTTTTTTTTGCTAATTAGGTCCTTAAATTATATATATATATATATTTTCGAGTTGATCCTTTCCTCAAATAGATGATAATATTGGTGTAGCCGGTTTATTGCCGTTAAGTGCTAGGATGAAACATAATAAATTAGATAAAACAATTTTTTGAAAATCAGAACGAGGAACTTTGGAAAGAAAAGAAAAAAGTTAAAAGATAACAACGGGGAGGGGGAAGTGGCTGTGGCGGGGAGGAAGCGGCAGCAGCGATGGTGGCGTTGCGGTGGCACCGGCGAGGGCTCGGTGCCCTCGCCGAGCTCAGGCGGCGCCTCCACTTCCGTCGCTGCACCATCTTGCCACAGATCTGGGCGAGATCACGACCCTCGCCGCAGACAGCTGTTGCGAGTTGAGCCAGTCCGACGAGATGAGTTCGGACATGAGGGCGCGCTTCTAGAGCCAGAACATGGCGTAGGAAGCTGCTGGAGATAGCGACCGGGATATGACGAATTCTTGCTCGTTTGACGGGAAGACCCGCTCAACAGTATAGGCTATGGCGACGAGGCGCTCGGTGAAGGGCTGAAAGCGGTTGACCCGGCGAAGGGACAGCTGGGCCTTGTGGGCGCAAAAACGCATGCGGTGTAGGCGGCCCCTCGCCAACGCTTTGGGCAGCGGCGCGGCCTTCCCTGTCGCCACCTCCTCCTTCGAACCCTCACCATCCCAACAAGCACAGCCATTTCCCTTGCATCAACGCCATCTTCCTTCACTCGCCTGGAAGAACACGACGTCAACGAAGAAAAAGAAGCATCAGATCTTCTGCTTAATCGGCCACGTTTCGAGCCGCAGCAAGACATGAAATTTGGTCGAGTCGAAACCTGCCATCTTTCTCCATATCAAAACACTGGGGGGAACCCTCACCCAGATCTGCTCGATTCAAAGGCGCCGCGGCGGCCCTCGCCGGTGCTCTGTGGCGGTGGCAAAACATATCGACTCGCAAGCAAAGTCCCTACCGATTTTTGGTGAGTATTGCATACGAAGATTCATTCATTTAGATACAAAGTGCCATTGAACTTGAACACAGTCCCATAAATTTGTCGCGTGATCTAACATATTCAACGGTTCAAATGGGTTCATCGCGTTATTCACATCCCCGCAAAGTAAGGGCTTCCGAAATGGTGCCGGGGTTCGAGCCAAAAATGGAGAGCATTTCTCGTGAAGCCTTTATCCAGTGTGGAATCTAAAATTCGCTCCACATCCAACTTGACCTTTTGCTCAGGAGTGCATGCCATGTTCCTTTCTTCTCCATCTCTTTCATAGAGGGGGCTAAGTCATCTTTAGCTTTGCATTATCTAATTGTTTTCCATTGCCAAAGCGCATATGCTTTCAAAGTCCTCTTACATCTATCCATCGATCTATTTATTTAAATGTGTGTACACAGTCAAGAAAAGCGGAACACACATCTGCAATTATTGGCAAATGAAAAGATGGGGAAAGCATACAAATGTTGAGAGAGATGGGATAACCAGCATAGGATCCACGCTCTTATGGAGTTTATACAAGTCCAATGGAGTTCATTTGACCTTAATTACTCTTTCTTTTTTGCTGTAATATGATAAGAGATTTGGATCTGCGCGATAATCCAAACCACTCGATTAATCATCAATCAAGATTCAAGAAAGATACACAACCCTCGATTGTGGTACACATTGATGATGTATTGAGATACATCTTCAAAGAAAGCGAGACTTTAATCCCCTCTTTGATACTCGACGAATCATCTCATCTTCTTAGTGCGTCGGCGTGCTACCGAGGGCTTACAATGGACCCTAAAGAAAATTCTTAGAATGAAAGGACGTTTGCTTATTATGCACACCTCGGATCTGCAACAAGAAAAGAAAAAGGAAAGAAATCCACAGCTAGGGTTGAGAAAGTGATGCGTGCATATGCCTTTTGTCTTAACTTTCTCCTCCCCCCCCCTCCCCTCTCTCTATTATGCTTTTCAGCATAGGTTTTTGATATGCGATTGGCATAAACCCCATTGAACGTAGCCCATGCAATAACTTTTTTTGGGCAACACATTGTGCAAATCCTAGTGTGAAGTCATACGAAGGTGTAGGGACATTCCCTATGCACCGAGCGTCGGCATGCGTGGCTTCTCCTCAAAACCCGATCAATTAACTGGGTCACAATCGATTCTCTTTTTGATCAATTGACCATTATTTTCGTTCATGCTAGCTCTTGCCCGAGCATAAGTCGAGCATCACTCCGCAATGCTTTCGAGCAACGGGCTAAAGATCATTTCACTCCAATCAGCAAGGCAGTTCATCATTCAGATTGCTTGCTGGAACTTACCATGACCTAAAGCGAAGATCGAACTTTCAAGGGACATTATTCACCCAGCTAAGACATCGGCCCAATAAAGCAAGGAAAGGAACGGTTGGGCCGAGGAAAGAGGAGTTGTCGGATCATGGCCGGAAATGAAAAGTCAATGTCTTATCTGTTGTTTCCTTCTTTCCTTCCTTCTCTCTCTCTCTTTTTAAACCTTTCTCTCAATCTACCACTGCTTTTGCCCTCCCTTGCAAGGCTGCTGAAGCCTCAGATTCCCTCGTTTCAGAGGATTCCCAAAAGTGCATGGACCCACTTCATGCACTTACCATCGATGACACATTTGATCTTTCAAAACAAAAAGATTCTTGATCAAACGAGTTATATGCATTTGGCTAATATGGTTTCGCTATAATCATGTCGGCGTATAGTCACGAACTATTGTTTTCGCTTCGACCGATGTTACTAGAACCACTTTCTCGCATCATCCGATCGCGCATCTCGGCTTCTCAACTCCCGCTCGCCCACCCGAAGCAGATGAACGGATATGGATGGCATAGAAGAGACTTAGATCTTAAGTAAATCGTGGTGAAGGAAGTTGCCGGTTGGCTTTCCGCGAACAGCATCCCTTACCTTGGAGGAAATCGATTGACAAGGAAAGAATCTCTTCTTTTACGAGATAAAAGGAGCTCCTATGTTTGAGAGATTGAATTGGTTTCCTAAATTAAATTCGTGTAGTGATGTCGCATCACCACGATGAAAAGGAAAACGTCAGACCAATCCCTGAAGCCTTCTTCCCCTTTGGCTTCTCCACGAGGTCTTAGGGCGACGAAGTTCTTGCACGTTGTCGATTTTTCAATGGAGATATTTTCCTAGCCTAAGCACATTGTCAATTCTTCTTGTGTCCAATCTGAGCATTTAATTGATGATTTGAAAGACATAAAAGCAACCAGCTCATCGCGTGATTATCGCCGAAGCTAGGCATAACGTGAGCTCTGCTTTCCTTCCCAGTTAAGCTGAGTTCCAGAGTTGCTACAGTCTTTTGAGAAACGGAAGCTAATTTGAAGACTTTTGTGGTGAAATAACGCGGAAGCCGCCGAATCTCGTGGACCGCGTTCATTGCTTAGGAAAAAAATGAGCTTGGCTAAGTCTATAGACGTATGTGATAATTGAGCATCCATCGGGCATCAACAGAGCATGCATGAATGACGAGAACTATAACTTAGCTGTAATTATGGAGCTAAAGTAAAGAAAACGTTAACCTATGTCTCGACCTTGAGCCCATCATGGAAAGCCCAATGCACAAAGTGCGGCCTATATTATGTAGCTGCTCATGGTATTGATTAAGAAAAGCCCACTTGGACTTTGTTGTCCAAGCAAATTCGGCAGAGCTGATCTTGGAATTACAGGAAGAAGAACACTAGTGAAACTTCCGAGACGATGAATGTTAATTCTGCTCGTGAATTGCATATTGAAACAAATAAGATGAGTGGTACGGATTAGTCCTCCGTAAATTTTCTCTATGAGAGATTATGAGATAATATTTTTGTGGGTTTTGTTTGGATGTAATCTAAGACTGTACATGAAAGATTGAGCGATTTTATATATTCCGTAATTCTTCGAATTCATAAGGGATTTCTTTACCGCCTACTTTTCTATGGCATAGATACCTAACATTCGGGCTGAGCCACGTAAATTTTCACATGTCCTTAGTCATTGTTCTCTCACGTTTGATATTGAATCGCAAGATACGTTACCTTCAACTCCGACTACTTCTCTAGTGAAAAGTTCTTGACTCCACATATCTAATTCAACGCTATATTACGTAAAAGCATATGTCCACACGAGAGTGAAATTTTCCTTCCAGAAGAATATATACTGCTATCTCAATTTGGATTTTGTTAACGAGTACCTCAATTACATTAGTTAAGCAACCAATAGGGAAACTTTACAGTTTTTAATGCACCGATTGTCTCGTGTCGTGCACAATCGGTACATTGGACATCTAATTATTCCAAATAAGTATACTTAGTCCTCCACAAACATAGGATTCCAAGTATCTCACGTTATACATCGAAATTTGTTCCTAAATTTTCCAAAAAGAGTCTGTTTGAGGATTGCTGCATATAAAGGTCAGGTTCCGACTGTATAGATAAGGAAGACGGGGCCGTTCTACGGTGTCTCCGCAGCCTACTTGAGGCCATCATAAACCGTCGCAAACATTTCATTTGATTGTTAATCATTACAAAATGTCGTATATTACTGCATATACTTGTACAAAAGAGCCCTTTGAATAACAAATCTACTTTAGCATAAATAAATATGAGGTGCTTTATCATTGACTATTTGGATACGATAACATCAGCTTATTTATGATAGCTTACCAAGGAATGTGATGCCCGGGGAAGACATGGCCTGCCAAAAGTAAAGTTGTTAGCTATACAGAATTGACTGTTTCAACTTAAGGCCGATTTTTTTTTTTGTAGGGCCGGTTCACACACTACTTATTTATTTATTTCGCGAAAAATGAATGATTTGGAAAATATTTTCCTAAAAATAATCAATTATATCAATTGAATTAATTAGTTAATGAAAAATGTTTTCATTATCGACAACAATTTATGTCTAAACATTTTTCGTGGACGACCAAAATATCTTTCATTCATTCATTTTTGTAAAAGATACAAGAGATCGTTTTTAGGAAAATATTTTCAAAATTATTCATTTTTCGCGAAACAAACTGACCCTACTTTGTTTGGTTTGAGGATATTCGTACTAAGAATATTTCGGTCAACCCTTTTATACACAGATAAGGCCGTGTATCTTTGACATTTTTCATACGTTTATGTTGATTGATTAAGTGCTTATCTTGAATGTAACAGATCTTGTTTACAAATATTAGCATTGTATGGAGCCCACGGATACCACCTTACGGGTGAAACCTTACTTAAAACATGTATCTGTTGAGGTTAATCGATTTGAAAAATTCGGATAATAAATATGTTAAAACATGTTATGTGATACACGAGTCGAGATTGTGTTACAAAGTTGTGACATGATCAACAAGAATGTCACGATCTAAATTTTACAGGATATATTTATGAAACTATACGAGCATGATGCAAAATCAGGGAATGATGGCCTTATCTCTCTCTCACTCACTCTCTCTCTCTCGATCTAATTGTACCTCGCGTGTTGAAATTAAGTTTTTACGATTATTGTCCTCGGTTTGATTAGACAGCAAGCTTTGCAAATACGTATTCCTTTGGATACAAAATAAAAAATTACAACATTTTCCTTAGACCATTGTGCTAGAGTTCTGCACGTCAATCGCTTGTCTATAGGATTTTACTAAGCCTTATATACATATAGACTCCATCCTTTCATCTATAAGCTTTTAGGTAGGATTTTCTAGCATGGTATAACGGTCAAATTCCGCCCAGATTTATTTCACGGGTGAGGCTTCGCGTTTGTCTACCCCAACTGTTATTCTCAATGTAGACTTTCCCAACACATCATAGCGGGACCACCAACTCCAAAAAAATATTCAGTTTGAACCGTGTTATTTCGAAGTTAGGTATGTCCGAATCAACATCCCCAGAACATAATAGGTCGTGCTCGTGCTCTTCTCTCATCGGAGGGAATATCTGGACTTGATATATCTGATGTAGTTTAATAATGGAAGTTGAAACTCTTTCAAATGAAGATATCATTTAATACACTCAGAAACTTGTTGACCGTCCACAAAAGATTTTGAGTGTCGATTAAAAATTTCATGTGGACCCAAAGTATGCCGCAGGCTACATGTGTAAGGGAAAATTTTCGTTTAAAAGAAAGATACACCCAATGTAAGTTCCACTATGCGATTTGAAAGCGTTAGGAATGAGAAACTTCAAAGACAGAAAAATTGGAAAAGAAGACACGCAATTTTTTTATGTTGAAAAAGTCTTTCAAATTAGAAAGGGAAAATCAAGGTGCCGCATTAAACAGTTTTTTCATTATCAGTATCGGGTTATGATTACGAAAGAGATCACCCCAATATATAACACGAGTTTAGATCGACCTTCTACAAAATTCGCCGTGGTGACGTAGCCTTGGAATTTAACTCGTGTACTCACTCCGATTGCGAAGAAACGGTAAACGTCTAATTCTTTATTACGATAATGCATCGTGTTTTCGCTACATCTATTTGACCTAATTAAAATACAATGCTTAAGTATACAAGTATCTTAGCAGGGATGAAGTTTTAGGTCAGAGATATGCGTTGCCTTCTCAAGTACGCATGCTTTTTGCGTCTAATCAGATCTGACAAAGATTGCCATGTATTGAAAACTTCAACGCTAGAGGGCGGTGGGTGGAGGATGAACATTACCCTTAACCCTTTTTTTATTTCGATCCTCACTTCACTTCTCACCAAAATCTCTCCTAAGTTTATCTCCAAACATGTAGATGTACTCGGTCCTCGCACCTATTCCAACATGGTGAAGATGAAACGGTCTAGTCAATTCATAAGGCCTTGATTATTAGAGCTGGCAAGCAATTAGTTTAATAAGTTTACGCGCTCATGACGATTTTAGAGCCGTAGGAGCTTCAGCATATCCTAACTATATATAGGACCAAGAATGTGCTTCAGGATTCAAATTGCTCAACTTTTGAGAGGGATCCGATTAGTGCACATAACGTTGCTTAACGAGTCATGGCCCGTTCTTCTACTCCTTCCTCGCTGATGGCAGTGGCCCTTTTCGCCACTGCAATGTTGTTACTCCTCCGTCCGTCGAACGCTCAACTAACTGCTGATTTTTATGAAAAGTCATGCCCGGGCGTGTCCAGCATCGTCCAAACCGTGATCCAGGAGGCCCTTCAATCCGACCCACGAATCACCGCCAGCCTCCTCCGTCTCCATTTCCATGATTGCTTCGTCCACGTGAGTCCCTAAGCTAGATCAATTCCCGTTAACGACGGTTTTTTTGATCCGATTATTGGGTAGTGTTAGTCACGTAACCTAATGCTTGAGCATGACATATGTGTTAAAAGGGGTGTGATGGATCGCTGTTGCTGGACAATAGCCCAACCATACAGAGCGAGAAAGATGCAGCTCCAAATTTCCAGTCGGCGAGAGGTTTCGGTGTGGTGGACAAGATCAAAGCGGCTATTGAGAGCGCCTGTCCTGGGACCGTGTCTTGCGCCGACATTCTCGCCCTCTCTGCTCAGGCTTCCGTCTCTTTGGTATATGTAGTTATAGTAAAAGAAACATAAACATAAATTTAAAGTATATTGAGGGTTGGTTACTATTACTTAGCCTCGAGGAATCATAATTGTGTCTCTCTTGATTATTACTCTTATGAAATTGCAGTCGGGAGGTCCATATTGGACAGTGCTCCTGGGGAGGAGGGACAGCTTGACAGCGTACCAAGCGCTAACAAACACATCGATACCGTCCCCTTTTGATAGCTATTCCAACCTCATTTCCCAATTCTCTGCTGTTGGCCTGGACGTCACCGACCTTGTCGCTCTTTCAGGTAAAATAGAACAGTTGCACTTGCATTTTGAAACGAAATGTGCAACTGCAGATATTGATGCCCCAAATAGATTTACAGAGTGACGTGCTGGATTTTTGTCACACGACTACTCGGCACAAACATTTCTTCACTTCTGTTTAACACATTGGAACCTCCTAATATGATCATGGTCTCTTCTTAATTGAGATCGAATTCATAGCACCTCATAACTATAACTTTTCATCACAGATGTATGAATATCCGAAGGATGGTATCAAAATTTGCATGCCCCCTCATATACTTATTTGAGAAATGCCAAGTATACTTTGGTCATTTTACAGAATCAATACATTAAGTGAAGTCGCAAATCGTTATTATTTATTCATATGTCCACTAACGAGTTTGTCGCATGTATTTGGTATACAAATTCGTTGAGCAATCCTAGCATTGGTCTATTCATCCACCTTCATAATTGAGCTATCTGCATATATTTTGTTCTCTTAGCTCACTTTTCGTGCATATGATGATAAAACAGGAGCTCACACCTTTGGACGTGCACATTGCAAGGTATTCAGCCCTAGGCTCTACAACTTCACCGCGAGCGGTGGCCCCGATCCCACCATTAACCCGTGGTACTTGACCACTCTCCAGAAACTTTGCCCTCAGAACGGCAACAGCAGCGTCCTCTTCGACCTTGACCCAACGACCCCGAACTTGTTCGACAACCACTACTACTCCAACCTCCAGAAAAATGAAGGGCTTCTTCTGACCGATCAAGAGTTGTACTCGACAGCGGGCGCCGCGACTATCTCCCTTGTCAACAGCTTCAGCTTCGACCAGAGTGCCTTCTTCGAGAGCTTCGCTCAGTCGATAATAAACATGGGAAACATTAGTCCTCTCACCGGGAGTAACGGGGAGATCAGGTACAATTGTAGGAAGGTCAATGGGAATTGAAAGTGTTTTTTGGGGGATTGTTGGAAATGTCGATTCTACTGGAGAGAGAGCCAGATGTTTGTATTTCTACGTCGAGTGTGTAGTGTTAAGAGTTAGTCTGATTAAAGTATTACAATGGATTGCGCATCTCTGTTAAGAGATCACATTTAATAAATGAGATTTTCTTTTATTGATCATCCATGAAGAGTTTGTTAGAAATTCTTATAAACGTGGGTTAACATCGATCACCTGACATTTTAGTTTGTGAAAGACATGTGGTTATATAGTAAATAAAGTACATGAGACCATGCTTGATAGCCTGAATACAATTGTTTAATCAATTTATATTGGGCCCAAGCACATCTCCGTACGATGATAAAATGGCGTTCGAAGGTCTGTGAAGGGTGGTAGCTTAACAATGACGATTATATTCTTCAAGTCTATCCAAAGGAGGACATTGAGAAAACAAACACGCCTTTCTTCCGTATTGATTTGTTCCGAGACGGTGGCCGCCTAAATCAAGTATACGTAATTTCGGCCCCAGATTGAAGTATTTCAAATTCTATCTTGTTACATCGGTCATTTTTATACAGAGTTATAAAGTTTCTCGAGATGAGGTTTTTACAAGATGCACTGACAATTTGCAATTTTTTCACCTCGAGATTTAAAAAGAAGAAGAAGAAGAAGATATGATGAATGATCTTGCTAAAACTTCAGTAAAGCATACAGTGTTTAACAAGATTTCGCAGAAAGTGGAATGATCTATTCAGGTCAGGTTTGAATAAACTATGCTACCCATAACCACTGTTGATGAGGATAAGGAGACAACAAGTAGAAGCACGCGCTTCTATCAATGAGAATACACCAAGACAAGAGGAAAGCATAAAACAGCTCGGTTCTACCGAAGGATCCTCATTCAAACAAATCTTGAGCACTTTGGTGATTATGTCCGAAATAGAACCAAGCGGAACTGAAGAAGTATTGGCCAATGAAAATTGGATAAAATCAAAGCAAAAAAATTGCATCAGTTCTGCGTAAACGAAGTCTAGGAGCTTGTACCAAGACTAGAGGACTATCCGGTTTTTTAAACCAAATGGGCATTCGAAGACAAGCTTGATGACAAGGGTAAAGTCATAAGAAACAAAGTCAGGTTGGTAGCTAAACGTTATTCTCACGAAAAGGGCACATACTATGACGAAACCTATGCACCAGTGGCTAAATTAGAAACTATCAAGCTACTACTTGCTTAACTAGGACTTTACAGATGTATGTAGTAGTTGAGTGCCTGTCAAGGCATTGGCAAAATCAGCATGAATGACGAGAACCATAACTTAGCTACAAACGTGGAGCTAAAGTAAAGAAAACGTTAACTTATGTCTCAAGCTTGAACCCGTCATGGAAAGCCCAACGGTACAGAAACGTGTTTATGAAGAAAAGCCCACTTGGACATTGTTGTCCAAGCAAATTCGGTGGAGCTGATCTTGGAGAATTAAAGGAAGAAAAAATGGGCTTCCGTGTTTTTGGGCCCGGCAAAGTTATGACTTGACTTTGGATTCTTGTTTTGACGGCCTAGTTCTTCTCGGATTCCATTAAAGCCGAGTTTTGCATAAACACACGTTAACCATCCGAGGCAGCAAATGCTGATTCTGCTCGTAAGTTGAGTATTGAAACAAATAAGATGAGTGATTATTCATCTGTAAATTTTCTGGATAAATTGTCCCGGAAAGATTATGAAATAACATTTTTATGGGTTTGCTTTGGATGTAATCTAAGACTGGAAGATACAGGAACGATTGAGCAATCATATACTCTATAATTCTCCCGATTCAAAAGGGATTTCTTTGCGGCCGACTCTTCCTGTGGCGAAGGTATTTAACGTTCAGACCAAACCACGTAAATTTTTTTAGTGTCCTTATTTTCTTGTTCTCTCATGTTCGATTTCGAATTGCAAGATCCATTACCTTCCATGTTATTTCACATTAACTTCGACTACTTCTCTAATCATAAGTTGTTTGATTTACAGCAATCTTGACTCAACGAATCTAATCCAACACCATAATATGTAACGGCATATGTCCATGTCGGAGAGTGAGAATTTCCTTTGTAAAGAATATACTGCTATTATGAATTTGGATTTTGTTAACGAGTGCCACAATTACATTAGTTAAGCAATTAATTAAGGAAACTTTCCAGTTTTTAATACACCGATTATCTCATGTCATGCACAACCAATACATTTTGTATTTAGTTATTTCAAATAAGTATACTTGACAAGTGCTTTGAGGGTACTGGTTAACAGCACCCAACCAATTTATCTGAACCTCCACAAGCACATGATTCCACGCATCTTACGTTATACATCGAACCCTGTTCCTATAATTTCCAAAAAAAAGTATTGAGTATTTCTCTGCGTATAAAGGTCAGGTTCCGACCGTATAGGTAAGGAAGACGGGCCGTTCCAAGCAAAATTCAATTTGAACTGTGTTATTTCGAAGTTAGGTATGTCCCAAGCAGCATCCCCAGAAAAAAATGGATCGTGCTCCTCTCCTCGGACGGAATATCTGGACTCGATTTATCTGTTGTAATTCAACAATCGAAGTGGAAACTTTTTCAATGAAGATACCATTTAATATACTCAGAAACTGCCTAACCATCTATAATAGATTTTGAGTGTTGATTGTGCCCTCTCGGCTGTCATTGACGACACATCGATTCAACTGCTACGAACACATTAAATTTCTTGTGGACCCAAAGTATGCCGCAGGCTACATGTTCAAGATCATGCCTGGCAATGCCAAAATAATAAAGAGAAATTTCGGTTCGAAAGGTCCAACCGCGATCTCAACAACCATTGCAATTGCAGGTCCCTTTTAGGGTGCACCCAATGGAAACTTTACTTTCTGACCTGAAATTATTTGGAACGAGAAGCATAAAAACAGAAAAAAAAAGTCAGAGGATAAGGCACGCGAATTTTTCCGTGAGCGAAAATTCTTTAAAAATTAGAAAGGAAAAATTACGTTACCACACTAAGCGATTTGCAATGGGTTGCATAACAATCTTTAGATTATTGTGAACCATAAATTCTTGAAGAAGTAGATCCTATAATAATTTATAATAAATTTTTTGCGGTCCAGAACAATCTGTTATTCTTACAGTAGATTAAAAATAGTCACTTAGCAATTACCTTAAGTTGGCATAAAAGGAACCTTGAAATATATTGATAAGGATAAACTTCATGAGCTGTAGCTTGTTGTGTTACAACTTTTTCAGTTTATGTCACATTCAAATAGTTAGAAATGATTGATAAAGAGTTACGGTCTTTAGCTAATACTTCTATTAAACTCAGTAATCGTTGAAGATGAAATTTTTTAGTATATATTAATTCCTTTTTTGTGTAAAAAAATAGAAATGGAAGACCTTCCATAGTCATCCGCCTCTCTTTTATACGATTTTCACATCTGGTGGGTTTGCTTTTGTATAGAGATCCGGAATGCAATAGATTTGACGGACGGAACTTGAGCAAAAAATTCGAAGTAAATTCACAAACAATGAAAAAAATGTTCTAGATTTTAATTTCCTGGATTTACTCTATTGTTATTTTCCTTGCATTCTCAGGTTAATAATATCTTCAAAAAAAATTATTTAGAATTCATGCCATATATTTATGATTTACGTGTTAGGATTTGACATACAATTATAAGGAAATAGAGAGTAAAAACAAGAAAAAGAAATTGAGATACAGATTTTTATCTTAATTCACCCTTAAACTAGGGTTATATCCAGTAGATAATTCCATTATAATTAGCACTTCACACCTCTTTATTACATTCCTCAATTACAAGAGAAAAAGATTATAAACATGCAACACAGTAACTATTCATGAATCTAAATCCAAATTACTAATAAAAATACGGGCTCAAACTATATCATTACATTACAACCTTTTTACTTCCTCTAATCAATCTTTAACTTCCTAAAATTATGATTTTTTACTAAGTTATGCATATTACGCTTGACCAACACTCAGCTCCTTTTGTCACGTCTCCTTTGACTAACATTATTAGCTATGAACAGAAGATACGACCGGGAGGAGCGCGGTCCAATAGCTAGTCTTAGGGGTGAGCATGGTCCAGATTGGGCCAATTCTACACCTAACCCTAGGACCAACCCGCATAGTGTTGGTCCTTAATTTTTGGGGAAAATTAACAAAAAAGTCCTAAACCTATTGTAATTGTGCTAATTCAGTCCAAAACCTTTTGCAATTATGCCAATTCAATCCATCCGTCCACTTTGGCCGGCCGGCGCTGACGTGGACGTCGGATGGCTGACGTGACAATATTTTAATAAATTTTTTTTCGATTTTTTTTTATTTTTTTCCTTTCTCTTTTTTTTTTCTTTTCCTTCTTCCCCCTGGCCGGACTGGCCAGGGGGAGGTTCGCTGGCGAGGTGACCTCGCCGGCCACTGGGGAGGCTCGCCCTCGCCAGCATTGGTGAGGACGAGCCTCGCCTAGCTCTGGCAAGGGTCGACGAGGATCTGGCGAGGTCGAGCTTCGCCATGTCTGTGGGCAAGGTCGAGCTCGCCTAGCCATGGCGAGCTTCGCCCTTGCCAGTCCCCAGTGGCTGGCAAGCCTCCCCATGGCCGGACCGGCCAGGGGGAAGAAGGAAAGAAAAAAAAAAAAAGAGAAAGGAAAAAAATATTAAAAAATTCGAAAAAAAAAATAAAAATATATTAAAATATTATCACGTCAACCGGCGGGCCAAAAGTGGCCGGATGGACTGAATTGGCGCAATTACAAAAGGTTTAGGACTGAATTGGCACAATTGCAATGGGTTTAGAACTTCTTTGGTAATTTTCCCTCAATTTTTGGGACTGAGGACCAACCCTGTTGAGCTTGGGATTGAGGACCGGACCGACCTTAGGGTCAACCCGGGACCGACCAATTCTTTTTTTGTTTTATTTTTTTGTGTTCCTTGAAAGTACATACTCTTTCAAATTTCATATTTATCAATAATGTGACATTCAGCAATCAAACTATGAACACCGATACGTATCAAACATAAATCTAAGATAAGATAACAACATAAATCTCCATTTACTAAAAGCAACGAACCATAAAAAAGCGAACACGTGAAAGCAAGGCCGAGGCGAGCAAAGAGGCAAGCAGGGAGCAAGGCGAGCGAATAGAGTTGAGAGCGAGGTGAGTCAGTAGAGATGAGCGGTGCGAGGTGAGGAATAGGGTTTCACAAGTGAGCGGCGAGCGAACAAAGCGAGGCGACAAGCAAGGAAGAGGAGGGTTTCTATTTTTTTTTTGGTCAAATCAAGGCTAGGTTAACTAGTTAAGTGGGTTTCTACTTTATAATTTACAATTCTACACGGCAGAACCACATAAAAAACAGAAAAAATAGTGGCACAGTTGCTAGGGTAGGATTTAAAGTAAACAAAATATATAAATATAATATATACAGGGTTGATCCGGGTTAGACCAATCCTAAAGTCTCAAGATCGAGGACCAACCCGCATAGTGCAGGGTTCAGGGGGTTCTAGGACCAAGGACTAACCTAGTCCCCTTGGGAATTGAACCAGGACCGATCGGGTTGGGCCGGTCCAGGGTTGACCCTAGAGCGATGCTCATACCTAATCTATAAAATGCTCGGACAAGAATAAAATTACAAACCTAATAAACAAAAAAGAAGAAGAAAGATGACAAATGACAAATGAGCTGAGATAATGCACTTTGGAGGGATGAATTCAAAGAACGTCCCCCAAAACCCATCTCAAAAGTTGATCTTGAGGTAAAAAGAGACACTTCAAATGAGTTTTCGTCTTTTACTTGTGCAATCCTTATAATAAACTCCAGTTTGGTCAAAAGTTATGTCATGTTCAAACGAATCCTTATTTTTTAGCCCCTCCGTCTGCATTTTCCACCTATACGAAGCTTCTTCAATCTTGACTAATTGCATCCTCGTCGATTATTCTAAGTTTAGGCATTTAAATACCTGTAGATAAAATGAGTAGATTATTTTAACCCGAGCAATAATTATGTAAAATCAGCATGTATCAAAGAGAAACAATCATTGTTGGATTAATGTATCCGTCAAACTTAAATTACGCACTCCCTCTAAGGCAATTGTCACATAAGTCCTAAACTTATTATATGAATGTCAATTCATTTATAAACTTTTCAATTTTTCCGATTGAATCATGTACCGTAGTGCGAAATTTCACTGGCCGATTTTTGCGAGAAATCGCTGAAGTGGCGATGTGCCATGTACAGTGGCGATGTGCCATGTACAATGGCCGATGAGAACTGGACCACCGCATCAGCGATTTCGGGCAAAATGACTACATTAGAACTTCGCACAAAGGTTTAGCACTCAATTGGCAAAATTGAAAAGTTTATAATTGAATTGATAGCCGCACAATAGCTTTAGAATTGATTGGATAATTTTCCCCACTCCCTCTGATTGCAGAAGGAACACTAAATGTCTAATACTTGATATGCTAATGCATACTAGGTTTTTTTGGGTAAGAAAAGTGGCAGAGCCTGAAAATTACGTTGTTATTCTCCTAATAAAACATGATCAAATCCGATCCCCTAACAAAGGAAGCAAACTTATGGATGGCCTATCGAATGCATAATTATCACCCGCATTGTTGGGTTGGATAATCCAATTTGCTGGCCAATCTGTACAATGCATATATCCTAGCAGGAGACAAAGTTTTAGGTCTGAGATATGCGACGATCCTTGCCTCCTCAATTTCGCATGCCTTTTGCTTCTAATTGGGTCTGACCAAAGTTGCCATGTATTGAAATCTTCAGAGCTTAGAGGTGTGGGTGGAGGATGAGTATTACCCTTAACCCCTGATTTTCTAGATCGTCACCTCTTACGAAATCATCTCCGAAGTTTCTCTCCAAACTTGCATCCGTAATCGATCCTTGCACCCAATCCAACATTAATATTTTCACCTTCAGTCTAGGATCATTAGAGCTGGCAAGCAATTATTTTAATACTTTTACGCGCACATGGTGATCTTAGAGCCGTAGGAGCTTCAACATATCCTAACTATATATATAGGACCAAGAATGTGTGCTTTAGGATTCAAATTGCCCAACTTTTGAGAGGGATCCGATTAGTCCAAACCGCGTTACTTAAACGAGTCATGGCCCGTTCTTCTACTGCTTGCTCGCTGACGGCGGTGACCCTTTTTGCCGCCGCATTGTTGTTTTCCCTCCATCCGTCGAATGGTCAACTAACCACTGATTTTTATGCGAAGACATGCCCAGGCGTGTCCAGCATCGTCCAAACCGTGATCCTAGAGGCCCTTCAACACGACCCACGCATCACCGCCAGCCTCCTCCGTCTCCATTTCCATGATTGCTTCGTCCACGTGAGTCCCTAAGCTAGATCAATTCCCGTTAAAGACAGTATTTTTGATCTGATTATTGGGTAGTGTTAGTCACGTAACCTAATGCTTGAGCATGACATATGTGTTAAAAGGGATGTGATGGATCGCTGTTGCTGGACAATAGCCCAACCATACAGAGCGAGAAAGATGCAGCTCCAAATTTCCAGTCTGCGAGAGGCTTCGGTGTGGTGGACATGATCAAAGCGGCTATTGAGAGCGCTTGTCCTGGGACAGTTTCTTGCGCCGACATTCTCGCCCTCGCTGCTCAGGCTTCCGTCCATTTGGTATATGTAGTTATAGTCGAAGAAACATAAATACAAATTTGAAGCATAATTAGGATTTGTTATTGTTACTTGGCCTACACGAATCATACTCGTGTTTCTCAGTCAGGAGGTCCATATTGGACGGTGCTCTTGGGGAGGAGGGACAGCTTGATGGCGTATCAAGCACTAGCGAACATATCAATACCCTCCCCTTTTGATAGCTATGCCAACCTCACTTCCAAATTCTCTGCTGTTGGCTTGGGAATCACCGACCTTGTCGCTCTTTCCGGTAAAATAGAGCAGCTGGACTTGCATTTTGAAATGAAACGTGAAACTGCAAGTATTGATGCACAAAATAGATATACAGAGTGAGATGCTGGATTTTTGTCACATAACTTATTGGCACAACATCTCTTCACTTTTGTTTAACACATTGGAACCTCCTAATATGATCATGGACATATTATCTGAGAAATGCTGAGTATACCGAGATCATTTTACAAAATCAATATATCAAGTGATATTGTGGATCGTTATTATTTATTCATATGTCCAGTAAGGAATTTGTCGCATATGTTTGGTGTACAAATTCCGTTGAGCATTCCTAGCATTGTCTTTTCATCCTCCTTCGCAATCGAGCATCTGCAGATATTTTGTTCCCTTAGCTAACTTTTGGTGCATATGATAATAAAACAGGAGCTCACACCTTTGGACGTGCACAGTGCAAGTCATTCAGCCCTAGGCTCTACAACTTCACCGCGAATGGTGGCCCTGATCCCACCATAAGCCCATGGTACTTGACCGCTCTGCGGAAACTATGCCCTCAGAATGGCAACAGCAGCGTCCTCGCCGACCTCGACCCAACGACCCCGAACTTGTTCGACAACCACTACTACTCCAACCTCCAAAAAAATGATGGGCTTCTTCTGTCCGACCAAGAGCTCTACTCAACAGCCGGCGCTGCGACAATCTCCCTCGTCAACAGCTTCAGCTTTGACCCGATTGCCTTCTTTGAGAGCTTCGCTCGGTCAATAGTAAACATGGGAAACATTAGCCCTCTCACCGGAAGTAACGGGGAGATCAGGTTCAACTGCAGGAAGGTCAATTGGAGTTAAAGAGTGTTCTTAGGGGTTTTGGGTGTGTGTTCGTATCCGTGAATAAATAGCAGCGTGTAAAATAAAGTTCAGGCATTGTTGGAAATGTCGATTCTATTGGAGAGAGAGCCAGAGGTTTGTATTTCTACGTCGAGTGTGTAGTGTTAAGAGTTGATCTGATTAAAAAATTACAAAGGATTGCGCATCTCTATTAAGAGATTACATTAAATAAATGAGATTTCATTGTATCGATCATCCATGAAGAGTTTGTTAGAAATTCTTATAAACATGGGCTAACATTGATCACGTAATATTTTAGTTTGCGAAAGACATGTGGTGATATAGTAAATAAAGTACATGAGACAATGCTTGATAGCCTGAATACAATTGTTTAGTCAATTTATATCGGGCTTTAGCACATCTCGGTACGATAATAAAATGGCGTTCAACGGTCGATATAGGGTGGTATTTAACAATGACGATGGTATTCTTCAAGTCTATCCTAAGGAGGAGAATGGAAAAAAAAAAAAAAACACGCCTCCTTTCATATTGATCAGTTCCGAGATGGTGGCTGCCTAAATCAAGTATACGTAATTTCGATTCTAGATTGAGGTATTTCAAATTCATGTTGTAACTTGATATACAATTTACATTATTCATTTTCTCCGATAATAACTAAATTAAGATCATCAAGTTACGCCTTACCAATTTATCTATCGTTGACTGTCAACCGATAACTACTATTTTCTTGGCAAGGGGGTCGCTTTTCTTCCATGGTTCTCCGCGTTCGGCCCTAGATTTTCGGAGGTCATTGAATATTTATATTTCAACTTATACGCACTAATCACTTTTATCTTTTTAAGACGGAGTTTGGACTTCCGAATTGTAATGAATTAAACAAAGAAATCTAGCGCGTAAGTGGATGCTTATTGGAAAAATTCTCAAAATTCATTAAGTTCTTGCCATGAGCGTTAGCCAGTTCTGTTTCCTTTTCTTGCCTAATTTCAAGGTTAGTTAAGCCTTATTTAAACCAATATGGAATGTACGTGTAAATTTATGCCAACATTACAGTCTCATGGAATTTTTGATGCATTAGGACATGCTACCATACATTTAATTAAACATGAAAACATAGTGGCCATGTTAATATGACATGTTTGGATGTATTTGAAAATATTTTTGCAAGATTATAAATAAGATTTCATATCTTAAACGTGTTAAATACCACATGAGATGGATTATAAATGACATTCTTCTCTCTCTCGGGGGTGTGGTGAAACTCCAATGAGAGGGGAAATTACCAAAAAAGTCCTCAACATATTGCAATTATGTCCATTCAGTCATAAACATTTCTTTTAAGCCAATTCATTCCTAAACCTTTTGCATTTATGCCAATTCAGTCCATCCGGCCGATGCCCATGTGGCAATTTTTTAATATTTTTTTTCGAATTTTCTATTAATTATTTTCTTTTCTTTTCTTTTTCTTTTTTCTTTTATTTTTTCCACAGTGGCCGACAAGTACTAAGCAAGGGCCGCGAAGCCCTTTACCGGCAGCGGCTCTCACTTGCGGCTGGCGAAGCCATGGCCGCTTTCACCCACGACCGGCAAGGCCCTAGTGATGCGGGCGAAGGCGACCATGGCCTTGCCAGCCGTGAGGGAGGCAGACTTCGCACTCAGCCGGTGAGACTAGCCTCGCGCGATGCCTATGGCCACCTTTGCCCACGTCACCAGGGCAGGCCTCAAGGCCGCGACCCTCACCAAAGCCTCGCCAACCACTGTGGAGGAAAACAAGAAAATAAGGAAGAAAATAAAAAATATATATAATAATATTTAAAAATTGACACGTTAGCTTTGGCCGAATAGACTAAATTGACACAAATGCAAAAGGTTTAGAACTAAATTGGTAAAAAAAAAGGTTTAGAAATGCATTGGCACAATTACAATAGATTTAGTACTCTTTTGGTAATTTTCCTTTAGGAGAGAGATACGCTTCAATTTCCGATGAATGGAACATGTGATGAGGGCACCAAATTGATATAGGGGATCTCTCCGTTCAAGGAAAAATACGTCCAGCTCTAACATAAGTGCATAACTAAAACTAAAAATTGCACGCGTGCAATTATTTGTACCTTGTGCGTCGATATTAAGTTTTTCCTGTTATTTTCCCAAATTCTATTAGATAACAAACTTTGCAAACACATGTACCTTTGGATACTAAATGAAAATAGGTAACATTTTCCTTAGAACATTATGTTAAGAGTATTACACATCGCTTGTTTATAGAATTTTTAATGACCCTTATATTCATGGAGATTCCCTCCTCCCGTCTTTAAGCTTTTGGCTAACCTGATATGATATATAGTTCGGTTCAAGGCAAATATATTCTGTAGGTGAGGCTTCTCGTTTGTCCATTCCACGCACTATCTCAACTTGGACTTTAATTCCAACACATCATAGCTAGGCCACCAACTCCAAACAATATTCAGTTTGAACTGTGTTATTTGAAGTTAGGTATGTACTAAGTAATATCCCCAGAGCAAAATGGATCGTGCTCTTCTTTCCTCGGAGGTAATATCTGGACTCAATTTATCTGTTGTAATTCAATAATCGAAGACGAAACTCTTTCAACGAAGACATCATTTAATACACTCAGAAACTGCCTAACCATCTATAAAAGATTTTGAGTGTTGATTATGGCCTTTTTATTCGTGATACATTGAATCAACTGCTACGAACATAAATTTCTTGGGGACCCAAATTAGGCAGCAGCTTACATGTTTAAGATGGCATCTGGAAAATTTTGGTTCAAAAGGTCCAACCATGATCTCAACCACCATTGCGGGTCCCTCTAAGAGGGCACTCAATGGGAACTTTACTTTGTAATCTGAAAGTGTTAGGGACGAGAAATGTAAAAGGGAAAAAAAATTAGAGAAGAGGACATGATTCTTTTACTAGGAAAACTCTTTGAAATTAGAAAGGAAAAATTGCAGTGCCGCGCTGGGCAATTTTTTATTATCAGTATTGAGTTATAATTATAAGAGAAATCGCCACAACATATAATGGGAGTTTAAAATTAACCGGAAGGACTCCATTAAAAAATCGTCAAAAGATTTAGGGCTAAATCAGCCAAAATAAAAAAATTTAGGATTGATTATGACCAAATACTGGTTTTGTTACATCTATTTGACCTAATTTATATAGATGACCAAGTACAATGCTCAATTATTCATATCATAGCAGAGAATAAAATTAGAAGTCTGAGATATGCTTTGACCCTTGCCTTCTCGATTGCGCATGCATGCTTCTTGCTTATGATAAGATCCGACAAAAAAGGTTAATACCATAAAAAACCTTAAATTATTCTCACTGTGATACAAATACCCCAAATGTTTTTTTGTATCAATAAAAACCCTAAATTTATTCATTGTGACTAGTCATGGCCACGGGCCGGTTTTGGCTCGGAACCGGCCCGGTCAAACCCGGGCCCGCGGTTCGGAACCGGAACCGGCCCGTGGCCTACGGGCCCGGTTCCGGTTCCAAATTATTTATAAAAAAAAATAATGAATATTTTTTAAAAAAAAATCATTATTTAATTTTTTTTTTAATAAAAAAAATTGAACTCTAATTGCCATGCATTGTAAGTGCATTGATCTCCAATTACAATGCTTGGCTTGAGTGTATTAAACTCTAATTACAAAGCTTGGCTTGGATTTTATAAACAACCCCTTTGATGGTCTCTTCATTCCCATTCGATGTGGGACTCTCGGCTTGCCTTGAACACCTTCAATGTGAGACTCTTGGCTTGTCTTCATGCAAATGCCAAGAGTCTCACATCGAATGGGAAGGAAGAGACCATCAAAGGGGTTGTTTATAAAACCCAAGCCAAGCCATGAGCATGTGAAGTTGTATGCCTTTTGTGGCTACGATCCTTTGCTAGTTAAGAGCAAAGGGTTCCATTGGACCGCCTAGAACCGGACCGGACCAATGGTCCGGTTCCCGGTTCTATGATTTGCCGGTCCGGTTCCTAGTTCTAAAATTAAAGGACCGGTCTTACCGGTTCGGTTCCCGGTTCCGACCGGGAACCGATCACCCCTATAATTTTCATTTTGATTATAATTTATATTGAATAATTCATTATTTCATATTTTTATAATTCATTATTTTTTTATTTCATATTTATTTTTTTAATTTTTAAATTACGAACCGGAACCGGAACCGGCCGGTTCCGGTTCACACATGGCCACGAACCGGAACCGCCGGTTCCGAATCGGAACCGGTCGGTTCCGAACCGTGGCCATGACTAATTGTGACACAAATACCCAAAAAAAAATTTTGTGTCATAAAAAACCCCGAACTTATACCAGTGTGATAAATGTACCCTAGATGGAATTGTAATTGTAATAGAGGATATATATATATGTCATACATATATAAGTTTGGGCTTTTTTGTGACACAAAAAAAAGTTGAGGGTATTTATATCACGGTAAGCAAGTTTAGGGTTTTTGATAACAAAAAAAAAAATTAAGGGTATTTGTGTTACAGTGAGTATAATTTAAGGTGGTATTGCCTGACAGAAATTGCCGCTTGTTGAGAATTTCAAAGCTAGAGGGTGGTGGGCGGAGGATGATTATTACCCTTAACCCTTGATTATCTCGATCGTCACTTCTCACGAAGTTTCTATCGCAACTTTCATATATAATCGACCCTTGCACCTCATCCAACGTTAATAATTTTACCTTGAGACGATGGAATGAAAATGAAACAGTCTTTTATCATCAGAGCTCGCAAGCAATTACTTTAATGATTTATAGAGCCGCAAGAGCTTCGACATATCCTAACTATATATATAGTACCAAGAATGTGCTTTAGGAGACAAGTTCCCATACTTTTGAGAGAGAAATCGGATTAGTCCAATCTACGTTACTTAACTAGTCATGGGCCACCATTATACTCCTTCCTTGCTTACGGCGGTGACCATTTTCGCCACATTGTTGTTTCTCCTCAATCCATCGAACGCTCCACTAACCGCTGGTTTTTATGCAAAGACATGCCTGGGCGTGTCCAACATCGTCCAAACCGTGATCCAAGAGGCCCTTCAATCTGACCCACGCATCACCGCCAGCCTCCTCCGTCTCCATTTCCATGATTGCTTTGTCGACGTGAGTCCCTAAGCTACATCAATTCCCATCAACAAGGTACTCTCGATCTAGTTATCGGGTAGTTAGTCACGTAACCTAATGCTTGAGCATGACATATGTGTTAAAAGGGGTGTGATGGATCGCTATTGCTGGACAATAGCCCAACCATACAGAGCGAGAAAGATGCAGCTCCAAATTTCCAGTCCGCCAGAGGTTTCGGTGTGGTGGACAAGATCAAAGCGGCTATTGAGAGCGCTTGACCTAGGACCATGTCTTGCGCCGACATTCTCGCCCTCTCTGCTCAGGCTTCCGTCTATTTGGTATATGTAGTTATGGCAAAAGAAACATAAACATAAATTTAAAGTAAATTTAGGGTTGGTTACTATTACTTAGCCTCCACGAATCATAATTGTGTCTCTCTTGATTATCACTTCTATGAAATTGCAGTCGGGAGGTCCATATTGGACAGTGTTCCTCATATTGGACGGTGTTCCTGGGGAGGAGGGACATCTTGACAGCGAACCAAGCGTTAGCTAACATATCGATACCCTCCCCTTTTGATAGCTATGCCAACCTTATTTCCAAATTCTCTACTTATTGCCTTGGACATCTCCAACCTTGTCGCTCTTTCCAGTAAAATAGAACAGTTGGACTTCCATTTTCAAACGAAACGTGCAGATGCACATATTAGAGATATTTAGGGATTTTTCTAAAATAATTTACTATATCAGAGAAATTTTGATAATTCTCAAGATTGCACGTTTGTTGCACGTAGATTGCACGTGGATTGCACGAATATTGCACGTAGATCTCTCTTTGATTGTGCGTATCTTGATTGACATATTGTCTTATAATAGTTGTCTATTAAACTTATAAATAAGCTGATGTAATCTTCATTATGATATATTGAAATAGAAGCTAACTTTTCATGCATATGATAATAAAATAGGAGCTCACACCTTTGGACATGCACAGTGCAATTCATTCAGCCCCAGGCTCTACAACTTCACTATGAATGGCGGCCCCAACCCCACCGTAAGCCCGTGGTACTTGACCTCTCTTTGGCAACTTTGTCCACAGAACGGCAATTGTCCTTGCCGACTTTGACCCCATGACCCCGAACTTGTTCAACAACCACTACTACTCCAATCTCCATAAAAAGCAAGGGCTTCTTCTGTCCGATCAAGAGCTGTATTCGATAGCTGGCGCTGCGACAATCTCCATCGTCAATAGCTTTAGCGGCAACCAGAGTGCCTTCTTTGAGAGCTTCACTCGGTCAATAATAAACATGGGAAACATTACTCTCTCACGGGGAGATCAGGTTCAATTGCAGGAAGGTCAATGGAAGTTGAAAGTTTTCTTTTGGGGGTTTTGGGTGCGTGTACATGAATAAATAGCAGCTTGTGAAATAAAGTTCAGGCTTGGTTGGAAATCTCAATTCTATTGGACAGAGAGCCAGAGAGTCGAATTACTACAACAAGTGTGTTAAGAGCTCAGCTGATTAACGTATTACAAATCCCTCTGGTTGCCTCATGTAAATCTGCTTCTCCAACTCATCATGAAAAAACTCTGTTTTCACATCTAGCTATTCTGGCTCGAGATCCAGTGCAACAACTAAGGCAAATAATACACGAATAGAAGTATGTTTTACCACAGAAAAGAACAACTCGTTAGAATCAATGCCCTCCAGCTATGTATACCCTTTGCAACAAGTCTCGCCTTATAATGATAAAGACAAAGTTCATGAGCTTCAGTTTGTTGTGTTACAACTTTATTCATTTTATCTGACAATTCAAATATGTTTAAAGTAATCGACAAAGAGTTATGTTCTTTAGCTGATACTTTAATTGAACTAAGTAATGGATTAAGATGAAACCTTTTAGTATACATAGTAATTCCCTTTTAGCGTATAAATATAATAATGAAAGACTTTTGGTATTCATCCTCCTTTCCTTAATATAGCTTTAGCATAGATTAGTAGGCTTGCTTTTGTTTAGAGATCCTGAATGTAACAAATTTGAAAGACAGAACATGACCCAAAAGATTCCAAGTAAATTCACAAATAGTGAAGAAATGTTCTAAAATTTAATTCATGCATTTATTATAGTGTTCACCATGTTCACCCAAGATCAGCTGTAGAAATTTATTTACACACATTAACTCCCAAAACAAATCAGGAGAGAAATGAAATGGCAATCAAAGTAGAGAAAAAGAAAACCAAAGACTAACTACAAGAGAGTTTCAAAAGTGGGAAGAGTTTTTGGGAGATGAGGGGGTTTGTCGACAGAGAGTTTTTGTGACTTTTTTTTTCTCCCTCTTATCAATCATTGATCTCCTAAAATTATGATATGTTACGTATTTATGAATATTATAATTCACTAACCATCAGTTTCTACCATCACATCTCTTTTGACTAACATTACTAGTGATTCAAAACCATGGACAAAGACGTGCCCGGAAGAAGCACGGGCCATGTAGCTGGTCTTTGAAAAGCATGGACAAGAATAAAATTACCAAACTAACAAAGAAAGAATGGAAAAATAACAAATGAGCTGGGATAGTGCACTTTACAGGGATGAATCCAGAAAACTTCCCCAAAAACCTGCCTAAAAAAGTGGATCTTGAGGTTAAAAAATGAGCTCAAAGGCAGTTCAAGTGAGATTTCGACTTCTACTTACAATCCTCGTAATGAATTCCAGTTTGATCAAAAGTTATGTCATGCTCAAGCGAATTCTTGTTTTCGGCCCACCTTTTGCATTTGTCACTTATACAAAGCTTCTTCAACATTTCACTTATTGCGTCCACGTCATTTATTCTAGATCGTAACAATGACATTTGTTGATATGCCATCGCCTTTAGGCATTTAAAATTTCTCTAGACAAAACGAGTAGATTATCCAAGTCCCAAGCAATAACTATATATCAAACCGTTGAAAATAGAGTGTATCATTACTATATTCATATCACAACCTACTTTGGCTAGTAAACTATGGTTGATTCACAAAAACTGCAATAGTAAGCACATCACTATCATTAGGAAGCCGGTATTATATTTAAAGCAGAAGCACCGTTGAAAATTGGCGTGCATGGTCGTAGATTCGAAGACAAACGTCCGTTATTGGATAGATGTACATATCAAAAAATGTGACTCACACAGTCCCCTATGATTGCGGAAGAAACAGTGAACATCTAATTCTTGATTATGATAATGCACACTGGTTTTGCTACATCTCTTTACCTAAGTTCAATGCATGACCCAATGCAATACTTAAATCATAGATCGAGCAGGGAGTAAGGCTTTGGGCGTGGGATATGCTTTGACCATTGCCTTCTCGATTTCGCCTTCTGCTTGCTTATGATTGGATCTGGCAAAGGTCGGCATGCGTAGAAAATTTGAAAGCTGGAGAGGGTGGTGGGTGGAGGATGAATATATTACCCTAAACCGTTGATTATGTCGATTGTTACTTCTCACGGAATCATCCCCGAAGTTTCGCTACGAAGCTTTATATTATCTACGATCCTTGCACCTAATTCAACGTTAATGATTTCACCTCGTGACGACGGAGTAAGGATGGAAAGAGGCCTCGATCGTTAGAGCTGGCAAGCACTTATTTCAATGATTTTTACGCGCTCATGATGACTTTGAGCCCTAGGAGCGTCGACGTAACCTTACTATATATCTATGGGACCAACAATGTGCTTTTAGGATTTAGATTCCAGCGTTTTGGAGAGGATCCCATCAGTCCGAACGACGTTGATTTACTACTAGTCATGGTCCGTTCTCCGGCTCCTTCCTCAGTGACGGCGGTGACAGCTTTCGCCGTGTTGTTGTTTCTCCTCCACCCATCGAACGCTCAGTTAAGCGCAAACTTCTATGCCACGACATGCCCAAACACGTCCAGCATTGTCCAAACCGTGATCCAGCAAGCCCTTCAATCCGACCCGCGCATCACCGCCAGCCTCCTCCGTCTCCATTTCCACGATTGCTTCGTCAACGTGAGTACCTTAGCTAGGTCGCCTCCCATTAACAGCAAGTCCTGAAGGATCGCATTTTCTCTTATCGTACTTTAAACCTGATTATCGGGTAGTTAGTCGTGTGAACTGATGTTTGAGCATAACATGTGTTAAAAGGGGTGTGATGGATCGCTGTTGCTGGACAACAGCGCAACCATAAAGAGTGAGAAAGACGCGGCTCCGAATACAAATTCCACGAGAGGGTTCGATGTGGTGGACAACATCAAAACGGCTATTGAGAGCTCTTGTCCTGGGATTGTGTCTTGTGCCGACATCCTCGCCCTCGGTGCTCAAGCTTCTGTCTCCCTGGTATACATAGTTATGGTCCAAGAAACATTAAGAATAAATTGAAAGTATACTTAGGTTCGTTACTAATACTTATCCTTCGCGAATCATAACCGCGTTTCTCTTGATTGTCACTCTTACAAAATTGCAGTCAGGAGGTCCATCCTGGACAGTGCTCTTGGGGAGGAGGGACAGCTTGACAGCGAACCAGGCGGGAGCGAACACATCGATACCCTCCCCTATTGATACCGTGGCCAACCTCACTTCCAAATTCTCTGCTGTTGGCTTGGACACCACCGACCTTGTCACTCTTTCCGGTAAAATAACACAGACAAAAGGAAAAACATAAGTGTATTGTTGGACTTGCATATGAAGATCCAAAGGGTGGTGTCAAAACTTGCATGCCAGCTCATAGATTTATCTGATAAATGCTAAGTATACTGAGGTCGGTTTAATAAATTAATATATCGAGTGATGTCGCCAACCGTAATTATTTGGTATTTAATATGACCCATTTATATAGATCGGCCCTACGAATATTTCACATATATTTGGTATACAAATTCTGTTGAGCATACCTAGCATTGCTCTATTCATCCACCTTCATAACTGACCATTTGTAGATTCTTTGTTCTGTCTTAGCTAACTTGTCGTGCATATGATCATGAAACAGGAGCTCACACCTTTGGACGTGCACAGTGCAGGACATTCAGCCTTAGGCTCTACAATTTCACTAACGGCGGCCCTGATTCCACCATAAGCCCTTCGTACTTGACCACTCTCCGGCAACTTTGCCCGCAGAATGGAGACGGCACCGTGCTCGCCAACCTCGACCCGGCGACCCCGAACACGTTCGACAACAACTACTATGCCAACCTCCAGAACAACCAAGGGCTTCTTCTGTCCGATCAAGAGCTGTTCTCGACGACCGGCGCTGCAACAATCTCCATCGTCAACAGCTTCAGCGGCAACCAGAGCGCCTTCTTCCAGAGCTTTGCTCAGTCGATGATAAACATGGGAAACATTAGTCCTCTCACCGGAAGTAACGGGCAGATCAGGTCGAATTGCAGGAAGGTTAATGGAAGTTGAAAGTTCTTCCTTTGTTTTTTTCTTTGGTGTGTTCCGTGGGAGCACGTGAATTTAAAGCAGCGTGTGAAATAAAGATCAGGTATTATTGGACAGGTCAATTCTATTGAGGAGCGAGCCAGAGATTTGTATTAATAAGTCAAGTGTGCAGTGTTAAGAGTTTGATTAGATTAAAATACTATTTACAAAGGTTTGCGCATCTCTGTTAAGAGATCACATTAATTAATGAGATCTTCCTTATACTAATCATCCATGAAGAGTTCTTTAGGAACTCCTATAAACGTGGACTAACGTCAATCGCATGACATTTTATTTTCTGAAAAACAGGTGATAGTACATGAGACAATGATTGATAGCCCGAATACTATGTGTGATCAAATTACATTGGGCTTAAACACATCTCGATTCAATAATAAATGTGGTTGAATGGGCAATATGGGCCGGTGTTTTAATCATGATTTATAATAATATCTTTCGAGGTTGTCTAAGGGAGGAGAACGAGGAAAAGGCACAACTTCCTTCCTATGGATCAGTTCGAAGATTAAAATTTCATTTACTTAAGAATAGACAGGATTGTCATATATGGTATTAAAGTAGGATCATCTACAAGTATAACATATGCATGGTTCATGGATGGACTAGGTGCATGCCTAATCCAACGATGGTAAGGAGCGATTGTCAGGGTGAACAAAGTCCAGCTCCTAAAAAGGTTTCTAAAATGGTAAGGGAGGCAAGAATGCACCTGGCCACGCATAATATAGGAGGATTATTGCTAGACTATAGTACGGACCAACACCACTAGCCTCACAATGGATGGCAAATCCTTATGATATTACTCATGAGTAAGATTAACCGTCAAATGGTCACCATCTTTTTTAAGCATAGGAAGTTAGGAACAATATAATTTTGCAATAATACAAAGAAGTGGAGGGCCTTATCTTCCAGGTGAACCTGGAAAAATGAGGCATCCAATGTCAGCATTTTCGTTCGCAGTCGGTGGTGGATAAGTATGGATAGTGATGTGTGTTAATGACCAAATTTCTAGCCTCTAGGGGTCTAAATGAGCGGGCCAGATCGGGCTTCTAGCCTATTTTTCCCCGGCCCAAAATTTCGGGCCTAAAATTTCCAGGCCCAGAAAACAACTTGAACCCGAAATAAACTTCATACACCGCCCATTTTTCATTTTGGGCTTTCGGGATACTAGGCTATGCCCGAGACATAATGAACTTTAAAAATTGCAAATGGTCTATTCACTGGTAAAGTTTTAATTTTTTCAAATTTGCAAGCATAATTTATTTTGTTCACTTGTAAAATCCACTTCTTTTCCCATTTAAGAGTAAATTTATCAATGAAATATTGCATATATAAATATTTCTATGAAAAAGTAAAAGAATTCGGGCGGGCCAAGCCATTTCAGCCTACACGGTGCGAAGCACAAGAACCTGGCCAGCCCGAAATAAAAATATGATTAAGCTCGAAAACTCGACCGATCTATTTGGGCTAAAGAAATTTGGGGCCGGACTAAGTTTTCGGGTTCTCACACTTTTATTCTCACCCCTATGGATCTCATCATAAGTCAGGCTATAGCAAGTGCCGAAAGAACTTTATGAAGATGTCACATGAATAACAACTTTCAAACTGTTAAAATCGTACTTTTCTTAGAGTGCTCTTGTACCCTCTCTCTAAATAAAGAACCTTTTTTTCCTTTTCCAGTCTTAATCTATTTAATAGGGTTAAAACACCGTTTTTTATTTATTGGCGAAAATTGAAATGACAATTGAATTCCTACCGGAATGTGTTTGAAACTTATCAATCCATTTCGTCTATGGTTGAGAAAAATTTAATCATAAGATCCAATCTTTTTTTCGTCTTCCGTAATCATGCACAAAAAATATAATTAGGTAGTGTAAGTGTTTGTCTGTTAAATGAGCAAGATCCATGAGTAGTAACTTAGGCTCATAGTGTTGTAGCGTGACTATCTATAAGATAGCTTCTTACTAGTCAAAAATTTTTTTTTTTTTTTTGATAACCGAGGTGTCCGGGCCAGCTTGCGCGCAACTCGACTATTTCTCGGGGGAGATTAGCACAGCAACCCACCACCATGGCCCCCCACTTAAATCACAAGTGCTCAGCTGGGGAATCGAACCTGGGACCAGTGCGCCTAACCACACAATCCCAAATACGCCCTCACCAACTGAGCTACCCATGGGTGGGTTAGTCAAAAAGTTTGGTCGTGCAAAAATTAGAAAAGACGTAAGAGCAATAACAAGCACACGAAAGAAAAGAGAGAAAGATAAGTCAAAGTTTTATACACATTCGAGATTGCATTGCATTCAAATTGAAGAAAGAGTTTGTTGTATTCCTACAAGTTTGTATCAAGGTTCAAATAAGTTTGTGTTTGCTCTTAGAGAGTGGTAGCACATGTTTTGTAATTCGGAGTTTGTGGTGCAGTGTTTCGTAGAAGGATAATATCTTTGTATTTCTTAATATGATTAACCGAAAGCCAAACCAAACGCACCCTAAATCTCTTTGTGCTTTTGACATCGCCCCGGTTTCTTCGCTTGTCACGTATAAGGGGGTTTCACAAAAATGTCCGTGTCACTATTCTCTTTGAATCCTCCCTTATTGTTTCTATCGTGCTATTGTGATTGTCCTTGATTTGGCTCGGTTGACTGCCTTCATATCTCAGTTAAATGTGAAAGTTTCTTACTTCCTAACAAGCGCAGATAAGGCGAAGAGACCTTCTGCCGTCGGTATTAATCTCTATATATAGAAATAAAGCCTATACTACTTGATTTTGTGTGATTGTCAGTGTTTGATTCTACTAATTATCTGGCATTGAAATAGGAGTTAGTGTATGAACTGCACCCACAAGAGAGACTGTTCCGGAGCTGAACCGTGCTCATCCAATTTTTGTCGTCATTGGAATCTTTTGTTTCTTTCTCTAGTTCAAGATTTTCATTGTCTTCATCTTTGTCTTGGAAATCGATTTACTTGGCATCATTTGTATTGGGCTAGCTGTCCAAAAGCTCTAAAAGAATATCTTAATTTGCCTGGAGACAAAATTACGTGCCTTTTTAATCCTTTTAAAAGTAGGATAAAGGAGTAGACCGTTCTAGTACACTAGAATATTGGGTGAAAAGTAAGGATAAAGAAGGAGAAGACCCCTCTAGTAGACTAGAAAATTGGGTGAAAAGTGAGGAGTGTTGGGGTTGGCTCAAGTCTCTTCTGGAGGATGAAGGAGCGGGCCCTCGCCAAATCCAAGCGAGGGCCGCGATACCCTCACTCATAAGTATGATTATTCTCTTTGAATATCTATTATCCTCATTTAATTTATTTAACCCCTTTCCAAGTTAGATTGCTAGCCCCAATACACCGGCGTCCCCACTATCTACATATAAATAGGAGCTGTAGCCATGATCAGAAGTTGTTTTGCCATTTCATAATAATGGTAACTTCTTATTAGGTTTTTTTTTTTTGTCTGTCATACTCTAACTCTCAACTCGCTCTCAGATTTTTACCCCGTCTCTTTGCAGAGTGTACGAATCAAAACCAACATCTGAAACTACACGTCCTCACCCCTTAACCCCTCCTGAAAAGGTGGGAAATTGAACTTCTTTTCCTCCTCCTTCCAAGTAAGAAGGATGGCCACTGGAGGCAAAACCTGGTGATTAATTTCTTATTGGTTACACACTTCATTTTTGTGAGATTTTTCAATTCTGGACTTTGGCTTCTCGTACTCGCGTTTTCCTCTACCTTTCGAATTAATGTCAATTGTCTTCAACATGAAACGAGATACAATTCCAAGAAGATTAGCTATTTGCTCATCTTCTTTTTTGGCCTTGAGCTTTTCTTCCATCTTTAAACGCATATAAACATCAACATTTTATATCATTTGGAATTGTTGCCTATGGGCTTGCTCATAATTCGACCTTCCTGTTGTCAACAGGGACGGCTCTCGATCTTTACAACGGTTTTTGGTATCCGTAGTATTGCGATTATCATCGGGAGTTTGGTTTTTGGTGCTGCTTTAGGGTTTTTCGTGATTCCTTTTACCATGGAGCATTCCCTTTCGATGTTTTCACCTCTGAAACTTCTTGCAATAGGAAAAGTATCAGGAAAGGAGTGTTGTAAGAAGTTTTAGAGCCTATAAGCCGAGTCTTGTGTCCATCTTTGTTTTCTATGTATTGGAACGATGTCAAAATGTCATCTTTTTTCTTCTAGTTCCTTTGATACCGTTGAAAACCTTCAATTTTCGCTCGATTATCCATATCTTTTTAACTGAAGGATGCCTTTTCGCAGTTCCAAAATTCATGCAGAATAAAAAATATTAATTATCTAAAAAAGTTGCCAGAGCGACAGATGGCGAGACTGCGAATTTTTGTGAATCGACATGTCTTTCGACCCACCCCAAATTTTTCTTACACCGGATTTAACAAGCATGAAGCTTCTTGGACTTGAGACCGAATGCATGAGGTATCATTTTAGACTATTTGCCATCAACGAAACAAACCCCAAATATCATTGACACAGGTTTCTCAATTTCCAAGAAAGTCCCCGTTTTATTTGAGATTCCTCATCCATCTTGGAGGTGGGATGGAATGGAGGTTCTTGGACTTGATTAGACGCTATGTTGTTTATACATGCATGCGTGTCCATACACGGAGATGTTAGGCAGATTCATGTTGAATTTGAGTGAAATAAAGTCATTATCATGTTAGATTTGCTGGTCGCGACTTTGATTTTCTCTAACTTCCCATGATGGGTAATAGCAAGAGAGATGATAATTAACGGACGGGATATTATCGTGTGACAATATATGTATAGTGAAATCAACGGTTGGTAAATTGCCACGTGTCACAAGGACACAAGCTAATGATGGTCAGCCAGTTGACAAGTGCCACCACGGGCATCCGGGTCAAACATCAAGCTCCACTCGGGGCGAGTGGAGCATTCCCTAATGAGCTCTATTCCAAATTTACCATGTCACGACATTTTAGATTGAGGTATTATAAAATCAGTCATAAATGCCAAGTTATTCATACATAAAGCAACACTCTAAGAGGCATATTTTCCAAATAGAAACGCTAATTACATGAATTTGTTTCTAGAATTTTTACTGGAAATAGTATATTTATTTGTCATAGATATGAAAGACTTGAATTAGACACTCACAAAAGTATGTCAATAGATATATAGATCTCGAGTTTTAATAAGTTGGTCGGTTTAATTTTATGAATAAAACCCCAACTTCATATCTAGTCGTAATTCTACCTCAAAATTTTTTCTGTCTAAAAAAAGTATCCCAAACTTTAGGTTCAATCCCAATTATGTCCCAAACTTTGTTTATCTAAAAAAACCCAAACATTAGGCTCAGTACGTGATGTAACAAGTCACAAATTTTAACTTTAGTCCCAAATTTACCCTGAACTTTTTTGATCTGAGAAAGATCGCCGACTTTAATTTAGTCTCAAGTTTGCCCCCGATAACCCTACGTCAAAAAGTCGTCATTAATCGTTTGACGTGGCATTTTCACGCCAGTAACAAATCCACATCTGCTGACTTGGAAAATTATCTCCAAAATGACACAGTTCTTTGATACGAAAATTAAGGAAACTAGTGGCAATTAACAACAATATTTTATGGAGAGCTTATAAGGACAAATTTGGGAAGAGAGTTAATATTTTTATTTTTTTCAAACAAAAAAAATTTGAGGTAGAATTAGGACTGAATTCAAAGTTGGGAACTTTCGGGGCAAATTTGTACTGGACCTAAAGTTATGATTTTTTTTTTCAAAACAAAACAAAAGTTCGTGACAGAATTAAGATCAACCCTGAACTTTGGTGGTGCTTTTTTTTTAGAAATCTCGTTTTTTGTTTTTCTCATAAATTCGTAGGTGATGTTTACATGTCGTGTCCGAGAGCCGTGTGTTTTGTTTAGCTAAGCGCCCCCGCGTAGGATTGATTTTGGAGTAGGGGCACTGGATGCAGAAGAAGCTCTGTCTCTCTCTCTCTCTCTCTCTCTCTCTCGCAATGAAAGCTTGCGCAATTCATTTCACACACTCTCGCCTCTTCTGCAAACCCTCTCCCGCTTCTCATCTGCTCATTCCATAGGATCCCCAAGCTCGAGTCAACTACAGCTGAATCTGCTCCAATCTCGGCGCCGTTCCAAGGATATGAGCAGCTCCGAGGTTCGAAAGCTCGTCGAACTGGCCATCTAATTCAGGTTTTCCAGCTCCTGGTTATCGATTTTTTTTGCCCTCTTCTTGTCTCTTTCGGGCTTTCCTCTTCTTGGGCGCCGATTCTTGTCGCAATCGGTTTGTCTCCGGAGCCGGAATCGCTGCGGCTTCCAGAACCCTTTTGGGCGAGGGTCGTCCGTTCCTGATTTTTTGGGTTTGCGGGGTTCGACATTTGTGGGATTGGGAAGTTCGATCTGGGTTCTCGAATTGGGATGGAGAAAAGGTGTTCTCGGAGGTGGGTTTTTCTGTACAGGTGATAAAGGTGCAATCTTTCGCCTGGGTTTGCTGAGTTTGAGATGGGGGAAGAGCTATCGAATCTGGGTTTTGGGGCTGATTTTGATAAATTTGAAATCTTGGTTGTCTGAATAATTATACGCTAGAATAATTCGGCGCTTTGCTTTTTTAGCTGGATTTTGACGTGTTTTGTATATATAGAGAGAGTTCTTGATCAGACATTGGTCGATTCCTAAAGTAAAGGGTTGTGATGGCGGAGGAGACATCTGGTGTGATGAACCTTGATTTGAATTTGGGTCCTATTCCCGAGCCGGGCTCAGGATCTGTAACTGGTGAAGCTGTGAATTTGGATGATTGGATTGAAGAACCTATTCGCGGGCACAGGGAAGCTGCTCGGATAAGGGCTTGGCCACGGTGGAGATGGCGACAGGCACCTGAGGCGCAAAACATTTCAATGGAGTTGAGTGAATTGATAGATAATACCGTTGATGGGACTTCGCTGCAAGCGGGTGAGGGTAGTGTCGCTGCCGAGGAGAGAGTGACTGATATCCCCAAAGTTTGTGAAAATAATACCAACTTCTTAGAAGATGGAGCGACAGATAAGGACAATGTTGCGAAGAATAACGGGACTGATGGGAGTTTCTTCGATTGCAACATATGCTTGGAGTTGGCTAGAGACCCGGTTGTTACTTGTTGTGGTCACTTGTTCTGCTGGCCATGCCTTTATCGATGGTTACAACTTCATGCGGATATCAAGGAATGTCCGGTTTGCAAAGGAGAAGTCACATTTAAGAACGTGACTCCTATATATGGCCGTGGGAACAACATTCATGAGCCTGAGGAAGATCCAACTCTTAAAATTCCTGTGCGGCCCCATGCTCGTCGTGTTGAGAGTTTGAGGCAGACCATTCATAGAAATGTTCTCAATTTCCCTATGGAAGAGATGATCCGGCGCCTTGGAAATAGATATGATTTGACTAGAGATTTTTTTCAGCTACGAGACTCTGATGGTACTCGTGAAACAGGTGGGAGAACCGCTTCCTTGATAGATAGGTTTCTAACTTCTCGGAGGATGCGTAGAGAGCAGAACACGGTCGTTCCTCCAGATGATATAGTTGACTTAACACAAAATGAGACCGCAGGCATTGAGAGTGGTGAAAGCCGCCGGCTTCGCTCACTTTTACTTAGAAGATCACAATCTCACAGAAATGCGGACATTTCTTCTCTTCCAACTACACTTGTTCCGGCTCCGACCTTAGTGGAATATTTCCGCAATCATACTTTAGCAAGAAACCAGGAGGAGCCGCCTCCAGTTGACGATAGAGATTCTTTCTCAAGCATTGCTGCTGTTATAAACTCAGAAAGTCAGGTGGACACTGCTGTGGAGATTGATTCCATGGTCTCTCTTTCAACTTCAACTTCCAGAAGGAGAACTGATGTTGCTCGACTTTCAGATTTGGACAGTGGGGATTCTCGTGCACCCAGAAGAAGACGCTTAAACTGAAGATGGACTTACCTTGATGCAACAGTTTCCTCAAAAGTTTGACTTTGTTTGTACTCCAGAACCAGGTAAGTGCTATTTGTCGGTACTTAAAGATGTTTCTTTTGGTATGTTACCTTTTTTCAGAATAAGTCTGCACTGACCTGTTACATCACTTGTTACTCCACCGATTGGAGGAGCAGCATAAAAAATCTTTCCTCTTAGCTCCCTTTCTTCCTTAAATTTTGGACTGATTTTTTAATACGAATTAGCAGTTTTTATAAGAATTTGATTCTTTCGATTCAAATGATGGATAAGCAAGCACGGTAGTCATTATGGATACCATTAGCTATGCAGATTATCAGATAGCTTGTGTAGCTTTTTGGCTTGTAACTGCAGTGGGAATGAGGTGAAGGCTAATTGCTATATGAGTGAAGATGTAAGAGATGTCACTTGGGATGGCTGGGTAGATTTTGAAAGATGACGAAATTGGCAGTCAGCATAAATGACTGGGAAGTTGAAATATTGCAAAATGATTGAGTGTAGATAAATGTTTATGGCCTAGTTGAGTGCAAAACAGAGAAACTAGAATATTTTCTTAGGAGGACATCTACAATATGGAATGACTTAGCCTTTGTCTTGCAAAATGCAGGCTAAGATCTTAGATGATCTTAGATTAATTTTTGAAACTTGTCAGTGATGCTGCAACCCAAATATCTCAAACGTGCAAATTATATAATATCTCAACCACCACCCCATGTGAAATAAGAGGTCTAAAAAAGTTGATTTGAGATCTCTGATTCTGGTGCTTGGTGCAGAACTTTCCATGGTTAAGCTCTTTTCTTTCTTGAGTTCTGTTTGGGCATGGATCATCTTGCTCTGTGGGCAATACATGTCATTAGTTGCTGGGGATGAGCACATTTATGAGCTTCAACTTGACTTAGTTCATGCTCACAACTCAACTCGAATTATATACTTAGCACTCAATCAAACTCATATTTGTGCTCGATCTCAGTTCAGAATCTTGTTTGACTTAAATCAGCTCCAATATCTGCGAAACAGAAACTTAAAATCAAAAAAATAAAACACCAATTTCTTTGTACTTATATCAGTTTCAACCTAGTATTCCTCGCTTCTAGTGAAGATGATTGACCCACCCTTCTGGATAGTCTTGCATCTTATCAAAGCGGAAGAGAAAGGTCAGGGGTGGGGGGGAAGAAGCAGAAGAGCAGTGCTTGTGTGCTGGGAATACAACCATGGGCGTGGCTTGAAGGATTACCAACTGTGACTGCTGGATTGAGGATGTCATAATCTAAGTAACAAGGAAGAAATTGATGTGATATCATGATCTGCTACAAAGAGGATTTTTTAAGACGGCTTCGGGAGTAAAGTAGTAAACACCATTGACAACCGATTAGCTCAAATGAAGAATAGTTGCTTGCAGGGTCCAGCTGGGAGTGGAATTCTTCTGATTCCTCTCTGTATTTATTAGGTCCGTCACTTAGGTTCAAAAAATTGTGACCTACCCATGCCCAAAGTGTAAGCGATAAGGTTAGTTGTAGTCTATTGTGAGAAGTTGATTGAGTAAATAGTAGCATTTGTCCATGCACCTGATGTGATTTAAGTGTTCTCATCGTAGTACTTGTTGGTATGTGGCTGCTTTAAGATGTACCTCATTCAGATAAAGGGACGTGAGGTTTCAATTGGAATAGTTTCTTGCTGGGACGGTAGCAATGTTCTTCCTAAAATTTCCCCCTTTTGCCAATTTTATAGTTTATGTATGCAATTTATTATAGGAGCGTAGAATAGGTCGTGGAAGCATGCAAGTTCCTACCGTTTAATTGCAATTTGGTGCTCACGATGATATCCACATTTCTGATAGAAGCGTGCCCGCATGATAACTTCTTTCCAAAGAAGGCATATAAATTTGTCGTTCCTGCTCAGGCATTATCATGGCCTCTGATTCATTTTGCTGTTTAGAGTTAGTAACATTTCTAACTTGTTATACTTACTTTTTTCAGGAGATGTTGGCGAGCTACAAAGTTTGACGGAATGTTGGTTCCGAGATCCTGTAGATTCTCATGAAAGTCCAGTCCCTGTTGTTATGTCCGAGGATAAATATGTCATCGCTGTTCTTTTGCCGATCCATTATCATAAAATGTTGTTTATGTCATGTATTCTCTGGCTAGAAAGCTATTGGTGTGCCAATAAGGACCAGTTGACATCCTATCATTAGATGTATTACCTGCTAAGTTGTGCAAAATAATGAATGTTCAGATCAGTTTTCCCCTCTCCCTCTCTCTGGTTACTTCAACTCTATTCTGTATTTGCTTTGTTTGTTTGATCCACAGGGGATGCAAACTTGTAACGTCCCTAACGTTCTCATGGAAGGGACTTACCGTTGCGGATAGCGACGTGTACTTTCTTAACCTTCCTGCGAGCCTTGGAGTTAAGGTTGAGTTCTGGTTTATAGGGTGAGCGGTGTTTGTGTATGTGCACGAACAGATGGGGAGTGTCTGGTAATTGGAGAACGTGTGTTAGTACTACTTGAAGCATAGCTTCATGCGGATATTCAGTTAGCGAGCACTCAAATGTTTGATCTCGAGCAGAGATGGGAAAAGGCAGCCAACCAAAATCGTTGTATTGCTGATTTTAGTGAATATCAACTTCCTGAATGGGCGGCCCTGGGCACGAGGACCTCAAGAGATTCGGGCCCGAAAGGCCCGGCCCGAGCCCATCCGGCGAGCGTTTCTTCACAATTTGGACATTTTTTCTTTCTCTAATTCCTTTGCGCATGACCTTAGTCAACTGTTATGATCATAAGACCACATTTTTCTGCCTTTCGATAGATACTAAACCTGGAAAGGGGGTGGGGTGATAATCGCGACCGAGCTGCTACTCCCACACCGGTCGCGGTTTCGGGCAAATTGAAGCTTTCTAGTAAAGAATCAAGAAATATAAATCTCGATCGACGATGATGGCGCAAAGCAAGATCAATTTGAAGCTTTCTAGTAAAGAATCGCCATGGCCATCACCCAAAAGAGTCCAAAAAGCGGCAAAATGAGCGGTCAACTTTTTGGCTGCCCTTAGTAATGAATAGTCAACGTTTTCAACTTGCGTAATTCGCGCAACCCCCGCGCGGTTTTCCAAGTCGCACCATCACGTGATTTAGTGTTTTATTTGGAACGGCAAATGGATGCTGCGAAAAAAAAAAAAAGAAGACTTTTCGGGTGCGTTTTATTTCGCGGAAAATTCAAGATTTAAAAAATATTTCTCGAAAAACGATTGCTTATAGCGTTTATAAAAATGAATGAATGAAAAATATTTTCATCACTCACGAAAGTAGTTGGATATAAATTATTGTCGATAATAAAAACATTTTGTATTGACAAATTTTTCTAAGTAATATAACCAATCGTTTTTCGAAAAATATTTTTCAAATCTTGAGTTTTCCGATAAACAAACTCATCCTCCATCTAGTATTCATTCTAGCGTAAATGTCATTTCATTATTGTTATTTTACTGTAAGATTGAATGTGTTTATTGAGATTTATATGAGTAAAGGTCAAAAAAGTACATAACACATGTCCTCTCATATTATGCATTCTTGTTAGATTGTGAGTTATCAATGCCTCACACTGAAATTATAATTTTGTTTTATCACGAAATATAAATTTTAACCTTTCTGAGTTACTCGAGGGTAGAATCGAAGTCCATCTACTAGAAATGTATATTTGATAACAAAGATACATCGAATTACCTATAGTTTGGATTCAATTACAACAACAAAAGATAGATGGATACAATATTGAAATACATCTTTATGAACAACAAACCGATCCTACTCCAACAAAGCCAACTACTCCTTTTTGTGTGTGTGTGTATATACAAGTAATACCCGATGGGCTAACCACAAAACGGCACGTTAGCGTTCTTAAAGACGAGGCAAAAGATTGTACATCGAGTCATTGTAGAAATATTGTGGGAGATCTCATGAAAATGAGGTTAATTTGCTCAAACAAAGCGGAGTTCGAGTCATTAACTTGGAAGCCAATGTGATTACGCGGGGTGTTTATGTTCAAAGCAGCGTGTGCTCGCTTGGTCTTCGCATACGACACACACCCAAACGTAAATATGCTCCCATATGATATCGATTTCTCATGATTGCTCATGATTCACATCATTGCATGAGGAAATGATGGATCCTGTACTTTGACTAGCCCAATGCAACAGCATCAGCGTCAACAGAAGCGCAACATCATCTTGCTTTTTTCCCCTTCGAAATCGAAACCTCCAACTTGTGTTTTTTTTAAGGGTCTCGTGTCCCTCCTTTCCCGAGCACTCGCGCAGCATCCCAGGGCAAAAGAAGATGGGGGAGGGATGATGATTGATGATGACCGTGATGATGGCCGACGATGATGCAGATCATTGCGAGCCATTGCAATTGATAATGAAGAAAAAAAGCATGACATGTTCTCAATCATGATGTTCCCCGGAGGGAACAAGATGATCCCTCTTGATTCCCAAGTTGCGTGCCTACGGTAATCGAACGTGTCTTTTCTTGCCCTAATCTTGGCAATCGTAAAATAATCATCGGAGTTGTCTTGCTTCATTCATATTATTTATTCGCTTTTTTTTTTTCCGTAAAGCGAAGTATATCGGGTTCGACTAACTTATTCGGTACACACAAACCGTTCCGTCCACGTGCATCGGGTAAGACTCCACCCACAAGATTGCCGGCTCTACCCCCCAAACTAAAGAAAAATGGGTGATGTTGTACTTTGGACACGAGACCCGTCGGATCTAAATCAAGCACTTAACCATTCAGCCAACTGTTAAGGTCATAAATCTACACTTAGCAAAGTATTGGATTCGACTAACTTATTTGATGCATGCAAATCGTCCTGTCTACATGCATCGGGTAAGACTCCACCAACAAGGTTGCAAGCTCAACCTCAAATTAATGAAAAACGGGTGATGTTGTACTATGGATATAGGATCCGCCGGATCTAAATCAAGCACTTAACCACTTGACCAAGCCGTTAAAGGTCATAGATCTACCCTTAGAAATGTTCATTACTTTCGACGTTAGATGAGATGATGTGGGTCGACGTTAAAATGGAGTTTGGATGAGTATCGATCTCTTCTTCGAATAGGATGCGATGCCATCTCTCTCTCCCCCCCGGCCTACGAGGAAATCCTCCGTGACTTCAATAATTGCGAATGATCCCAAAAGCAATGGCATATCTCTGACCATTGCGGGTCATATGATATGACTCGTAGCCTTTGGTCCATATGTGTGATTTCATTCACGACTTTCCTATAAAGAAAAGCTAAGCCACGCGCATGGGACCACCGACATATGCCTACTTTTCTCTCCCCCATTTTTCAGTCTTAGTTGCCTAATCTACTAAATAAAGTAGACCGGTCCTATAAATAAGCCATTGAAAAATCTTAGGTTAAACAATTGATAGATACGTTTTATACATTTTAAACATTTTAAACTAAGCAAAGTTATAGTAAGAGCTTTTCATCTATGTTATACATGTTGAAATAGTTTATTGATCTTTATTCATGATTTTGCCCGCTTGTTAGAGAGCTGAATATGACAGAATATAATGTTTAGAGAAACGCTTTTGTTTTCATTTGGCATTATAGGGATATAAATTCATTGCCTGTTCAAATTTAATTAGTAATATTTGTGGATGAGGAGTGAGGATGAGGCATCGGATGCTACTATTTGGTAATTTTATGGATCCTGCCAAGTTGGCGCCATGGAGAAAAATAAAAGGGAGATGCATTGATGGATAGCTGCTCAAAAGAGCCATCAAAAGAAGTTCACCCTTTCATTTCAGGTGAAAAACAAATTGTAAAATTACGAACATATCATGTAGTAAGCTGGCAATGGTATCAAAAGACAAGATGTTCTTGTAATCTTAGGTAAGAATGTTAGAGAGTCGAGAACCGATAAATCGATTCAATCTATGATGTCATTTTAGCAACTACCAATAAGGTGACGACGCAGAAAATAAGGGAACTTCTCGCTCTTCTTATGGTATTAGATTCAAGCCTTGTTAGAAACACTGAACCAATGTATAGGATAGGCGATTTAATACTGTGCGGGAGATGGATTAATCGACATGCAACAAAGCTGACCTAAAGACCATGCTGAACGGCATGATTTGATTACAGCCCCGAAAAAGGATAACGTTTTTCATTGGGTCTTGTAAAATTACTCACTTTTGCTTAGCACCTAAAACTTTCCTTGGAATAGCAAAAGTTTCCCCGCTTTGTCTGCCCAGATAAAAAGCCCACCACAAAGGAAAAACAGAAAGAGTCAGCTTTTGGTCAACTAGTACGCACGTTGCTGGTTAGTCTTAGGGTTTGAGCATCCACAATTATTCCATCCCAATCGAGTCAAAGGAATGAACATGAATGATTCCAAGTATACCGAAAAAACAAAGTTTACAAAAGATTGATTTGTTAAATAAGGTGACGAGTTCTGTTAAACATATAGTTAACTCAATGAAATAATCATTTATGATATGTCATATTCATGAGTACATTCAAATTCACACAAAAGATCTACCTAAACACGAAAAAAAGGAGGCCTCGTCGTCGTCGTCGTCAAGGGGAGAATGGTCAAATTAGTTCCGGCCGTTTGATTGTTTGATTGGTACTTTTTCTACTCAATATTCATTATCCTCTATCTATCATCTAGGTGATTTATTTTATATGTAGCTCATAAAAAAATTTTAGCCATTTGATTAATTATCGTCTTGTAGCTTCTAAATCTACTTGCCAATATGATGATGATGCGGCTCTTATTTTGGTGACACGCAATAATGCAGTTAGCAACATTCCAAATGATTCAAGATCATGAGCCCATCAACCTATCTATCAGCAAGAAATCAATAGCTAGACAAGTCACCTCACCACTCTCTTAAAGAAGAAAATAGACTATTGGCTTTTAATCATGAAAAGTAGTCATGTCCATGCCTTGTGTTCGTTTCCATTAGGCATTCATAAGCACAATACCATATATTATTAATCGCTAATCGATAAATACATTAACAATTTATTCTACGCCTAGCACGTTAAACAATAATATATGTCTCGTATCGTTATCTAACCATTTAAATTTGAAACAACTTACTCGCGCACTCGACTTTACTTAGTTCAACTTCTTTCATCCAACTAACTAGCCTTCACTCGAAAACAAAAGTCTCAAAATAGAAAAAACTACATTTTCATCATTCTCTTCAAATTAAATGTTGCTCTTCAATGTAACACAATACTTGGGTGGAACTTAATTCGGAGAGAATTTCATATTATATAGATCTTAGGACAAAATACGCCGTAGCTAAGGCTTAGCGGTTCCGGGACCTGGTACAAAAGAAAAATCGCACTTGCATTTAGAACTTAGTCATGTTTCGGTCCCACCAAGTCGAATCTCTCTCTCTCTCTCTCTCTCTCTCTAGTGTACAAAACGTGGTCGTGTATAATCATGTAGATTCACGTGTGTTGGCCAATATAGACAGCCTCGGACCATCTCTATCCTTGCTCGCTAGGACTAGGCAATTAATATGAATATAAAAGCACTCGCGTGAAGGTGTGTGTCTGGGTTGGAATGAACTGCAATTAGGTTTCTGCTTCCAGAGCCTGAAGTCTTCATCATATTTGCTGGGTTCTTCTCTCTGGCATCAATCAAATGGAACTGAATTTGAGCTTGGGAGACACGTCGTTTCTTGAAATGGAAGACTTAGGGTTTCATCTTGGGCTGGGAAGCAGCTTCTGCGGACGGCCGAAGGAAACAAGAGATCACAGCCGAGGGGATCGCGAAGATAAGGGTAAGCGATCAAGAGACGTCGTAGCTCTTCAGCTTCATCTCTTTCCGTCTCGAAGCGTGTCTTTGCTTCCTCAGCTCAACGATAATAACGGTAAGCTACGAGGTCCCGTTTTCGCTGAATTTCTACTTCGTGATGCTTTGAGGTTTGAGCTTTTGTGAGAGATAGATAAAAACTAGAAACTCAAAAAAGGGAGTTTCGACGTTGTCTGTGTAGCCTAGTGATAACATAGAACCTTGTTTATTTCGTTTCTTTCTTACTGACTTTCGCTGGCCTTTTCGATAGTTGTGTTGAGGAAAGCAATTTACAGAAGGGATCGATCACTTGATTCGATATGAAAGAATATGGAAAGGGCTTCACCAGATGATCATATGATCCGTTTCCGACTCATCTTCAAGTGACTAGCTGACTATCTTTTTGTCCGTTGCTTTCCTTACTAACTACTTTTCTGCTGCTAGTATGACTATTTCAGTATTTGTGACCATAAAACATCGAATTCCTTTCATTAATTCTTTTACTGATGATTGGAGTTTCTATCTTTTCCACATCCCTCAACTTTTCACATTTGATACAGAAAATTCTTACGGCCATATAATTTGTCGAGAATGCTTCTCTCGACGCATTCAAGCGAAGCACGACTAAAAAAGGTACATTTACAGGTAATTCTTCAGATGGGCTAGCCGAAGGGAAGTGGTTATCAAGCCAGTTGCTGGCGACCGCGTCGGTGGCAAAGGCCGAGGTGGTGGATGCTGGGGCGGCGCAGCTGTCTTCGCCAAACAGTGGCGCGTCTTCATTTCATCAGTTGGAGTTCAGATCAGGTTCGGGTGGAAGGAGCAAGACGGTCGACGCCTTGTCATTTGAAGGCGACAACGAAAGAGCGTGTTCCAAAGGCAGTGATGAATATGATGAAGACAACGGCTTGGCTCGGAAGAAACTCAGGCTCTCCAAGGAACAGTCTGCTTTTCTTGAAGAGAGCTTCAAGGAACACCATACCCTTAATCCTGTGAGTGTAATAACACGCAAAATGGCTATTAAAGTTTTGTAGAACTATATAGTTCTCGGATTACGCATAACTCCTTTTGGCACGCACGTACTGTTGATCTCATGACAAATAAGTTTTACTGCAACTAACCTATGTTTAAACCCATCAATCAGGTGGGCCGGATCGGGTTTGAGTCGGGTCGAATATGATCCGACCCATATTCATATAGAACCTTTTAACCCGTTTGAACCCATTTTCGTGCAATGCAAATTTAGTGACCCATGCCCGACCTGACCAATACTTAACACATACCCAACCGACCCATATTGTTAAAACACTTCTATATTCAACCTAATTTAAGAAAATTCATACCCAAACTTAGGTGAAAGTGCGGAGTAGGTGAGTGTAAGATCCGGTGAGGGTGAGAGAGCACGAGAAGAGAGACATAGAGGTGAATTGGGTCATATTCAATAATGACCCATTTGAGACCCATTTTGACCCATTTAACAATCATATTATATTTAAACCTATTTATGACTCATTAACTAAATAAAATTAACCTATATAACAACTCAACCCATCATATATGGGTTTAAAATGGGTCTATGACACATTTTGACAAGTTTACCTATACTGTATGTATATATAGTGAGATTAATTTTACTTGTGTAAATGAAAACTTTCACTAATCATGACGTAAATATTGTATTAATATGTTCTTAGAATGAATGGTTGATATAAAATATTGGCAAACATGCACATGCATTGCATGTGTATAAGAATTTGGTATCTCCAAAATTGAATTTGTCACGAATCTTTAAGTCATCAAATAATTAAAAGAATCATAGATGAAAAAATACTTTGCAAAGAAATTGTATTTACGGAAAGAAAAAAAATTCCACATTTAAAGTATTTTTTAGAAGGTTGTTGTAGGATAGAAAGTATCCAAACTATAATATGGAAAACATGAGAGATAAAATGAAGTAATCATTCAATCGTCCATCGACACAATATTTGTCGAATCAGAAATTAAGTTTACTTAGGGAAAAAAATCCCTTAAAAGTAGGAGGCTCTATTTTGTTTTGTATAATAGAATAGATAATTAAGACTAGCTAGTTTTACGTTGAAGACTTGCGAAAGATCCTATTCATAGTTAAAATACTGAGGGTATACTAAGAGTTTGCCCAAAAAAGATTGCGGCAAGCTCGTGTTATGAACATAGCTCAACTGTTTAATTGTTCACATACGTTTTGTCTCATCATTGATGAATAACTAATCTCGTAAATAGGTGTTAATATACATAGCAGTACTCTATGATAATATTCTTCGAAACTTATTAACCAAAAGATGAGAATATACAGTGATAAAGCGGCTAGCTTACTGCTAAGATGAAATGTAATTCAGACTCTTGATGACTGTGCTCCTTGTGGCTTCACGAAATGCGCGACGACGAATCAACCCGTAAATGCAAAGAGAGAGCAGTGTGCACTTGACCCATTGCTTTGAGCTTCCTCCCAAATATAAGGCACAGACAAAACACATTTTCAACGTCTACACGATTACGATTTTCGCAATACCTGCACTAATGTTCTTGTTTCTTTTCTGGCTTAAACTTGTTCTCTGTAAACATGCAGAAAGAAAAGACTGCATTGGCAAAACAGTTGCATCTGCGCCCTCGCCAAGTAGAAGTGTGGTTTCAGAACAGACGAGCTAGGTGAAAATTTTCTGCAATTCTATAGCACAGGATATATCTGATTCTATATATCTCATGCTGGAGCTGAAACACTAGGCATGCATTATCCATATATAGAGAGCTTATTAAAACGCTCATCACATAATTCACGATGATCCAATTTGACACCTGCGCCGTATATTACTTTATGGTTTATGTTAACAAGTTCGATTTTCAAACGCTGATAAAATTACAACCTCAACAAGAAAAGTCTGTAATATTTCTTCATTTGGTTGCTTAAAAGGTATCACAAAGCACATGTTAACATATTTTATGTATTCACGTATATTGTCAGGACGAAGCTGAAGCAAACGGAGGTGGATTGCGAGCACTTGAAGAGATGCTGCGAGAGGCTGACAGAAGAGAACAAGAGGCTGCACAAGGAGCTGCAAGAACTCAGAGCTCTCAAGTCTTCCCACCATTATGTCAATCCGTTCATGAAACATCCCGTTCCGGCCACCACTCTCACCATGTGCCCGTCCTGCGAGCGCGTCTCCACCTCCACCGCCACCGCCACTAACACAAATAAAATGTCTGCTCCATCGTCGTCATTAATGTCAGCTAATCCTAGAACAAACTTAATCCACCGGCCTCTCTCGAATAATACACAGGCTCAAGCTGCTCCCTGATGCATTAATAATGGGCACGCTGTTCTCTTCCCCCTTCTTGTAAATGATATTTGGCTTTTCTTCACCATTTTAACTTTGGTTTTGTTTAATCAGCTCTCTTTTTCTCAGATTTAAGTTGCTCCTTTTTACCTCATTTTCCTACATAGACATATAGATTTCGACATGGCCACACACCAATGTCTGATGATGTCTCTAGGGAAGATTGATGTATTATAATCTGTTGATTGATTGATTGTTCACGGGGTTTTTGCGAATCTAGTATATATGGAGGAAGCTAAGCATCATGCCGAGTGGCAGTTTTGCACTCGAGATCTTCTTCTTCGTTGTTGTTTCACGTGAATTGGGACATGTTTTCAGAGAAAATAAATATTGGATAGTCATATATTAATTATATGTCCAAAAGTACCCATTACAGTACATAAACTACATGGTAATTGAGACCCGGTATTTTTTGCGAGAACCAATATGAATAACACATACATTATAAAGGTAGGTCAGATGGATATAATAAAATAAGTACTTACAAATATTCTCAGTTCCTCCTTAACGCGGTGCGTTCATGGTGGTTTAGGGTGCTAATCCACAATGTCCTTGCGCTAATATTGCGGTTAGCTGGACTAACCTTCGTCCTCTTACCCGCATGTTGTTCTTGCACTTACTTTCCCTATGTTCCCGCTTATAATAAGAATTTCCAGCTTTATTTACTATTACAGAGAAAAAAGAAAAATCTTGAGCTGACATAGTAACTTGACATTCGACCGCTACAACCCTCTACATCATAACGGTCTTGAATGGTTCTTGAATATCGCCGTGAGGATTGAATTATTGGACTTGATCTTATCTTATCCTTAACTGGGCTTGGATTGCCAAGCAGACTTTAAGAACCCTAGACCCGCATCGTAAATTCTTCTTTCTCCCTTGAACATGAGCGGGCTTTGCTCTCGTCAGCGATAGATTTAAAAGGTCCGTATGATTGAAGCAACTCACAGTCGCCGATCCTACGGTTGGGCTAAACTTATGTGCATTGCTTGGGACTAATAAACTGTGAAGGTTTTTCGAACATTGGTCACTTTTCCTTTGGCTAACAATTAGCTATTTTGAAACTCGTCGATCATCTCGATGTATTGTCATTAGGGAGAACAGTCCACCCTCACTCCTCTAAACACCCAATAACTATAAGAGCGACGACATGACTGTCAAGTTGCTGTTTAATATCACGCCGGCATCCAATATGACTATGGAACGACCTTGACAATTTAAAGATATCTCCCGAAAGTTTGTAAAAGAAGGTAAGGAGACAACCGGACCTCGTTGGCAATAAGGCTACAGAGGCGCCGCTAGCCGACCTCCTCTCTCCCTCTCTGTAGGGCTTGTAATCTGAACTTTTCTCGGTGATTTTCTCTCATTCCACGTCCGACAATTAGCCCGATTGGAAGGACACAAGAGTAACACATCAACATCTCTATTTACACATCCCACGAAAGGACCAACCTAGATAAACAACAATGTCGACGGACGACAGTGGAACCATTTTTCACTAGCAGTTCAAGAACTCGCGGCGGCGGTACCAACCTCTATTGCAGTCAAACCTAATCCTGGGAGAACCGTCAATTGCGCCGAAGATTTCATGCGAACAGCAGACATTTCGCAGGGTGTGCAGATGCCAGGGGATGGTGACATGAACTGGGAACGCTTTTTCCTTTGCACGTGAGAGAGACCCACCACTGTGCAATGGCCTGGGGCTCAGTAGGCACCAGCTAATAACGTGTGGGACTGTCAAACCGAGTTGTTGGAGAACTATTCTTGCTTGCGAAGATTCGAAACGAGAGGAGAGGGGAGAGAGGAGTTAGAATAAGGTTAGCTGCTCATCAGAAAGAAAAACTGCTAGTGCTAAAGCGTCTATCGTTTCCACCTTTTTCCACTTTCCAGACACAAGTATGCGAATCTCTCTTTCGATTCCTGTGTTAGTCATGTGTATGAAAATTGTGCTTTTAGGAGAAAATTATTGTCGTACGGCCTAAAGGTCAAGCGAACGCGAGGAACTTTGGAGCAACACAGCCATATTCAGTCTCAACCGTTGAATTACGCAGTACAAATAGAGTCGTGCCAAGACAACGGCCGCCATTCTGTTTATAATAACAGTGCTCTCGTTGTGTAATAAGCGACCGGAAGTAGTCACAGAAATTCAGTGAAATTATCAATTGAACCACTATACTTTGATTTCAGTAATAGATTTTTGCATTTGATGGGCTTTGAACGGAATCCGATCAATTTGTTTCCCACAAAATGTTAACGTAGCGGACACGCGATCAAATTTCTACATGTCGGATCATCGCTAAGTGGGCATCGTGATTTTCATTTGATCCGATCCCCTGTCAAAATGCTTCAATTGGAAAAGAAGTTGAAGTTTATTGCATCGTGCTATTGGAATAAATGTCCGTGACTTGATGGCAAATTCGAACCCCGAGGACCACCTTTATTTTTATCTTCGCATTCATTAATCTTTTTTTTATGTTATTAACCCTGTTACTTGAACAGCACAGACAATGAAAAGATTTGGACCGGCTAAACAAGTCTCCAACAAGTCTCCCGATTCCCAAAACAACTCATGTGGTCAAAGGCGGGCCATCAAGTTAGATGCTCGACATATAAATCCATCTAAGCTTCTAATTTTTATTGAAAGCACTTTTGAGGAAAAATGTCTAGTTTAGTACCGCAGAACATGAAGCATAACACTTGTCATTCTTGAGATAAAAAAGCCAGCGCTGCAACAGGAAACCTAACCGATACAATCACCGCTGACACTGTCTCTTTCCGGCAATTAAGTGTCGGAAATGACGGAAAAAAAATCCCCATGTGATGCCGTGACAAGCGTACAACTTCAACCTAAACAAAAACGAAATCTCATTGTTTAATAAAAACATCATGAAAAGCAGCACCAGTCGGTCATCTTCACCACACAAAAGAGTCAGACCCTTTTGACTAGGAGTTCGCTTCAAGAGGAAGAATACGTATGGCATGCAGGAAAAGTCGAAAGGAGATCATATTTTATATTGCCGGCGTGAGAAGGAAACTCTATAAAAAAAAATATTATGTGTTGCATGGACGGGGAAGCTTTCACGTACATTACGATCAGATCTTGAACCAGGAGCTGATTATTAGTCCAGTTAATAATAACATTACGCAAAGACATGGGGCCGCAGTATTGCAAGCCGAGGATGATGCAGAATCATGAGAATGTATGTTCTCAATATAACGTGCGATGAAAACAACATCAAAGTTAACAAAACCAAGTAAAAGGGACTCGAATCATGTTCGCTGACTTTGAGACGGCTGCAAAGTGCAAATGCAGCAGATACAGATACTGCAAAAACCCTAAAACTCTTATCGTTTACTTATCTCTCCACATGAATCATCTCTACTACAAGGCTGGGGAAAAAGAATTTTAGGTCCCAGTAAGTTTTTTGTATATTGATGAATCTGATCGACATTAAGACGGAGCGACAAAAGAGCGGGTATGCTCATGGAGGACCCAGTTTCATCTTTCTTACAGTATTATCCTTCATAAGTTCTCTCCCCAAAACAGGTAACATAAGGAGTAACATTGCTATAGAGCGACCAATGCATCCACAGACACCATGACCTGCGGCTTGCAAGGCGACGCCGACTGAAATATTGCTCAGCACCTAACATATATAGGTTTTTTCGTTCGCTAAATCTATGAAACCTTTCATAGGCATATAACTTATGATATGAACAGAATAGGACTTTGTTACATCACCCTCCACTCTCTTAACAGGAGGGAATAGAAAGGGGGGAAAAAGGAAAACATGCTTTCATGTATTCTCATCCTCGCCCTCTCATCGGTCATCTTTTGCACGTGTATACCAAGACCGAACAGAGTATTCATCTGTGCGCGACTCGATTAGCCTCAGGGGCTGGTAGTAATAAAAGAATTTAATTTCACCTCTGTAATATGTGCAGTTTCGAGACTGATCAGGGTCTCCTTTGCGGTTGCTACTTCTGGTTCAACTTCACGAGGAGTTCTGCATATAGGATCTCGTTCCACGCATCGGGCACGCCAGGGAGGCACCAGTGGCTGCAATCTTGGAATCTCAGCGGCGATCTCCTCTCAGCATCAGTCAGATGTTGCTTCCGATAAATCGACGGGTGGCCGTCTTTCCTATAATCCGTCATTTTGGTGACGTTTAGGTAATTGACGTGGGTTTTCATCCCTCTAAGCACCTTCTCCAACACAATCATCTTCGGAGGATATTCTCGAAGGTAAGTTTCATTCTTGATGGGTTGAGTCTCACTGTCACATTGACCGCCCGAATTCCACTGTCCACCACTGCACGGAGAGAAGAGGACTAAGTTTAAGATTGAGCTTTTAGGCCGATAAGATAAAAAAAAAACAGCAAGAAAGCTCCAAATGAAGCAGCTTCGTGGAAAATGAAACATGATATAGAGTTTAAGTATTGCGAGCAGAGCGGATGATTAGATAACCGATGAATGAGCTTTGGAGCTTCAAAATACAAGTTTAGTTTTCAATTGATGTGATTGGATGTTATTTAGTAATGCTAGAGATACTAAAATTGGTTTTCAAAATTAGTTCACTAAATGATGGGATAGCCTGTACTATGTTATTTAAACTAGTCATATTCAAACAACAAAGAAAAACCAGTAACATTCATTAGTAAACTAATTTTTGAGAATCAATCTCGGTATCTCTAGCATTATTCGAACATTAGACGAACATTAGATAGTTAAAAACCTCTAATGCTACAGTTCAGTTTCCTTGTACAGGTAGCCTTTTTTTTTTTTTTGGCCAACATTATAGAAGTAGCTATTGACCCTTACGAATTAGCAACAAACTTCATATAAAAAGAAGCGGATTGAGAATGATCTTCGACATGAAAAAAACAAAAGCATTGGCAACATCAAAATTTTTAACACTACATAATTTTTAACAATTTTACAATCAGATGACAAATCCTATTACCATATACATTCAACTACGTTGCTCATTCAGCACTAATTCATATAAACTCGTGGTTAGATTGTTTGGGGGCTTGCGAAAACACAATTGTCCCACAGATCGACAATCCCGAATCATTTGAACAACATTTTCCACAGGAACTTAGCAAATGATATCACACACACAAACGATGCACGCCCGCGAGCGCGCCCGCGAGAGAGAGCAATAGAAGAGCAATCTTAGCATACCTAAAATGGGAGTCGGAGTATCCTCTGAAGAATACAATAGACTTTGTGGGGTTTATATTGGCATCGACCCACCTCCCCCACGTTGTAAGAGCTTTCCGAAATGCCTCTAGGACATTTAATTCACCATACACATGGCTACCTTCTTGATAATAGTCTTTCCTGAAACATTTAATCATTCATTTAGATTATCTGAACCAACGGTAAAAATGATCTCCTCATCTCTATGTTTTATAAAACTTCACCAATGCAATGAGATCTATCAACCACATTCATGATCAAACAAATGGCATACCCTTTGGAAGTTTTATCATGAGTCCACCAGTGTCCAGTGTTGAAGATAATAATGTCCGCACCTTTATACTGATCAGATGACCTCCCTACCAAATCTAACCTAAGTGTTTCCTTTGTAGATCCATTCTTGTCGGGCACTTCCCATTCTCGAACCAAAAAGGGGGACACAAAGAACTCCACCGTGAAACCGTAGTCCTACCAAATACCACCACCAAAGCATTACTGAATAGACTAAAACAACAAAAATTGACGCGTATTTGAGCAAGAGGGATGTGAAATGCAGGTGATATGAATAGGAGAGCAATTCAACAACCTACTTTGAATATGAAGGAGTAGGACGCTTCACCGCGGAAATGGTGTCTGCCACTGGCTTCATAGACTTTCTTTTGATCTTTCACAGCGCCTCGCAGGATGCAGACCAGCGATTCCCACATATTCCTGTTCAAGGAATCGCCGACGAAAACCAGCCGCTTCCCTCTCAACAATTCGATCATGTGGCTCGCATTCAACCTGGCCATTCACAACCTTCTTACATCAACATAGAATCCCCCAATCTCCAACGACACAGAACAATGTAAGTTGCAGAACATCGAAAAAGGTAAAGCGGTGTTTGGAAGAAGGAAAGTTTAAAAACGATTGAAGAAAAAAAAGAAAAGCTTGATCTTCAGTTAGTTACCTATTTGTATGGCCAAGCAAATCTTAGATTTTGAAAACTCCTAGATGGAGATAAAAGATCGAGCCCAATCACAACCGACAGGAGTTGTAGAACACAATAAAAAATATAAATAAATAAAAAACGAACTTTTCTTCTTGGTATCAGATTTGACCTTACAAAGAAAGAAAAGGCAATAACAAAAACAACACAGATGAGGAAACTGAGTGAACTGGACACTCCCTAGAAGCACACACATAATTGGAAAAACAATACCACGCCCCAAAAAGAGCAGATCCACGATCAATTCTTTAGTTTCTAACTTAAGCAATAGGAACAACGAAATCAACTGAACAATCATGGTAAAAATCAAAGCAATCTCAAGCGCATTCATACCTTGGCAGATTGCAACCCTTAGGCCTCCATCTGAACTTGTGATAATCCTTATCAGGCCTCCCATTGAGTATGCAATTGAATTGCTCGTCGATTAGCGAGCACGAGCCCGGCTTGTAAAGTGGGTACGAATCGTCCTTCACCCACCGCCCGTCGAAGAAATCGCACTTCTTCAACGACTCGATCCAACCACTCATCCCCTGCTTGGCCGACACCCCTGAAACAGTGTCATTGCTCTGTTTCTTCAACAGCGAGGACGTGTAGTTCGGCTTGATTTGCTTCTCCCCGACAACCTCCACTGCCTTCGCAGTATCGTTCTTCGCTGGAGGAGCGAGTAGCTTCGCCGGACCCTGGGTGCGATTAGCGGACGAACTCGGCACGGCAACACTCGTCTGATTCTGCTTCGGAACTTCAGGCGCCGTCGGTGCTGGCGTTTCCACGTTTGCTGTGCTCTGCGTCGCGTCCTTCACTTCGCCTTGCTTCGGCGCCTGAGAGGCAGCCGAACTCGGCGAACTCTGAGTAACGTTTCGCGCAGGCGGTGAAGCCGCCGTCGCGAAGGAAGCATTCACGGTCTGATTCGGCTTAAAAATTGGATCTTTATCAGAATTCACCGGGACTTGAGTACTGTTCCGCTCTTCCGGAGGACGAGGAGCCGTGGCATTCGATCCGGTCCGGACATTATCCGAAGAGGAAGGAGGGGACGACGCAGCACTGCCGTCGTCGTTGGGGAAGAAGTAAGAGAGGAGGGAAGCGGACTGAGATCTGTACGAATCCGAGGAGGTGGCAGCGGCGGCGGCGGGGGCGGTGAGGAAGACGTTGGAAAAGAACCAGGGGGAGGAGGAGTCGGCGGAGGAGGAGGAGGAGGAGGAGGAGGGGTTGAGGAGGAGGAAGAAGGTGAAGGCGACGAAGGCGAAGGTGAGGGCGTAGGCGAGGGCGGCGGTGCGCTTGGTGCGGAGGAGGGACCTGAGGTCGGAGTAGAAGAAGAAGAGGTTGCCCCAGCCGCCGCCGCCGCCGATGGGGAGGTGGTGCTTCGTGGGGTCGGCCATGGAGATCGACAGTGCCCTCTCTGCCTCTCTCTCTACTCTCTCTCTCTATACTGTCTCTCTCTCTCTCTCTGCTTTTTGCGTGGAGGCGAGAAAGGAGAGACACCCAGAAGCGGAAATGCGTTTCTTGGTGTGACACTGTGAAGAGAGAGAATGGTGGGATGGTTGGGCAGGGGAGAGAATGTGGAGTGGGGTAGGAGGGAGTACTGTGAGGGCTCCAGAAGTTAATGCGAAACAGAGCGAGAGGAGCGAGAGAGAGAGACTGGGGAGATCGCTGCGATGCGAACGGAGGAGGAAGAAGAAGAAGACGGTCGTCAGTGGAGTTGGAAAGATTTATTGAGTTTAAAAAAAAAAAAGAGGGATAACACCATTTCCATCTCCTCATCAAAAAAAAATCCTTCCGATTTCTTTTTTTGCTTCTTTTTTTTTTAGCAAAGAAAAAATTCCTCGCAATTTTGTAAAAAGACAAAATTGCCCTCCATCGTTCGGTCGCATTTAAATCGGTTCAATCCCAATTTATTTACTTTCCTTCTTTTCCAGTTTTTCTATATCTATGTTATAATTTGCTTACCACGATTAAGAATTTCGTATCTTTAATTTTCGTTTATGGCAGATTTTCTATGTCTATTAACACTATATATATATATATTTTTTCCTTTTTAATTTGTTTTGTTCAAAAGAGAATTTTCCAAGAAACTTAGTTGTTTTATGCATTGTCGATCAATTTCATGGATAGATTGTTACGTGGATGAAATTTAATTAAATCGAAACATTGCATTGAGTAAGCATTTTTTTTTTTAAGAAAATGGCTGTCAAATATCATTAATTTGGATTGACAAAAATTATTATCATCCACGAACTGTTTACAAAAATATATCAAGATGTGATGTTTTCGGTGTATAAAAAAGTATCTCGCCGTCATTGTGAGGAAAAAAATATAATTTCTCTAATGTAATAAATGGAGAGACTTGTACGTGTTTTAGACTAATGAAATTTTTAAAAAGTTCACCAAGAAAATGAGCTTTTGAGATAAGAGAGATAAAAAAAAAATACATAAGTTGTTATAAGTTCAATGATAAAGAACAGACTTTTTAATTTTATGCTGTATCAAAAAATGTCTAATTTCCATACAATTGATGAGATAATTTTACACGGAGCATGTAAAACGTTATGGAATATTTGAGAGTGCACTTGTCCTTAATGCACTGAAAAAACAAAACATGCGAAATGCTTAATTATGCAATCATCTTAAATAATAAAAAAGAAAGGAAAAATTGAAAAAAAAGAAGGAATTGAGTTATCACTTTGGCTGTGTTCGTTTGCGGAAAAATATTTTTCCGGAAAATATTTTCCGCATTTTCCGGTGTTCGAGGGCGGAAAATGTTTTCCGTGAGAAAACATTTTCCTTCCCCACCCCCAAATCCTTCATTGTTTTGAGGAAAATGATTTTCTCTTTTCACAAAAAGGAAATTATTTTCCCTCAAATTGAAGGCAAAATTACCCATGGGAGGGAAAATATTTTCCGTGGGAGAGGAAGTTGATCGCCGGTCACCACCGTTGGCTGCCGGTCGCTGGCCGCCCGCCGCCATGCCGCTTGGCCGCCGGTTGCGCGGCGCCGCCGCTGTCGCCCGCCGCCCGCCGCCGCCGCCGGTCGCCGCCCGTCCCGTCCCCCTTCGCCAGCCGATCGCATCTGCCAGTCGTCATGCCAAATCCTGCCGGTCGTAGTCGCCGCCCGTAGCCCGCCACGCTGGTCGTCGGTGAAAAATATTTTCCGAAACTTTTTCATATTGGTCGCTGAACACCGAAAAATTATGCTCCGGGAAAACATTTTCCAGGAAAATGACTTCCGGGAAAATATTTTTCAAAAGGAGAATATTTTCCGCCAAACGAACGGAGCCTAAATTGCAATCGCAAGATCAAGGGCATTGTTGTCTTTTTAGTGCAAACGGTACGAAAATAGCACCGCCCTGAAACAGAGGGGTCGATGTCTTCGGCCTTGATGTTTGGTAATAATACCAGGAATGCCACTGGTTTCACGTGAGTCTTTCAAGTTCACGTGGATCCTCCTCCGCTCCTCCGAATTTTCCAGATGATTTTTTGGCTTTATCCCCGGGGGTGGGGGATCTCGTACTTCGAAGTAACCCTCTCCAAAATGTGAAATTTCGAATTGCAAAATTAAATTAAATCAAATCCAGCAAAATTTGAAAAACGGGTAATAAAAATGAACATCAAAGTATTTTCGCGTATTTTTCTTCTTCTCAATTTAAAATTTTTCGCATTATTTTCAAATGAATCGAGCGAGCATGAATCCATTCGTCGTTTGCACCATGTTAGTTTGACACGGATTGACATTCAACTTCTCTAAACAGATCATGGGAGAGGATCCAAGCAAGATATTCTCGGTATTTGATAAGATCATGTAAGTGCTATTTCCATTTGAATAAGAGATAAGGGCGAAGTAGATAGTTGCTCCGGCTTCGATTTGAGAATTTGAATTCTATTAATCCACGATTTAACCGATCGACCATATCCCAATATGGAAAATCATCGTCGCGCTCCATTGTCTAATAAGCACTCCAGAAAATTCGCGTCGTTTCTAGCAAAGTAAATCATTTATACCTTCGAATTTAACGGGCGCGGCTAATCACGCGAGAGAAGTTTTAAGGGCGTGGTGATTCTTTCGGGTGATGTACGGAATTCGTAATTTTTTTCAAGAAACGAGTGTAAAAATAAAAGAAAGAAAGAGGAACACGAGCAAAAATAGCGACAATGGTAAACCTTAGGGTGGGGCCGCGCGCTCACGCGCTTTTCTTTTTCTTTTTCTTTTTCTTTTTATTTCTTTTTTTAAAAAAATTTTATTTTTCCCCGCACTTTCGGAAAAGTCCAACCGGAGTCTCCTTCCTTCATCACGTCGCTCAACAGAGAAAGTGTCGCTTTACTCTCGGCTGAATGAATAGCTTTCAGCGCGTGGGGGAGGGGGGGTCCACGTGGCCCCCCCGCCCCGCCCCCCCTGGGTACTCCCGCGTACGTACGTACGCACACGCTGTTACTTTTCGCGACGGACAACGCCACCACCGCAAAAGCATGGGCGTGACCTCACCCGATCACTCCCCCCGCTCCTCGGCAAACCCCACGCGCCGCGATTGGACGGCCCTCCCCGCGGCAGCCGATTGGCCGTGGCGGCGGCGGGATCCATCGCCAATTGGAGCAGATTAAGATGGCACTGTTTTTTCCCGGTTAATATCGCAAAAAAAAACTCCAAACTGGTACGTCTGTAATAAATTTTATCCTTAAATTAATTTTTTAATCAAGAAAAATAAAAAAACGGTATACCTATAGTAAATTTACCTAAAATTAATTTTTTGATCATAAAAACCCTCCAAACTGGTATACTTTGGATTAATTTTTGGATTAATACCACGAAAAATCACAAATCAGTATACTGTAATAAAAAGAGGGTAAAACTCTAAACTGGTATTTTCCATTCTTCTTTCCCTCCTTTTAAAAACACGAACAGAAACTTTTTCCAAAACGAGATCAAATACCACCTGGCCAAATGAAATATCGAATACCACCCTGAATTCGATACGCAGGTGCAAAATTCTTGCCGGACGTTCTTGCGACGAGGATCCTCTCCCCCCAGGCCGTTGACCGTTGACTGGGATCGACGCCATGAGGAGATGTGAAAAATCCGGAGAAAAGCGATGGAGCTCGTCCCAACACGCGCTCTATCTTATATTACATTACCTTAATTCCTCCGAACGATAATAATAAATAATTAATTAAAAAGAAAAATAAACCGCGCACCGCTCCATCTGGTAATTCTCAAAACCCAACATCTTTTTTTTCAACGAAAATCCGTACGATTTGTCGAACCAGCCACACAAATCTTAGGGGGCGTTGGTCTGTCGGTGATCCATTCCCATATGTTCATTTAATTTTTTTTAAAATTAAAAATGAAATAATCAAGATGGGGATTTGAAAATCGGTGGGGCCCCCAACCGACGCGACAAAGGTCGTGATAACGCACCACCGCCACCCCACCCACCCACCCACAAGGGGGCGCCCCCCATCGAGCCGGTGGGACCCGCCGTCGAGCTGTACGGTGGGGGGAGAATTACGGTGCACTTTGTCAATTTTCTCACCTTTTGTTTGTTAATACACAAGTCAATTTTGGTCCGACTCAGATTGATGATATAGTTTTAAGTGGGTGTTGTTTTGGGCTTCTCAAGCCGAGCTGAAAGATTTACCCTTTCGAAAAAAATTTCGGCCAAAATCAAGAGGTCGGTTTGTTCTGGTTTTTTGGGGCAGAGCAAGTAATGCTGGGGCTACTAAAAGGAAGAAGGAAAATCGCCGGGGAACGGGTACTGCTCGCGGCGGTGCGACGGCTCGCTCCGCCGCAGAGGGCGGACCGCTCCTCGGTTGACTTTGTTGCGTAGTTGTAAAACACGGTTCGATGTAAAAATGGGAAACTGTCTGATTCGGCAGTTCAAACGGACCCGAAGAGTCGGTCCATAACGACGAATCAACCTCCAAGTTTAATAAGAGAAAAAATGATGTGCCTCCATAAAATGGGTGGCGAGACTTCACTTTTCATATTGAATGCGATGCGAGGGGAAAAGCTGGCCATAATTGACGAGAACCGATCCGCGCCTTGCGAGATGTTGTTAGGGCGTTAACGGGAAATTAATTGAAGATTGGTATTAGTTTTGGACCGTCAATTGAATTGCCCAACCGAGTATCGTTTCAGTGACGGTCATCTTTAGGGACCACGGGTGAGTGTTTCATGTCAAATCTCCTCCTTCCCATTCACCTAATGCTCGTCGATGAAGTTCTCCTATCAGAAGCACCAATGAATGAGTGACCGATAAAGTTCTTTTTGTGGTCAGCCGAATGTATTTCTAGACTTTAAAACTTATTTACAAAAAGCTTGGCGGGGCCCTAACGGACCAACCTGAAAAAACCCCCCCATAAACCCCAGAGGAGAGGGGAGTTTCGAACTCCCCACCTCTCCCAATTTCCACGTGGGGAATGGCGGGCAAGCCCCAATGATTAATCGATCAAGTTTCTAATATGAATGGCTAAGGATCGGGTCTTGTCAGATGGCCGTCCCGTATCCCGATAGGACTTAAATAGGACGCGATGGCTCCGTTCGTTTGGCGGAAAATATTCTCCTTTTGAAAAAATATTTTCCCGGAAGTCATTTTCTCGAAAAATATTTTTCTGGAATACAATTTTCTGGTGTTCGGCTAAAATCTGAAAAAGTTTCTAGTGTTCGACGACCGCCGATCCGGCGGCGGCGAACGGCGGTGGCGATCGGCAACCAGCGGCGGTCGGCGGCCACGAGCGGCGGGCGGCGATCGGCAAGCCGATGCATGGCCGGCATGACCGACGGGCCGGTGATTCCGGCAGACGGGCCGACGATCGACGGTGGATCGCCGGCGGCCGGTGGCGGCGATCGGCGGCCGTCGATCGGCAGCGGCGACCACGCAGCCGGCGGCGGTGACTTGCGTCGGCAACCGATGGCGGCGACCGGCGGCGGCAGCGACCGGCGATCAACTTCCTCTCCCACGGAAATCATTTTCCCCCAAAGTGAAGGCAAAATTGCCCGTGAGAGGGAAAATGTTTTCCGTGGGAAGTTATTTTCCGCCCCCGAACACTGGAAAATCCAGAAAATATTTTCCTAGAAAATATTTTCCGCCAAACGAACGGAGCCTTAGGGCTGCGCGACGGACGGGGCTCGCGGACTCGATTTTCCTTCCAATTTGAGGGACGAAGAATGGAGAGAGATCCGCACCACCGACGGTGGTCTTCGGAAATCGACCGCCGGTGCTGTCTTTTTGTCGTCGGGCAAAATTTGAAACGACTGGAGCGAAATGATTGTTCAGAGGGTGAAAACGACAACGGAAAAGGGGGAAAACGACATCGTGGGTCCGAGGCCCATCCAAATCACGAACTACTACTACTACTACTCTTCTTCTTCCCACTCAGTTCCGATCTCGTCTTTGTCCTAAAAGAAATTTGGGGGGGTTGGATTCAATAAATTCGCGACAGACAAAATGACAAACGCTGCGCATTCTCATTCTCACCCCCCCCCAGTTTTATTATTCTGATTATTGCTATCTAAATTTGTGTATGGAATTTTTTTCCTTTTTTTTTTTTTTGGGTCGAAGTGTATCCAAGCGGCTTGCGTTAAGAATCGCGTTTTGAGGTTGGCAGGCGACGAACTAATTGTATCTATTTAATCACTGAGTATTTAGTGTATATGGTAACACAAGGGTGATTAAATGGTCAAATTTAATGGTCAAGGGACTGTTTGTTGGAGCTAAAAGTAAAAGTAAAAAAAAAAAAACAATTTTTTTCTGTCAATTTTTTTTTGGTAAAATTTAAAATATTACGAAATATGTAAACGATCGTGAAAAAATCTTATGGGAATGTACGTGTCAACAATTGCGTTTTCGTTACACTTTCGGATGTTTCGGATTTGAACAACTCGAGGTGTGTGTAAAGAAAAATATCGATTAAGCAAATAGTAAATGGTAAAAGCCAATCCAAGTAAGCTATTGATAAATTGGTCAAAGTCTACTTTAGGAACAAATGATTTTCTAAACTTTTCAATTTGTTAAATAGGGCCTCTGAGTATTGTTCGGCCGCTTGGATCCCGGAACTATGAACATTTTCTTTTGTTCGAGTCGGTCCTTTCGTTAAATAGTAAACCCGGATGCTATGTAATCCTTAAATCGCTGTTAAGTGCTCTCATCTCGCGTGCAATTAAAAACCCTTGACAAATGCAAAATAAAGACAAATATTTTTCAAAATTTCGAAAGATGGAAATCCTAAAAGAAGAAAATGGAATAAGGAGAATAGAGAGTAAAAGAGGGAAGGAAAGTTGTTGCAGCGGTGGCGGTGCCATGCTGCCCTCGCATTAGCAAGGGCCCGGCGTCCTTTGCTGGCCCCAGACAAATTTGGTGCGGACATCATTGCCATGTCCACCGACAAACACGGAGAGAGGCAGAGAGAGATCGAGATGGTTCGCCCACCCGCGAGCAAGCCAAGCGAGGCCATGGGTCCGCAAGGGTTGCGGCCCTCAATTTGGAGGGCGAGGGCATTCGTCGCTTCGGTTTTGTGCTTCAGCTACAAATTTGACCTTACTAGATTTGTGGCAAGAGTCGCGATCCTCGGAGCCGGAGTAGCGAGGCCAATGGCCCCCTTGCCGACGCATGTCGGGTCGGCCCAGCTAAGGGTCACTGCACACTCGTGGTGGCTAGAAGCTGGCATTTCTGCCGTTTAGCCACCGACTCTATCTCCATCCCTTTAACTAGTTCTATCTTCCTCTTTTCTTCTATTTTTTTTTATATCTTTATTCCCCATGACAATGAGTTCGAAGAGCATGCTAATATTACGCCGACGCGGTCTGCCAAATTCCCATCACTATACTTGACTGAAATATTAATATGAAGAGAGAGATATATAGTTAAGAGCTCAAGTGGCCAAAGTAAAATTTAAGGACCAAAGTAAATGATTGAAACAGTTCGAGTACAACCTTGTTCTTAATCCATTTGTTTTATGAACAGGTTTAGATAGCTTGGTGGATAAATTGTGAGACTCCATAAATATAGAGGGATATTAGACAGCGGGATAATTGTTCAAAAAGTTTTAAACTTATTGTACAACGATCAATTCAACACTAAACCTTCCAATTGTATCAAATTAGTCATTCCGGCCAATTTTTACTGCAAATTGCTTACGTGGGCGCTGGCCAACTTTTAACTTTGACAAATCGCCAAAAGATTTAAGAGTAAATTGACACAATTGAAAGGTTTATGATTGAATTGATCATTGTATAATAAATTTATGACTTTTTTTATAATAAAATGTGTTTGAGAGTCTCTTGTTTTTTTTGGGTCGGAAGTTTGAGAGTCTCTTTACTCGAGCTAGTTCGGCAAAAAAGCTTAGTTTGTGATTAAAGTTGAAAAGACATGTCTCGCTGGGATTTGAGCACAAAACAATCTTCATATGGACCAAGGCCTCTCCTCCATTTTGAACAGCCAGCAATACCCAATACACAATGCCTTGTGTCACCCACTGGGCTATGAGCAATGACGGCAACCTTTTCCTCGCTTTTACAACAATCTACATATGGACATGGACCATTTGGACCCCGACATCGGAAGGAAACCAGCAAACGGGCGAGTGCAACACATGATCTCGGCGCTTGTAGTTCAATCGTGATTTCCGACATTTACTCGGGGAAATCGAGATTTCTTGTGCAAGAACAAAGACATAATAATACCTGGTTCAAACATCAAGCTCATCAGCCTGCGTCTTCGAACCGAGGAGATGCTGCCAACAGTGCTGCTGAAGCGTAAAAAATCAGAACCGAATGTTATCGATCATCCTGTTTAGTCGATTGATTAACTCCCAGCATGAACCCGAAAGAGGACTTTGTTAACCTGTAGAGGAGTTTCACTCAAACTCTGACTACAGTGTTGTGCGGGAATTGGGACGTTATTGTCCCGTGGAAGTGTTTGCAAGGCTTGCAGCATAGCCTACTACTCACAAAACTTCCGTGCTAATGAAGATTTACTTAAAAATAATAACCTACAGCTAATTTCGCTGTACAATGTTGCATTTACTGCATCAGAGATGCACATGAGAGAGAGAGAGAGAGAGAGAGAGAGAGAGAGAGAGAGAGAGAGAGAGAGAGAGAGAGGGGTATTCCAAAGCACATTTAAACGAACTTTTGGATCATTTGTCTAACTTCTTCAATCACAAGCCATGCCTTGTGTCCTCCAATTACTTCTTCTTTCATCTCTCCATCTTTCCATAACTGCAAATTAGTGTCCGGTCAATTTGCAAATCTATCAACAACCAGAGGCATGGAGAAAAGTTCTCTAAGCTATTGATATACTGCGTACCTGAATAGTCGGCATTTTCTGCAAGCGCGAAAATTGAAAGAAAGTATAGTCAGCGATGAGGAGTACATGCTTATAGGAGAGAAATCGAAGCTTTGAAAAATTGGGTAGCATGACATACAGAGATATTTCCGCGCTTCACAAGGGTCTGAGGAACTTTGTTGACGTCTACACAATAGAATCTGATTCTACCAGTACCATGAGAAGAAGCGAAGGCAAAAATGAAATCAATATGGTGCAAATTTGTTCCCAACAAGGGCCTCTAGGTTCGAATAAAGTATGTTAGCACTTTTAGAATTGCTGGAAGTATAGACACCACTATTACAGGTTTTCAAGTCTTTTGTTTGAAGGAGTAACAGAAAACTGTGAAGATCTTAAGCTCAAGTGACTTTGCTCGGTAGAAAAAGAAAACTTCGCGCAGAAACCTCAACATCATTGCAATAAACACGACTCTCCACAAGTATTTCCGTACATGACGCACCAACGAGCTCTTGGAGCAGCAATAACCAAATCGGCAGTTTTATAATCATAACCGACCAAAATATTAGTCGAACAAACTTCGCTCCAACTATAATGTTAAACCCACAATGCAGATTTCCAGAGCCTCGGTGCTTAAGATTACACGGAAGTGATCATAAAGTGGAATTCTACCATGCCTACTGGTGAGGTGTTTGGTGCATATGTTATCTCTCTCTCACACACAGAGTAAGAAGAAGAAGGAGAGAGAGAGACAGAGAGAGAAATTACTTGCTTTCGTACTCGGCAGCCAACTTCTCTAGCTTAGGCTTCAAATAAATGCATTTCCGACACCAAGCAGCCATCCTATTAGGACAAACAACTTGACACAAAAGAATCAGTAAAAGCACAGGCACTGCGAACAAGCGTATGTTAATGCAGTTTCAATCCAGACAAAGGACGACTTCGAATTATGCGATCGCCATAAACATAAGAAAGCACTTCCCCCTATTCTTTGCCAATCGACATTCACACCTATAATTTTGAGCAGGCGCTGCATATCTCTAAGAGGGAAGCAGAAAAGAGACCGAAATTTCCATTGAATCTTCCCGAGCTATCGCTAATACAAAACTCGCGAACCCAATATCTAAGTCTGGAAACACGGATTCCGGTCAAGAGTCCATCGGCATGATGCAAGAACGTTACCGATTCAATCGGCGCAAATCTTCGAACGATGATTTATCAACCAACAAAGGCCAAGTGGTATCTCTCGAAACCTTCCTCAGACAGAAATAGTCGTTAACACACAGCAAGCCGTATCTCGCGGTCTCGCCTAAAAACGACAGAGCTCGATGCATCTATAGCGCTCATTAATGCCGCGGAAGCAGCGACAGCCGAAACGGGAGGAGACGGGAGTACACAAAGACGACGGTCCAGTTGGAAGACTTAACATCGATATCAGTAGAGAAACGGACGTGCGGACAAGCACAGTAGGGAATTGAAAGCGATCTTGGGTGGAGATGAAGGTACCAATCGATAAGAATGGGTTGGGAGAGCTCGCGAGCGCGCTGAAGAATCTGGTCCAGCTGATCGGAGTCCTCGATCGGCTCCATCTCCGCGACGGCGTGGCTGGAGGAGTCGGGCCAGAACGCCCCCGCCCTCGCGTCCCGCCTCGCGACCCTCGGGCAATCCGAGCTCCTGCCGCGATCGCCGATGGGAAAGTGACCGGGCGGCCTGTGCAGAGACAAGGAGCTGACGCCGCTCAGCCACTGGTGGTGGTGGTGGTCTCGGGGACAGGCTTCTCTGAGGAGGACGTGAGGGTTCGGCGCTAGAACAGACATCTTCTCCCGGTCTTCCGGTAGCAGAGCGAGAAGAAGAAGAAGAAAGAGACGAGCGCAGATGAAAGAGACGAGCGCAGAGGAGTAGAGATGTTTGGGAGGGAAAGCCTTATCCGCAGGGGGGGGTCGACCATAGATTGAGTCGAGAGCGCCTCAGGCGAAGGGCAAATTTCGTAAAAAAAGAGAGAAAAAGAGAGACGCCGTCCCCTCCAGTCTGTTTAAGGTTAAAAACGAATGAACAAAACCCCCTCCATCTCTTCTTTTATCTTCGGCTCTCACGCCGGAGCGCTAGGCAATCTCTTTTGCAGTCTTCAATCTGACGCTGTACATTTTGAATAAGGCAATCATGGTTTTCAGTTCCATTTCTCGATCATTATTAAACATCCTAGGCCCATCGATCTGTTTCGCGCAAATTCCGTTGCTCGGTCAACAGTGAGGTTCTTACTGCACCAGGCGCCTCCTGGTGATTTCCGGCAAAAAGCAGGCCTGCATCACTGAGATGCGCTGAAAGTGAACCCACCTCACAAGAATATGTGCCGATTCTCGATTCTGGCTTCACTTAATTCAACCAGTCTTAAGAAGAGACGTGCTCTTCCAGCATCGCCTCAGGAGACAGTTGAAACCCAATTATATGAAACGGGCTGCGAGCAATAGGGACACTTTCGGAATGCAGCAGATAGCTGAGCTATGCGAACATAAGAGATTCCAACTATATGTCGTTTCTCCCCTCAGATAAGCCACTCTGCACTCACAAGTTCCAGGTGTCCCAACGAAATTTCCATCGCACTCTCTCATTTTTCCTTCATAAATTCATTCACATAGTCACACTAACCCCATAGTCCTGAGCAACAAAAGGAAAACAAATAACTACGCCACATAAACCTTACAACTACGAACTGCATAAAAGGTGACCTTTTTACATCGATCAGAACCGTAGAAAAGGATCCAAACTACAGAATTTTAAGTTTTCTTCCACATAGTGAGTCCAATTTCAAGCACACATTCTTAGGAGTAATGTCTTCCTGTCTTATGTTTCACTTTCTAACAGTGTCTCCATTACAACCCATTTACCAGCTATGAGTTGCTCTGAGAATCTAGTCATTGTTCTTCAGCAGGCACAACATTGAAGGCCACACACTACTCACCTACATGAAAATTAAAACAGCAGTTTGCATAGATTCCCAGTTGAGTTCATGAATGCAATGAACTTGACTGTGTCAACATCAGTTCTGGTATTTTAAACTTCATCTATTTTTAAAAATCACCGTGGTTCCCACCTCTAAATCCCCCACCCTGCCTCGAATAAAATGGCATAGCTAGTCCATAAATACCTCGTCTCCTCCCAAACTTTTTTTTTTTTTGATAGGCAATAAATAATTTTTGCTAAAACATACAATTCAGGTACATCGGAAATGTCCGGGAAACAAAGAAGGAAAGAAATAAAATTAAAAAAACAAAGGAAAACAACACCAGACTATGAGAAGTCGGAGCAAGTCAGCAAGATGTCCAAAGCCTAATAAAAGTAGAAGACTACAAGAGGCAGCCTCTTCCGGTCTACATGTACTTTCTGAACCAATTGCATTCCCCTCCCGATAAATTCCAAGTATTTTACAAACTTTGAGAAGATCGAACAAAATACCAAAATTGCCTATTCACTTATCGCTTGTTGCCCTTCCATGTCATCAAGATGCATGCTACTAACAAGACATTATCTCTAGCAAACAACAAGCCACAACACTTAATTACCGAATCCAAGATTAAACTGTCGAAGTTATTCCAAGAACATACATAAAACCATGACAAGTTCTCTGTTTTTAGTCAGTGTAACATACAGTATGATGAACTATGGCCCCAATGCCACTACAAGAAAGATAAAATGCAAAGTGCGGCCACAAATAAAGAACCACCCCAACCAAGACCTAATGAACGAGGAATAGATAATCAGTTCAAGTACATCCAATTGGGCAGGCAGCTCCACCTTCAGTACGCCAAATCCCTTGACACCAAGAGTCTCATAAATTTCGAACAAGTTTGAACCTCCCTTGTATTCATATTGGAAGTCTAAGCCACTAATTCAAACCATGCCCTAATAAGTGTCAGGCTAATACAACTATCATATACAAGGATCAGATCCGGCTACAATCTTACAAGTCCCAGTCACAGTAGTTCATGGCACCACTTTATTAGCCTAACAAGGAAATCAGGGCACACCCACAATTACCAACCTATCTACCCGGGAACTCACAGGAAAACAAGACTAACATATAACTAGAATACTCGTGGCATGGAAACTGACAGATACACAAGGCAATCAACAATAATGATTTCAGCTGCTCAAAAGGATGAGGGTCAAAGTGCAATACGTAAAGAAGATTGCATGACATGAAAGACTTTATAGATGTACAGACATGTACTAGGAACAAATTATCTCGTTATTGGGCCTATCCCAACCAACTCATGACCTGAGTGCAGGATCAAAGTATTTCATTATTGGAACAGACAATTAGGCATGACATCCAGGTTCTTCAAGAAGTTTTGAGTCGCATGGACCAGTTTATCAGATTAAAAGATCAAACATTCAATTACGTCAATACAATCTCATCCAATCTATATCATTGCTGGAAAAGACACATCCTGGTAAAAATTCTACACTTGAGGAGGAAAAAACATTCAAGTGTTATATCCCAAAACCAAAAACTGCCCGTATTTTGTGAAAGATCAAGTCTCGCCACCCTCTCTCAGTGTTCTCCACCACAGTTGCATTCCCATACCTACAATCCAAGGAACCAGAAAGGAAAATGTGCGGTCAATACGCGGTAAAAAGTTCAGTGCTGGCAATTCATTTTTAACTGTCAAACTCGAGTTATAAATTCATCTCAATGCACGTCATGGAAAAACGCCGATTCTGTTGATAGTGCCAAAACAATTGATGCATCTTAAATTCGTGTCCTCTTCTCGATCCTCCATTCACATATCAATCCAAATCTATTCATTTAGCAGATCGCCAGCCTCTAGTGAAAGTTCAACTTAAATCAAATGTTCAAACTCTAATCTTCAATGCAAAATAAGAGCAAACTTGCTCTAAAACTAACCTATCTTCTTCAGGGACGTCAGTGTGCGTGAGCTTGACAACAGTCAGACCAGGTTCCGGCTCATCCAAAGTAAGTTTTACCTGCAAATAGCCCATGAACAAGAACACATGAGCGTATATATCACAGAGACTAACAACATCAATGCAGACAATTATCAACGCGAAAACATTAGAGAACTTACTGTGGAGTGAATACCATCAGGCCAGCTCCCAAACCTCCATTTCTGCATAATCAACTTCCCCTCCTGCAACTCCACATTCGTCCCCGTCACGGAACCATCGAAAATGCTGAACTCTCCACCGACCTCTTTGCTAATCCTCGCATTGCTCTGCGTGAACCCTTTCCACCTATTCTCATCCATCAATATCTCGTACATATCTCTCGCTCTGCAGCTGAACTTCTCGGTCATGCTTATCGTCTTGAAACCTTCCTTCTTCTTCTTCTTCGCCTCCTTCTTCTCGGCGGCCGCCGCCTCCTTCTTCTCCGCAGCAGCAGCAGCTGCCGCGGCTGGTGTGGACGCCTGGCTCTTCGGGGCCACCTTCTTCGTCTCCAAATCCTCCCTCGCGGGGCCTCCCCTCGCCATGCTCTCCACGTAAACCCTAACCTTCTCCAAGATGACCGGCTTCCCCCGGCTCACCATCGCCTCCTTCAACCTCCTCCCGATCGGCCCGTCGTCCTTGACGAGGACCCTGACCTCGGGGTCCTCGTCGGCGTTCTCGTCGGCAATGTACGGGATCTCCACGGTACCGTCGACCTTGAGCAGGGACTTCCCGTCGGAGTCCCTGGCCTCGCCCTCCCAGCGGAGGGCGACGCTGATCTCGTACCCCGGGATGATCTTGCCCTTGCGGATGTTGACGTAGGCCTCCCCCTCGACCTTCTCGACCTTCCCGGTCCGGACGAAGAGGTCGCCCTCGCCGTCGAGAAGGGTGACGTCGGAGAGGAGCGAGGTGAGGAGGTTGCGGGACCACTCGAGGCAGTTGGTCTCGGACCAGTGCCAGTTGTGGACGTTGGTGCCGTCGGGCCGCTCCTCCACGATCCAACGCTTGTCGCCCTCGCCGTACTTCGCCATCGGCCCGGCGGCGGTGGTGGTGGCGGCAGCAGCGGCGGCGGCGTTGGTGTGCTTTGTGAAGGCGGAATTTGCGGGAAGAGAGGATCGGGAAAGCTCGGAGGTTTTCGTGAGATTGGGGGAGGCGGAAATGGAGGAGGCGAGGTTTGGTTAAAAGAGGGGGAGAGGGAGGAAGGAAGGAGAGAGAGAGGTCCAGAGGGTTCGGAGCATGGAAGAGTCTAGAACATGACGGCCTCGACCCCCATTAGGGAAATGGAGAAGGTTGCTTCATTCACTTTTTAGGGAGTGCCGGAATTTGGAAAGGACTAGAATCTCGAATGAGTCAAATCTCTAATTTTGAGTGGATTAATATATATCCATAACTTTCAAAATATTTATTTTAGACAAAAAAAAAAAACGTTAAAAACTCCAAACTATGTCGATCGTAATACATCTATCCTAAAATTTTTCTTGTGACATAAAAATCCCCAAACATGTACCTATGTGACACATTGCCAAGATTCCGTCAGATAATTTTTCAGCCAAAACAACACCGTTTTCATGTTGAAATCGTTTGTTTTCCGGCGTTTATGTAGGCAGGTATTTTATGGTGCTTATTGATGGAATCTTGATGGAGACTAAATGTGTCACACAGATACTAATTTAAGATTTTTGGTGTCACAAAAGGAAGTTTAGGATAAACGTGTCATAGTGAGCATAGATTGAGGTTAGGAAAATGACATAAATGTTCCATGAACTTTGGCCCAATGTGCAATATAGTCTCTGAATTTTAACCCAATGTGTAATGTCGTTCCTGAACTTTTAATTTGTTTAATATGGTCCATAAATTTTTGGTACATATTTAATTTAGTCCCCGAATCAGGGACTATTTATATCATTATCCTTTTAGGATTTCTTCTGACTTTTACCATAATTTTTAATTAATGAATATCTTCGATGCATTTATTAAACATATTTGATATAAAATATTCCATTTTCAAATGATCAATTACGCATGACATGAGAAAAGTAATGTATGAAATATTGCAAACTTGCTTTAAGATAACTTTTTAACAAATAAAGATGAGGTGTTCTAACAAAACTTTTGGTTTTAAATTCAAGATAGTTTGGCAAACGAAAAGGGCAAAGATGATTTCTCTATGAAAAATAATGTATGTTCCTAGAACCATTTGGTCCAGCAACTACCTTTTTTGGACTCCAGTAGCACATGGATCGGATCAATTATCACCGTTAATATTATTAAAGTCCCTTGACAGCATGGAAATTTCTAAGAAGGCCAGGATAAATCAATAATTTGTGTTCGAGAAACTCATAATTTGTTTTCATTTTGCAGTCATGAGATACAAAGGCTCCATTTTGTTCAACATTTAGAATTCTCATTTGGGCTCTAAAGTCCATTGGCTAAATACAAATGGTGTTTGACAACTTTTTTTACTCATTTTGGGGAGATGCAATTGCATTTCCAATGCGGGACTTTTGGCCAATGCAAGGTTAGAGGTGCCTTGGGAAGTTGCATTTTCGGAATGTAACTTGCACTGTTCATCTCGCACTGTTTATCTTCCCCAGATTGCAGGTCCGACGGCCAGTGACCGCCGCCTGAGAGCTAGTCCGACCCCAGCGACCACCGCCTGGGGGTCGCGCGACCCAGGCGGTGGTTGTTGAGGTCGTGCGACCTAAGTGGCGTCGTCGGACCTCAGGCGCCGCCTAGATCACGTTGCTTGGGTCGCGCGACCCAGGGCGTCGCCCGAGGTCCGGCGATCCCAGGTGGCGGTCACCGGGGTCGCACGACCCCGACAACCGTCGCTTGAGGCCAGGCGGCGGTGGCCGGTGGTTGATCTTCACAGGAAATTTTTTTTAAAAAAAAAAAATTAGCAAAAGTCATTTACAAAATATAGTTTTTACCAAACGGTATTTAGGCCAAGTTGCTTTCAAATGTGATTTTAAAAAACACTTACCAAACACTACTTGCATTTCAGAAAACCCCTTTAGCTCAAAGGTATTTGCATTCCCCCAAAGGCATTCCCCCAAAGTCAAACTAAATGGGTCCAAAGTACCATTAAGTGTAGAATTTAGAATAATGGCATTAAATTTCCTTCTTATGCTATTTTCTTAGAGATTATCACCTCTTTTGATATATTACTAAGAAAAAACCATGAAATCTTCTTATGCCAATAGCGTATATTATAGAATAAACTTAAAACAATTAAAACACAGTCACATATCGATATAAAAGTACATAATTTGAGAGTTCTATTACATAAAAGTACCTTGGCAATAACTTGGGCATTACCTAGCTTCCTTCTTGCTAATGTCAACCATCCTTCTTATCTTCAAGAAAGATGTGGATTTACTTCTGCTATTTTGACAAACTAGTACGGCAATATATGCCACAGATCAAGTGAAGCTCAATTAATCTCCAACTCCATCCAAATAAGTGATCTGCGATACGAATTTTACCCAAGATCCTGCATAAATCACACGGGAAAAATGAGAAGTCCTCTCGATTTGGAACAAACAAAAGAAATACCAGAGCCCGTCGCGTAAGCCAAAGAAATTTGTGTATGAACAGCAACAACCTTTCCAGAAAACAGAAGATACCAGTGTTCTTGCCATAATACCTTGGCAACTAACTTTGAGGATCGATGCCGTTGCTACAGGCCAAACATGTACAATCAACCAATATATAATAAATCTGTGATTATAGTACCACAACAATTGTCTTGATCTATTATGTAGTTGTCAAGGATTGCCTTTATACAAACAAAATGTTGAAGAACATAGGACGGGAAAAAGAAATGCATTTTACGAGGAGAGACCTTTAGAGACTCTCCAAAGGAAACACCACATTCATCTACCACCATACATTGGCTATCAAGATGTTTGGCATAAACATGAATGAGCACGATAAACCACTATCTCGGAGAATCTAGAACTGGACGGTTCGCTCTGATTGCTCATTTACTCGATTTCTATTATCTGAACTCATTCCTCCAGCAATAATGCCATTTCTCACAGTTGCCCTTGCCCGCATGGAAAAGCTCCATACTGGAAAAGGAAAAACAGAGGATTTTTCTCATGCTGAAACCGAATATCTTGAACATTTTATGGTGATATTACTGTCATGTACTTACCCCCTTCACCTTCTTGAGATATAAAATAGCTAATAGCTGATGCGTGAATGAATGGAGGAGCCGGGTCTTTATGCATCTGCAGTACTAGGTTTCACGTTGTTGATCTGTGATTAAGGTCTCGTAAGTGACATATTAGAATTGATTCACCTCAAATAAGAAGCTAAGGAACACTGGTAAAAGAATTTAAACTAAAGTGCTACCTCTGTCTTCCTCTTATTTTGCATGGCTAAGTTAATTTGCTCACTCTTTTTTCCATCATTTCCCTGCAAAGCTGTGAACTTTAGAAATCAGTGGCATTGACTCAAGAAGAAAAAGTACAAGAAGAAGAAAAATAAACAGTACCCTACCCTTTTTAACTATCTCAGATTCTTTTTGGATGGCGGGCAACCTTTACTTTGAAATTGCAAAGGACATAGTCATTTGTAAGTTGATAGGGCATCACTGTTTTGGACTGAAATGACAATTATGCGAAACAAAATCATCTTTTAGCCTTTTCTTTCCCTCATCTATGTATCTCATGAAAAACTCATACTTTTCTCTTGACATTGCCGCAATCTCTGCAGCTTCGAAGAAGTTTGTGCATAACCTATCAAACTGCAGGTTATGCTCATTCATCTGCCGATCTTCGTAACAATTTATGACAAAAAAGTAGCGTCTTTTCAAATCCTTCCTCCAACGAGCTAAAATATAATGTGATGGAATCTCTTTCACATCTTTGTCAATGAGAATCTTCACTATATGTCGGCAAAGAATTCCTTTAAACTCAAACAGACTACATGAGCATTGAACGTCAAATTCAGCTTCATTATAACACACATTGTACACAACTCTTCTTTTAGATTTGCCTTCCTTCCCCCCTTAGAATGTCTGTCACATTAAGAGAAGATATCAAACCATCAACCTTGTCCAACTCACAATTACAGTAAAGCAATCCCCTCAATTCATCTTGGAACAATCTAAGTATGTCATTAGTGTAGCTCTCATGAAATTGCTTCTCAAAGTAGAAATCAGTAACTGACTTTTAGGTCGAGTTGGAAGAACAATAATCCGCTTTATTCTCCCTGTCGACTTTGCTTTTCAAGGCACTATCATATTGCTCAACAAATTGCTTCAATGAAGTTTTTGAGCTTACATAATCATCCAAAAACGCATCCATGCTTTCATTTCTTTGCGTTGTAGACAAGCCTGCCCAAAATACCTTTTTAACATATATAGGAACCCAACGATGACTATCCACAAATAAGGAACTTAACCATTCATTCTTTTCAAAATTAAATTCTTCAATCATTTTGGACCAACTTTCTTCAAATTCTTGAGGATTCAAAGATTCATAAACAGCACCTTTTAGAATCTTTTCTATTGCCTTGTATTGAGCTAGACCTCCTAATTTTTCAGGAAGCTTCTTCATTATGTGCCAAAGGCAAAGCCGATGACGAGAACTTGGAAACACTTCCGCAACTGCAGCTTGGATCATTTTACATTGGTCAGTAATTATAGCATTTGGAGGACGCCCATGCATGCATTCTAGCCACGATCTAAATAGCCAATCATAAGCGCCTACATCCTCTCTTGATAACAAACCACATCCATATAGAATAGGCTGACCATGGTGGTTAACTCCAACAAAAGTAGTAAGTGACATATCATACTTATTCGTAAGATATGTTGTATCAAAGAATAACACATCTCCAAATGACTCATAAGCAGCTCTAGACCTCGCATCAGCCCAAAATACATTCCGCAACCGTCCTTCCTCATCCATGTCAATCACATAAAAGAAATTCGAGTTCCTTCTTTGCATTCGAACAAAGTAATTACAAAGTGCCTCTGCATCTCCAATCGTAAGTTTTAACTGTTCCACTTCGGCAATGTAGTTTCCACAATCTTTCTCGCCAAATGCTAAGTTCTCAGATTCTCCAACTTCGCTAGCTACAGAGTGAGAATTTTTATCTAAAGGAATGCTCGCTAGATCATTCAACTCAACTCTCCTCTTTGAATAAGAATCCAACTTCCTGCGAGATCTTTGAAATCGTGAAATTTTGGGGCTAAGAGCATGATTATGGTCCAAAAGAACACGAGATATAGTGCATTGTCCATCACCATCCACAATCACATTGATTTTTGCCTTACAATCAGTTTTGATTGATAGCCTTGAGATAAATCTACTCTTTGCTGTGGATTTTTGTTTACCTCCTTTAACACATGCTAGTGAATAATAACTCGATTGTCCATCAATGTTACGCTTCGTGCTAATTTTTCTAACACCAAATCCCTTTTGAGAAGCATATTTCTCATAATAGCAACGAGTTTCCTGTTGTGAAGCAAAATTTATCCCAATGCGTGGAACCTCTACATCGACATCTGTTGAAGGTTCCTTAAATTCATTCTTTTCAACATTCTCATCATCGCCGGCATCATCATTTCTTTTCCCACCCAAAATTAGTCCTTCTTCCCCTCTTGTTGCATTTGAATCAACCTCCATAACTAGTGTTCCAGCAACAGAAAAAGGAAATAGTGTCAAAATTTGTAACTTGGTAAACAACATAAGTTTTTCTAAATTTTAGAATGGCAGAAAATGTTTCAATAATCCATTCGCAACCACAATAAAAAATGACAATAGCAAATAGTAAAGGAGATAGGAAGGAAAGGGAAAAGGCTTTGGCCATGAACTACCTGTTACAGTGAAGTCTTCAAATTACTTTTCAACATACAAAATTATGCAAGTGATATCTGGACCCGAAGCACTAGCAGTTTTAGATAAAACCACTTCCATGGAGTTCCCTTCAGGCTATGACCTCGTGTGATAACGGTGCACAAGAGTGGATTAATTTGATAGTGGCACTCTCTAAACCAGACTTCTAGATGAATGATTGTGTAAAGCTGAGGAAGATTTGAGCGGAAATGACTTCTTGTGTTGTTGGCATACAACATTTTCTGTTTCAGGCTTACTTTAAAAGTCACAAAACTCACTCATGTGGCACTTTCCACCTCAGTCAATGTCACAGTTCGCAACATTTATATGGATCCTCTATCATGAATCTTTTTCTTTGCATGAGTTGTTGATTTACTGAAACAGTAATCGTTGTTTGACATGTATATGTTAGGGAAAATGACACAAATAGTCCCTAAACTTTGGCCTAATGTGCAATGCAGTCCCTGAAATTTTAATTTGTTCAATGTGGTCCTTGAACTTTAACCCAATGTACAATGTAGTTCCTGAACTTTTAATTTGTTCAATGTCGTCCCTGAACTTTTGGTACACAATTTAGTCCTTTAACTATATGAAAATGTTCAATGTAGTCATTCCATTAATTTAAGTTCAGGGATTATATTGCATATTTTCCATATAGTTCAGGGACTACATTGAACATGTACCAAAAGTCCAGGAACCACATTGAACAAATTAAAAGTCAGGGACCACATTGCACATTGGGATAAAGTTTAGGAATTACATTGAACAAATTAAAAATTTAGGGATCACGTCACACATTGGGCCAAAGTTCATGGACTGTTTGTGTCATTATCCCTATAAGTTACAAACAATCTCCAGATTTAAGATAAGTGTTCTTTTATCTAGTTAGATATACGAAAAGAAACACAAAACTTGAAACTGGGTGTTGTAGTATGCAAAAAGTCAGGATGATGCACATTCTTAGAGGTACAGATGTAAACGAAATGAGTTTCTCGTTGCCGATTTCCAAAATCTGTCTATTTAAAAGACAAATCAGCAAATAGCCAAAAAAGGGTAGAGTACCATAAAAATAAAAGATAAATCACCCTAAAGACTCATTATATTTTTCGAGAAGTTGCTAGGACACAAAGAATAGCTTTAAATAAATAGAAATGAAAGTTAGAGGTTATTAATTAATTTTTGCACATCTCACTACAGAATATTACATGGAAACTTTATATCTATTTATAACTCGAGCTTTTACAAAAGAGGAAAGTAAGCTGAGATTTTCTATATGTGACAACACCAAAATACTTGTACATTAAAAATCAAACAGAAGGATCAATCACGCGCATAGCGTCTGCTCTTTCCTAGTAATTGGAATAAAGAACGAGTTTTTAAAAGTGTTTAAGGCCAGTTCAAGCTATGACGCTTAAGAGACTTGGTACTTTGGAAGTGTTTCTAAAAAGCATCTCGTAAGTACTTTTGCAAGATGTGATTCTAGGGGCTTTTGCAATAGTAAATAAACATTGACCGAGATGACGCCATGATTCATAACACACTCATTCCATACTTGAGATTTATAAAGATAACCCCATAATTTAAAGCAGACTTGACCACGACACAATTTAAAAATTATATTGGATTGAGCCATGTGGAATGAAAAGCTGATTTTTTATTCCTTTTTATAAGGAAATAAATTATTTTGGTGATCTCAATGCTATGAAAGTTATTTCATCAATTTGAGCAGAATCTCATCACAAGATTTTTATGACACAAAAGTATTTCTACAAATCATAAATTTTCCAATTTTTTTTTCATAATTTGGGTATCTGCGGTCTTGCTAGAACAATCTACTCGTGCAAAAGAGAGGAGACACATCAAACCTCAGATTAATAGATGGTAACAAAACAATTGACACAGTGACGCTGGTGAAATTCGATTCTTTGAGAAGTTTTCACGAACATCTGGTGGGCGAACTACAAGTCCCATAGATACAGCTGTACGACTACCAATATCCAATAGAGGACTGACTAAATATAGCCATTAGCCACCACAGCTACTTGAAGATCATGCCGAAGGCATCAGGCTTGCACGCAACAGTTTCTCCTAAGTAATGTACTAATTCTATGCAAATCGAAAAACAGCTTCATCTTCCAATACCAGTCATCTTCACAGAAAACCCACGCCACAAACCAAATCCCCAAACCCAAGAACAGAACAATGCGGAAAAAACCATCATAGATTGCAAAGGCTTCAAACTAGAACCAATATTTCTCAGTAGCTTTCATTAGTAAAAAATGGAAGACAAGAGCGGAGAAATCATCATCGTTAGGGAGAGACCTCCGATCTGGCGAGCGGAGAGGAAACGGAACACGGGCGCGCATACAGTCGCCGAGAATGAGGAGGAGACGCCGGACCGGAGCGAGGAGACGAGGAGGAGGAGGGTCGCCGGAGAAGAATCGCCGCCGGGCGAGCGTCGTTCGTGGGTGTACGGAAGAGCAGTGGCAGACGGTCCGAATTAGCAGGCCGACTATTTGAGCCGAATGAGTTTTTATAATTTTTTTTATTTGATAAATACATGTGAATCAAACTCGTGATCTCACGAAACCAACTAAACCAACCATCTTGATGATATTTAAGCTAAACTTCGTTCAATTATGATTTTAGGTTGAAAAAAGCCAATTGAAATTTCCAAATTGATCATGTTACTTCGTCATAAATTGGCACCCTGGCATCCTAAGAGACATCAACGGCCGGCGCCCATTGCAGCGGCTCCACTTAGGCACTAACAAAGGCCTCGACATACTTCATTGGGTTTAGGCGAAGAATCCGTCGTTCCATCACACGAAGGCAGATAGAGAGAGACGGTGGCTAATCGTTCCGTGATCGCCTGAGCTTAGCTAGGGACAATTGGATCGTGGCACCTAGCCAGGGGACATCAGATGCCGGCCGGTACCTCGATAGCTGCTCAATTTTCACCTCCTCCTCCCTCCCTCTCCCTTGCTCTTTGCTAGAGCGTGCATTTTCCGTGAGAAATGTAAGGAATTTGTGTTTTGTACATGGGAAAAGAGAGGGACAAAGTGAACGACGTGAATATTGGTATGTCCCGAATGTGCCTTATTTCCTTAATTATATGGGCCCTAGCCATGACAACTTATGATATGCAATGACATGGAACTATGGTCCATTCATATGAAACAAGTTTATGCGTGACTTCGATAAAATGACATCAAACAATCGGTCCGGATACATGATGCGTCGTGGAGGTGCGGCTAGGTAAATGATATGTACTATTTCTTGGGGCGATGCCGCCTTTTAGCTAACGAATGTTTGGCCAATAGACGGATATATGATGCTAATATAACCTCATAAGTGTATATAGATGATCTACTATGCCGTATATGTGCATCACTATGTACATGTCCATATGTAGTTTGCATCCGGTTGCGTTATTTAATGTTATATCGATGTTTTTTTGTTTATGTATCTCTTGCGGTGAAGTTGACATTTTCAATGGATTCATTGGTATTAACGACGTGAGTTTGAACAATTTTGAATGAAGAAATTAGTAAATTGGATAAGCTAAATCAAATTAGTATTTATGAAAATAATTTAAAAAAAGAGTACCTTTTCCCTGTTGAAAGAGAACTAGATAATTTAAAATAGACAAACCGGGAGGAATCACGAGAATTCGAGACTTTTTTTGTTTCATGAAAATTTTTATATTTTCTAGAAAACATTTTTTAAGAAGTCGTTTTTAGAAAAATGAAAAAAATTTCTGATATTAGGCTGAAAACCTAAAAATGAATTGGATATTATTTTTGTAATTTGGAAAGAAAAACCTATTTTTTTTTTCTTAAATAGACATGTATTATTTGGCCGTTAGTGACTCAGGCACCAGCAATGGGGTCCTGAGTCCGACCTCAATGGATTCAGGCCGGTGCACTAAGATCCCGGCCTAGGACATCCTTCCCGAATCCATAAAAATTGAGCCCGAAACCTTGGTGCCTATGCTCGGTTTCTTGGCACATGAGCCCAGGTCCCTGATGCTCGGGCCCCAGTTCATAAGGCCGGACCCATGGACCCTTGCGCTCGGGCTCGACCTTAATGGACTCGGGCAAGGGCACCGATATCTCGGGGCAAGCCTCCAATGGACATTTGAGCTCCGCCTCAATGGACCCGACCTCAATAGCATCAAATCATATACGTGAGTTTTTATTTATATTTTTCATTTCATCTCGTGTCGTATCGTATCGTGTATAGACGGATCGGGTCGACCGCGGCACCGCCATGGTCGGAAAAAATGCAAGCAATTCATCCGATTCGATTCCATTTCTAGAAAGTAAACGTCAACGATCCGGGAGAGAGGTTCGAATTTTCAAACGTAGCGTGCGGGGGGGGGGTGGTTAGAAGAGTCCGGACATCGGCGTCTAACCGCGGCCGGACAGAGACCTTCCTCACCGAAGTTGCAAGCCCAAGAAAGTCAAATGTTTGTACGAATCGAAATGAATGATGTTTGCAGCACACAGTAATCGAAGAGAGATAAAGAGAGAGAGAGAGAGAGAGAGAGAGAGAGAGAGAGAGAGAAGGAGAAGGAGGAGAAAGGAAGACATGGGGAAGTGAGGAAACGAGAAAAACCGAACCTTTATCAATCGTCGCTCGCCAGACACGTTCACAACAGCGAACGAACGAACGAACGAACGAACGTTCACGGGCTCAACGGACAAAGGGACGATGACCCTCTCTTCTTGATTCCCGTTTCCGGGTAATACGCGCGACATCGGGGGTGCTCCCGGCATTTTCTTGTTTTTTCCCTTTTTTTATTCTTGTTCTGACTGAAAGCTCTTGTTGTGTTTCGGAGATTTCTTGTCTGGTTTTCGTTTTTCCTTGCGCGGTCGTGGATCGCGTTAACCCACTTGAATCTTTTTGAGTTTGATCGTGGATAGGCTTCGAAATCTCTACTGGGTAGATGCGCTTGATTTGATTTCGGCTCTTTCTCTGTTCCTGTTTCTGTCTGCTTGTTTCCGTGGCGATGACTCTGCTGAAAGAATTCACCCACGATGCTTTCGGCAAATCCAGTCCGACTGTTGTCTCGTTGAAAAATGGGAACTTGGGCTGGAATTCCGAATTGATTTGGTTAAATTTCATTCGAGCAAATTGCATCGCCACCCATGGTGAAAATTAGATTTTTTTTATTTTTATTTTTTACTTCCCCAGTGGTTCTCCGGATGATTTCGTAGTAAAAGACATGTTTATCTTGGTATGAAGTATTGAAGTGTCATTTTCAGTTCGAATTTGCTATTGCTGGGTAATTTGAGTGGAATACTTTCTGCTTAGTGTCCGATTACTGTCGGTTTGCTTGGATCACAGCGAAAGAACACAATTTTGACCCGTTCATCATCCTAGTTTTGCTCTATTTGCTTAAAACTGCTAATTTGCACGGATAAGGATCCCCCCTCCTTTGATGGCGCTCCACGGTTTAAGTTAGGTTTGCTGATTTCGCCATTTTGAACTGTTAGATAAAGTTTTCACAGTGATTATGTTGCATCTGTTTACTTGCTCCTTCACAAAATTGTTGATTTATAAAAGCATTCAGTGGAAAAAGTTAGTGAAGTTACAACATATCCTTCTTCGAGAGTGAAATATCAACATGGTCTAGTTTGATTTCCAATAAATAGGTTTCTCTGTGAACGGATAAAAACGCAAAAATGTAACAAAACCTTTTTCTTATGATGGAGATTAATTCTGAAAAGTTGTTGAAAATAGCTTTCCCCATCTTTAGGATTGATGTGCTTACATGCTGTTGATGTTATTGCAGGACAAGGTTATGAAAACTCAGCAATAGCCTCAGTGAAATAGAACATTGTGAAATTCAATTCTTAAAGCAAGATAATTCTATTTCGATAGGACAATGGCTCCTGCTGGAGGCACTTGCAAAGAAGTTCATGAACCTTACACTGCTGTCGCTGATTACAGTGTAGTAATCAGCAAACAGGAGACCAATTCTACACCAGCAAAATCTTCCATTGTCTCACTTGGACAACGTGGAATTCGTTCGAATGCTGGCGTAGATGCTCTGCTTGAGTGCCCTGTCTGCACAAACTTAATGTATTCTCCAATTTACCAGGTATCTTTGCCGTTGGTGTTTCCATCGTTTTTCTGCAATTGTTTCCGTATATTTTCACTGCCTACAGGTGTATAAATAGCTCCATGTGCATCTTTCAACCGTCCCGGCTAAGATGCTGTTTTTCTTTAAAACGTGCTGCTCTAGATGTGTAAGAGAAGACATAAGAATATTTTGCAGTTGCGCATTGAAATTCAAGTGTAGATTTAGCAGTTCTACGATATAGTTATGTGTTCTCTTGCAGAATATCTGCTACTAATTTCAATCCTGTTGACCTGTCATCTGGTTGAATTTTCTTTTTCAATTTTTATGCTTGAACTAAGTGCATCGCTTCAAGCGCCTTTAGAAATTTATCCATTGTGCTTTGTAAGTGCCTGGGTTAGCAATCTGATTGAGTTGCATGCCTAATTTATATTTCACTCACTCGAAAGCTCTCGCATAGCATTTTTCACTCGTAGCATTCTTCAGCTAGTAATTTTGACTTTTGGGTATGAAAGCATGCCACTTCCATTGTTTGCTGACTCTTCTTTCTTACTGCTTCAACTTTAGTGCCTAAACGGCCACACTTTATGCTCAACCTGCAAGATTAGAGTCCGCAATGTTTGCCCGATTTGTCGGAGTGAACTTGGAGATATAAGGTGTCTGGCATTGGAGAAAGTTGCCGAGTCACTGGAACTCCCTTGCCGATACAAGAATTTAGGTTGTCACGAAATCTTCCAATACTTCAGCAAGCCTGGCCACGAGCAGCAGTGTCAGTTCCGTCCATATAATTGTCCTTATGCTGGATCTGAGTGCTCCATCACGGGCGACATTCCAACCCTTGTTGCTCATCTTGGAGAAGACCATAAAGTGGACATGCATAATGGCTGCAGTTTCCAGCATCGATATGTCAAGTCCAACCCACAAGAAGTTGAGAATGCCACGTGGATGTTAACAGTAAGTTATTTTATGCATTAGCCAATGATTATTTTGGCCAAGAAACTTGATGCTCGGGGAGTTCAACAGCTAATAATGTCCCTTTTGAAACTTGTCACTGCCTTTCATGTGCCTAGTCTTTATGTGCATGTTCCTTTATTGTAGTTGATTTCCAATTTGCAGTAGTTCAAATTTACTGCTTTGAGTTTCTCGATGACCTTTCTGCAGATGGTACATCCCCAAACTGTATATTTCTGTTTGGTGAAATAGAATATTATTGCAAAATAACAGTGAGTGCCCTACAGATTATCGTGATATGTAAGTTACATTAATTGATCAACCAAGTGTTTATGTTGTTGAGTAAGCTTTTCTGATGAAGGAAGTTTTCTTCTATATTACTATAGTGCGTATTTGTAGAATTTCCAAGGTGCATTCTGCCCCTTGCAAAACTTTTGGTTTTTATAATATCTTGATTGGTGACTTGAGGGCACTTGTCAACAGAACCCTTCCTATCGTTTAGCAGACTTAATAATACAGTTAGCGATCAATAGGATGCAATGTGCTTGCATAGATACTTTCATTAGCCTCAGTGCTTGTTTAGACTTTTTCTTGCGCGCATTTTACCTGGAATCACATCGTTTTTTTTTTACACGCAGGTATTTAATTGTTTCGGGAGGCAGTTCTGTTTACACTTTGAGGCATTCCAATTAGGCATGGCTCCAGTTTACATGGCCTTCCTTCGTTTTATGGGCGAAGAAACTGAGGCAAGGAAATTTAGCTACAGTTTAGAAGTCGGCGGGAATGGCCGTAAGCTGACATGGGTAGGGAAACCAAGAAGCATCCGAGACGGGCACCGGAAGGTTCGCGACAGTCACGACGGTCTCATGATTCCAAGAAGTCTGGCTCTTTATTTCTCCGGCGGTGACCGGCAAGAGCTTAAGTTGAGGGTCGCTGGCCGCATATGGAAGGAAGAATGAGCAATTGAAAGAATATTATTGTCGAGGTCTGAATCTGTGCTCATAGCGGTAGGAGCAGGGGGCGAGGCACTTCTTCTTTCGGGCTGTGGAGGGGCTTCTTCTGGCTAATTTTTCAGCTCGTGGCTCGACTCGCTCGTGTGTCTACGAAGAAGTTATTTATCCACTTGAGTCATTATTCTTGTAAATATATTGGTACTTGCCATTGCAGCAATCTCATACTATGAAAGGCAAAAATTATGATGGGAGAAAGTGTTAAGTCTCATTACGGCGAGGTGATGATCTTGGTGAACCAGCATTCAGTTTATTGTCGATTATCGCAGGTGTTTCTTGTGCCTCAAAAGTTGTTGGAGGCAATACTAGCCATCGCTGCTATATGTGCCGGCAATATTACACCGGATAATGTTCGTAGATGATGTTCTTTTCCACAAGTATCATCGGATCAGTGGCATTTATGTTAATCCCACCTTAAATTATGCAGAAAAAAAGTACATTTTCTGCTAATCCAACACTGTCCGCGGTGATAATTTGTACACAATGGGTGGTGTGTCTCGAGAGAATTTCTATCTGCAGATGTGTGCCTGTGCAATTTCGAAACTCAGACGTGTGAACATGCCGAAGAATTTCCCTGTCTGTCGAGTGGGAAAGTAATTCTCTGTACAAGCTACCGACCCACCAAACTAGTTAGGATTGAGATAATCTATAAGAGTCAAATGCTAATTTTGTTTTTCTCATTTCTAATAAACAATCGCATCGTTGATAAAGTGATTGAGCAGGTGAGAAATTATCGTATAAACTCATTCGATCATCGCGAACATGTTAACTACAAGGACAAAGGATTGCGGGGGATCTTTTTTCTTAACGAGCAGTGTCACGGGAGGTTGATGTATGCGGTATGTATCATGTATGTTATATGAATTTAAGAGATTCTGGCAATCATTTGTGAGATCTGGACCGGTCCGATCTGCCCAAGGTCCACGAGATGATGAAGTCGTGAATCAAACGTGAGACGTGGGACGTGGGACGTGGGACGCACGTAGGTAAGGAGACGACCAATGCAAAATGGTTCTTCTGTTATTGCGGTTGGACCCGAGACAGCGAATTTCCCGCGAAATAAAACAGAAGAAAGCTTTCTTGTTCTTCTTCTCTGTTCATCTCGATCATAACCCAGTTTTTCTTCTCCTCTCTTCTGCCTCCAAGAACTAACTCTCTCTCTCTCTCTCTCTCATGCATGGTCGTTTTCGAATGGAATCTGCCCATCAAATCTTTTGAGAGGTGAAACTATGTTTGCATTGTTGTTCTTGTCTTTTATCCAGGCTTGAAAGAATGATGTGTCATTTTCTTGATATGCTTAATCGATGCATTTGATCACTAGTTTCAAATCGAATCAGTGTGCTCCTCTGTTTATTGTCCGACCATAGCTAGGGGAATGACATCATTAAGTTCTCGCCTTTTATAGTCACCTGGTGTAGCAGATTAACGCGACAGGAATCCTGATTTTCACTGGGATCATTGCATAATATCACAGTGCCTATTTTTCGCAATTTATTGTCCATCCGGAGCCTTTGTTCCGATCTGTCTTTTGCTTCCTTTTCCCCTATTTTGGCTATTGCAGGAGGATTTTTCCTCGACATTGAATAATTCAAATTTTCAGATTGCTGCGAGTCACCCGTTGTAAATCATCGAGTTAGAGCAATTTGTTTGAGATGGCTTGCTGAGAACATTGTCAAGGCCTGAATCATGTGGTGCTGCCGAGGCGCGGAAGAGGAAAGCTATCGGCCTCCTGCTCAACAGTATACTGCCCCACCCAGAGGAGGCAATCCCTATGGTAACCACACTATTCGATCTTGTTTTCTTTAAGAAAATTTCAGTGTGCAACTTTAATAATGAAAAAGAAAGAAAAGCTGCTTTAATAGCCATTGACCACGATCTCAAGCGAGAAGTAGTGTACTTGTTGCTCTCATTTGCATATTTCTCTTCCGTGTTTTTCTAATGGTTAGTCATCGCCCTTGCCACTTTTAGGATTCTTAAGTTAAAGCATGAGAGTTCTATGTTTATCGAGGGCAGTTTTACATGTTGATGCTCTCATTCTTTTGTCTTCAACTTTTTTTTTCCTCTACAGCATTTAAGGATGTCAGGTCACAGCCTCAAGAACACCAAGTTTCGATGTCTATATACTGTTATATCCTGTTCTTAAGAAATAAATATGTAGAAAATACAGAAATGTGAACTTCAGTTTTTCATTGGCGACTTGGGTGTGATTATCAAATATCCATGTTATGCATCTTCTCTTTTTTCTTTTGCATATATTTGGTTGGTGTTCTGGAGAAGGGGATCAGTTTGAGTGTTATTTGAATTCGGTTCTGACTCAGTGGTATCTATTTTCTTTTCCTTTCCTTTTCCTTGTTCAGTAGGTGGTGAGAGAGGGGAGACGAAGAGCTCCAGTGTCGTCAGAAGTGGAGCTCCGCAAAAGGTTTTGCCCATCGAAACGCCGGCTTTGCCATTAAACGAACTGAATAGGTTGACAGGGAACTTCGGTTCAAAAGCTTTGATTGGGGAAGGTTCTTATGGCCGCGTGTTCTACGCGAGGTTAAGTACCGGTCAGGAAGCAGCAGTAAAGAAATTAGATACCAGCACTTCACAAGAACCTGACTCAGAATTCGCAGAGCAGGTAATTCTCCTGTGTCCGAAGTTACATTTAATCGACTGCAGTATTTTGACCCGATAAGTTGATTATATCACGTGTCTTGTCTCACAGCTGTCGAATGTTTCAAGGCTCAAGAATGAACATTTCGTTGAATTGATTGGATACTGCTTGGAGGCGAATAACAGAATCTTGGTGCTTCAGTTTGCTACCAAGGGTTCTCTACACGATGTCTTACATGGTATGACCGAATAAACTCGGGGGGTTTTCCAGACTTGTTGTGAGAAAATGCCAGTGTAATGTGTCCGTGTTGTCGCAGGAAGGAAGGGTGTGCAGGGTGCCGAGCCTGGTCCAGTCCTTACTTGGAATCAGAGAGTCAAAATTGCTTATGGTGCAGCAAAAGGCCTTGAGTATCTGCACGAAAAGGTTCAGCCTTCTATTGTTCATAGGGATGTCAGATCCAGCAATGTCCTGCTCTTCAATGATTTTGTCACCAAGATTGCCGACTTTAACTTGTCAAATCAGTCTTCGGACACGGCTGCTCGACTGCATTCCACTAGAGTCTTGGGAACTTTTGGATACCATGCTCCAGAGTAAGCTTAATTTGTACAAATGATCAGCATTTTTATGTTTTATCTTTTGGATGGAGTCAAAATTGTTGCATGCTTAGAGGAAAAGCTAGCACGTTATTAGATCGTCTAAAATTAACGGAAAGGAGAATATGAGTAGAAGCAAGGGTATCAACAATGTCGGAAATTAAAGGAAGCAGGAAAATATTAGTAATTTTACATATCAGCATGCTCCCTGTTGACAGTTCCATCCTCATATGAAGTCGGTCCTTTTCGCCGGGTAGTTTATGAGAGGATTAATTTATGCTGATCCTCTTTTTCATCCCAAAATTTTGCGGACACTATGTGAATAAAGATGCACAGACATGCAGCCACCGACGTTGCATAGCGCAAGCACTTAATTGAGGTGGAGGCATGCTTAGATACAAAGACAATGTTTCTTCCCCTTGGTTATGGTATTCAACATGGTCTCTCATAGGGAAAAGATAGCATGGTATATACGCCATACACAAACTTGCGAAGCTTAAACAGAATTTCTGGACTTGTAAAAGGTTTTGAAGAAATCTATAAATATCAGAACCATATCATAAGATTTTGCAATTATGAACACTGGGAGCAACAGTCAAACAGCAAATGGTCTATTAGTTGGGATTTGTACGCTGAAAAGGTGCGTGAACTGAGATTATGAAAGTCACTCTTCCACTCTTGGAAATGGAAAGTGTACTAGTATTGCAGAATTTTCTACCCTTGAATGCATTCAATAGAACAAGTGTTTGTAGAAATGCGGCCATTAACAGAACAGAAGGGTTCAAAAACTCCTTTACATCCAGGGCTCATCGAAGCCCTATAAGTTCTGTAAATTTGGGAACAGGGCTATCAAATGGTCGACTGCGAAATCCCGTGAACGGTTAAGGTCAGTAGTTTTTACTCGGAGTAGTCACTAGGAGAAAGAAATAGGTATCTTTATAGTATTTGAAAGTAGTAGTCGTCCTATCAATAGGAATTTTGGGTGAAAGCAATTGTCTAGTTATTCATCGAGACATCATCAAATAGCTTCCTGACGGAGCTCATCTCTCTTTGTGACAAAAACCTTAAGGAGGTTAGCCATTTGGTTTGGTGTCAGTTTACTGTAAAATCTTCCCTTAATTGAGTAGTGAATGCCTACTGCCCAGCCTAAGAGTCAGATTGTTATTCTCGGTCACAGTATGTAATAAACTCTTGCTCTCTTTTGCAGATATGCAATGACGGGGCAGATAACTCAGAAAAGTGATGTCTACAGTTTTGGAGTTGTTCTACTAGAGCTTTTGACTGGAAGAAAGCCTGTAGACCATACAATGCCCAAAGGACAGCAGAGTCTTGTTACTTGGGTCTGTTTTTACCCTCCACAACAATGGTTTTAGACTTTCAATACTTTCTGGTCACCCGTGTTTAACTGAAGTTTAGTGTCTTGGTAATACTGCAGGCTACGCCAAGACTGAGTGAAGACAAAGTGAAACAATGTGTCGACCCAAAGCTTAATGATGACTACCCACCTAAGGCAATCGCAAAGGTGATGACAACATTTCAGTCTTTGCTACTATTTTCTTTGACAAGATGAATAAAAAAATGGTGGAATAAAGTCCTTGAATGAATTTTCAGGAAAAATGAGTTAAGTGTAATTTCAGATTGCCCTCTGCATTGACATCCATCAAGATTTAAGCTCGGTAGGAAAATTTTACTTGAGCAGGAATGATACTACAAAGCTAGTCCCATTGACGAAATGTTTTTGGTTAGAGGATAGGACGGAGAATGAAAATCGAAACTTGGCTAAATTTGTGAACTTGTCCATCTTTTGTGTGATCAATATGCCAAAGATAACAATGAAACATATGCAAACATATTGCCTGAAATCATAGTCTTGAGAAGATCAACATAGAAAAATAATGTGGCTTTTGGTTGTAGATGGCATGATATGATTGCCATCTAATTAACTCATTGTTTTGCTTTAATGTTTCAGCTAGCAGCAGTTGCAGCTTTGTGTGTGCAGTATGAGGCGGATTTCCGGCCGAACATGACCATCGTTGTCAAGGCACTGCAGCCGCTGCTTAATTCTAAGCCAGCAGGCCCGGACTCTCATTTGTAGAATCACTAATTTAAGCTGAAATTTGGAATTTAGAATTCTGTCATTTTTTTAAAACTATTATCAGTTCCTTTTGATAAACTCTCATCTTCCACATTTGACGTTACTGAGTATCTAAGCTATGCAATTTCCATTCCTGAGAACTGCCTTAGGAGTTCATGGTGGTAGCAGCAATGAGATTTGTCCGTTAAGGTCACTTCAACTCACTGATCTTTTTGTAAGGGTGCTATATAGAGGCCAAGCATTCATCATCTAAAGTTAAGTTTGAGAAGAAACAGCGAGGAATTATTTTCTGACTTAGGCTCCGTTCGTTTGGCGGAAAATATTCTCCCGGAAAATATTTTCCGGGTTTTCCGGTGTTCGGGGGGCGGAAAACGTTTTCCGTGGGAAAATATTTTCCTTCCCCCCCTCACAAAATAACCTAAGTCTACGAAAAATGACTTCCACTTCTTCAAAAGCGGAAATCATTTTCCGGAGCTTCTTCTTCTTCTTCTTCACTAAGGTCGCCGGCCGCCGCGGCCGCCACGGCCGCAGCCGGTGGCTGGTCGCTCGCCGGCCGCCGGTGGCCGGCCGCCGGCCGCCCGCTGCCGCCGACCGCCCGCTGCGCCGGCCGGCCGCCGCTGCTGGTCGCCTGCCGCCGCCGGCCGGACGCCGGACGTTGGCCGCCGGACGCCGGACGCCGGACGTTGGCCGCCGGACGCCGGACGTTGGCCGCCGGTCGCCGGCCGCCGCCACCGCCGCCGGACGCCGGATGTTGGCCGTTGGTCGCCGGTTGCCGCCGCCGGCCGCCGGACGCCGCCGCCCGCTACCGGTCGCCGGCGAAAAATATTTTCCGAAACTTTTTCATATTGGTCGCCGAACACCGGAAAATTATGTTTCGGCAAAATATTTTCCAGGAAAATGACTTCCGGGAAAATATTTTCCAAAATGAGAATATTTTCCGCCAAACGAACGAACGGAGCCTTAATTTCTGTCTCAGAAAATGACTGTTTGATTTAAACAGTGACACAGTTGGTTATAATGGAGAATGAGGTTTCCTCCATGGACCCTCCTGCTAGTGAAGCTCCAGACGATTTACTTCAAATGAATAAGAAAAACTAAAAGGTTAAACAAAAACTTGAATTCTGAGCTCCCGAAGCTGAATTTACTTTACTTGATCGAAATTCATTTGTTCTATTACACCAAGTGGTCCCTCTAACATAACAGAAGTCGTATTCATGCCCCATTGAACTTCAAAACAGTAAGATAAAATCCAGGCTCATCTACAAAATCTGCCATTTCAAAGAAATGGGCAACTGCAACCTTCTCTAAGGTCATCTTATCAGGCAAATCAGAGACTATGCAGTTGGGAAATTCTTGCCGCTGCTGCTCCAGGACTTGCCTCCCTAGAGGATGACCAATAACGATTCTGGCACCTGACACAAACGCAGATTCTGAGAAGGTCAACCTAAGAAAAATGGAGAATAGCTCCATCTAAACTACCATAACTACTCCTATTTACGGAGCCCGTCAATACTAGCAAATACTGCGATCAAACACAATAATGTGATGGTAACCTAATGTTTATGTAACAAGCACTCAGCAGTACTGTTCACAGATACAATAATTCTACTAGGGATGGAAACAACATGAAGCTTATTTTGTAATAAATGACAGAAGGATTTGCAGACATGAGGATAGCAAAAGACAAAACAGAGATGAGCTCGGAACAGCATATAAGAATAGAACAAGAACACAAAGTACCTGGGAGGCATCGCTCGGCTAGTGCTTCAAAAACCTGGTCAAGGGTGAATGGTAAAGCTGGCAGATAATAAATGTACACCACATCAAAAGGCGCCCACTTATCTGGAACATATATTAGTTCACCTTGCCAGCACTTAATCTTGTCATATTTTTCCTTTATACAAGCCAACACCAAGAGTGAATCATGGACAACAAGCAGAAGCTGGCAATTTGACGTATCAAACAACCTATCTACAAAACCTTCAGAACCAAAAGTAACCAAAACCTTGGAGGTGCTCTCTAGTTCTCCTGCAGATATTATGCGTCTGACATTGTTGCCTGCTTGAGGATCGTCATCCATCTCAAGAAAGGACCAATCTTTCTCTGCAAGTTCCTCAAAGTTCATAACAGGAATTGTCCCCTCATTTGACAGAGCGTTTGTACTCATATACGACAAACGGAAATTTGATAAGTTAAAGGATAAAGAAGAACGAGAGAGATGGTGTTTGTGCTGACGGTGGTCACTAGAACCAAAATAACAACACTGGGGTGCGATATAAGGTAGGGGACGCCCAGAAAGTGATGGCAACAGAGGTAGGGAAGAAGAGAAATGTAGGGAATTCATCAAGAACTTTAAGTCAGCTGCAAATTCTTCTCTGGTAAATGTGACTGAACCCAAAAAAATTTTCAGCTTGAAGCAAAGAACCGAATTAAGCTCCCTCTTCCCCTTCTGAAAAAAATCGGTCAATCCGTCATACTCTCTCTATTTCCTTCTCATTTGTGCACTGTAACAAAGAGACATCGATGTCACTTTCATTCAATAACCAAAGAAAAAAAGGGAAATGAAAAGCTAAATGATTCGTCTATTTGAAAAAACCCACTACAAAAGAAATTCTCTCAACTAAACAACATGACAACTAGGGTTTGCTCTTGAAATATAAATAGTGAACATGCACCGAGCAACTGCTAACCAAAGTATCTAATGCACATTGCAGTAAATGACTTCATCTCTACATGTAATCAATGTACAAATTGATGGTACCGGCATGAAGTTCGAACGAAAAACAGAGACCATGTCACCGCATTTGAAGTACCCGTTATTCTTTCCTCCTCCCGTTCTCCTAATGGATCGATTCTAGTCTAATAGCAGCATCAAACCCAAAAGTACAAGGATCATACTTTTACGCCGGAATATATGAGAAATGACTATAAACTTCTACTCAAAAGATTTGATTTTCTTCCTTCTCAATCTACAGTTCATTTGCATCATTAAGTTGAGGGCTCTATCCATTCTCTAGCATGAATCTGATCACAGCAAGTACTTCTGAAGCTCTACAAGCTCTATCACACGGCATAATACGAGCTTCACTCATCTAGCAAATCTAACAATGGCCAAGAGAGTACGATCGCGGGATTGTCCAGGGACAAGCCGCTCCAAACCCACTAGTCAGCAGCCCCACCCGCGCCACGCGTGTTGATCCCCCATTCCTGCCCCCCACAGTGGCCATGAGTCCCCGCATCCCAACCCCATTTACCCCATTTTTCCGCATACAACAACAGTCCTTCAACACATCTCTTGCAAAACCACGAGACTCTTCTTTGCACACCGGATCATAGTTTGCAGTAACTGCGTCCACTAACAATGCTTTGACATCAATGGAAAAAAATCAGTCAACCACCCAAATGATTCCAAACACAGAGACTGACCCATATAAAATCTCTACAAGAAATAACAAAATCCGTAACAAATTCATCAGAGGTGCCAGCAGCAAAATTAGGCCAATCAACCCAACAAAAAGATCGAATCTTGCGAATACTCATTCGCTTTGCATCGAACTGCAGCAACAAGTGCAAGCACAGAGAGAGAGAGCATGAGTGATTCGAAGGTGCAACCTGCGGGCACAGAGCGAGCCTCCCGCCGCTTGATGAAGCTGCAAACGGCGTCGGGCGAAGATGACGGTGATCCACCGCCGGAGTTTCAGTCGATGGAGGATATCGGCTGGCTAGTGGCTAATGGCTATGGCTATCCAACTGCAAAGTGCAAACTACCTAGCAAGGGCACGCCCGTTAGGCTTCGAGCCTAGAAAGATAAATTAAACCTATTTTCATTTTTTCTTTTTGCCCTTTTCGATTTATGGTACTCAAAAACACATTTTAGTAAATATCATATCTAATTGGGAAAATTCCAATTAAGGACCTCAACTGGGGCCTTTTTCTCAAAAGAGGACCCCAAGTAAATTTAGTGTCAAATAAGAGCCTGAAGTGCCCAATCAGTCTCAAATAAAGATCCGAAGTGCCCAAAAAGTCTTAAATAAGGGTCTGGGTTGCCGGCCGGCCAAAATGCCTGCCGGCCGACAAGAATGTTACTATTCCGGCATCGGAATAGTAAATTTTTAATTTTTTTTTTATTTTTTCCTTTTCTGTTTTTTTTCTTTTTCTTTTCCTTTTCTTTTTTTTTTCTTCTCTTCCTCCGCCGGCCATAGCCGGGGCCGGCGGAGGTTGTCGGCCTCAGGCGAGGCCGCCCTCGCCTGGGCTGGGCGAGGTCGGCCTCGCCAGTTGCCGGCGAGGGCTCGCCGCTGGCGAGGCTCGACCTCGCCCAGCAACGGCGAGGTCGAGCTTGGCCAGTTCTGGCGAGGGCTCGACCTCGCCGGCCGCAAGCGAGGCCGGCCTTGCACCGCAAAGGCGAGATCGGCCTCGCCAACGCCGGCGAGGTCGAGCCCTCGCGTAACCGGCGCGGGCTCGACCTCGCCGTTGCGGGCGAGGTCGAGCCTCGCCCGGCTTGCCGGCGAGGTCGAGCCTCGCCAGATCCGGCGAGGGCTCGGCCCCGCCGGCCGGCGAGGTTCGACCTCGCCGGCGTCGGGTGAGGCAGCGGGGCCGAGCCCTCGCCCGATTCTGCGGCGAGGTCGAGCCTCGCCCGGATCTAGCGAGGGCTCAGCCCCGCCGGCCGCTGGTGAGGCTCGACCTCACCGGCGTCGGGTGAGGTAGGCGAGGTCGAGCCTCGCTAGCGGCCGGTGGGGCCGAGCCCTCGCCAGATCCGGCGAGGCTCGACCTCGCCGGCAACTGGCGAGGGCGGCCTTGCTTGAGGCCGACGACCTCCGCCGGCCCCGGCTATGGCCGGCGGAGGAAGAGAAGAAAAAAAACAGCAAAGGAAAAAAAAATTAAAAAGTTACTATTCCGGTGCCGGAATAGTAACATTCTCGCCGGCCGGCACGCATTTTGGTCGGCTGGCAACCCAGACCCTTATTTGAGACTTTTTGGGCACTTCAAGTCCTTATTTAACACTAAATCCACTTGGGGTCCTCTTTTGAAAAAAAGGCCCCACTTGGGGTCCTTAATTGGAATTTTCCCTATCTAATTATATATTCCTAATGTAACGACACGATTGCGTATAAAATGCCAATAAAAAAAAATATTACATACGCCAAATAAATTACAAAATTATTCGCCAAAACTGGAAAATAATTAAAACTCTATAAACTCGTTTACTTTTTCAGATCTAAATAAACCTGCAAACATTATTAAGAATTTGTCTCGTAATGATCCGTGTAAAATCACGATGCTTACGATTCCCAAGATGCGAATACTAACTATATGCTTGATAATTCACGGCCAACTTCTTAACATCTCAAATGCGCATGTTAGAGTTTTGAAATTCGATTATCAACCCAAATTATGTCCTTGACTTTTTTGTTTTTGTTACTCCTTGGGCCCGAACTGACAATTGAGAAGAATCCATCTTTTATTAGGCCTCAACTTGGGTCAATTCAAGGCCCCGAAGCCTATATTTCAGCACGTGGGTTTCTTTGCATGGCGACGAAAATGTCCGAGCAAAACCGAAACGACTGTTGTAACCATTGCATTGCAGCACGAACTCGAGAAAGAGGATCAACGGACACTCGTCCAGTCATCTCTCTCTCTCTCTCTCTCTCTCTCTCTCTCTGTGGATGCATGCTTTCGAAGGCAGATGCGGTTTCAATGGGGCTCGTAACGATCCGATTTGCATTTATGGCAGATCTTGCTTTTCAAGGTTCCTGAAGGAGGAGGAGGTCACGTAATCTGTCTCCATTATGCACATCACTTATGGAAGCACGGTGTTTGACTCGCCCTTGAATCCACCGTACACTTGGGTGGGGCGGTGGGAGTACGTGGCCACGACAATCTTGCATGAAGAAGAGAATGCCGTTGACGTCGCCTTGAGGTAGACCTGTTAAATGAGTCTTAAAATTCATATATGATCAATTTATTTTTTAAATTGATCATAAATGGGTCAATACAACTTTGAAAAGCCTATTTTAAATGGGTCTTGAAGTTTTAAGCCTACCATAAATGGGTCTTAATAGATTGAGTGTGGAACTCATTTCCAACCTACCCATTAAGCCCATCCCTTTTTTATAAAAAAATTGAAATTATTTTTATTATTTTTTCTTTATTTTCGGTCGGTGGCCGGTCACAGCGACAGCCAGTGATCGGCTATCGGCCACAGGGGAGGAACGACCTCGTTGGAGGCCAGCGAGGCCTCGGGCTCGGCGAGCTTGAGGTTGGCCAGATCGGTGAGGCTGGAGCCTCGCCCAAGGTCGACAAGGCCGAGCTCGCCGGATTCCGACGAGCCCGAGGCCTCGTTGATTTGGCAAGACTCGAGCTCTCCGGCCTCAGGTGATCTCGACCTCGCCGGATCTAGCGAGGTGGAGCCTCGCCTGAGGCTGGTGAGGCTCGGCTCGCCGGAATCGAGCGAGCTCGAGGCTCACCTGAGGCCGGTGAGGCCGAGGCCTTGCCATATCGGCGAGCTTGTCCTCGTTTGTGGCCGCTGGCCAGCCACCGGCCAAAAATAAAGGAAACAGAAAATAATAAAAATTAAAAAATTAAAAATTCGATTTTTAAAAAAATAAATAACAATAAAAAATTATTAAAATTATTAAAATGCACGCATGAAGTAAAATCAAATCAGATTTTATATACCAAACGTCGGAAGATATTTTCTAATTCATTTTCAAGTTTCAACCAAACACTGGAAATTTTTTTATTTTCTTGGAAAATGACTTCATGGAAAATATTTTATAAAAATGTTGCATTTTTCACGAAACAAAAAAAACCTCAATTTAAAAAAAAATTATAAAAATTGTTCACTAGTTTTGTATTGTATGAAAATGTTTTAGTGGTATAATTTTTAAAAAGAGTCATAAGAAACAAGTTATCTTATATTTAGTTAAATATATAAGTATTTTACTAATATGGGTCGGATCAGGTACAGGTCGGGATATTTATATTCCAAATAAATGGGTTAATGGATCAATTTGAGTCGGACCATTTATGACCCGACCCAAACTCGATCCGACCCACCCGTTTAATAGGTCTACCTTCAGGTAATAATGTCATCTACCCGTCGTTCCGATAAATTAAACCGATCGCTCGGGAAAGGTAGAAGATTGCGGCGAACTCTACTTGAAAAGTTTTCACGACCATCGTGCATTAGATTGGCTCGGTCCATTATATCAAATGCGAAGTAAGTATATAAAGTACTTTTCAGCTCCCCCTAACATGTAATACAAATACTCTCTCTCTCTCTCTCTCTCTCAACACACACATTATAGCTGTGAGAGTATTTAAATTTATTATTTAGTATTTAGATTTATTACATAGTTTTGGTATATTAGTATAGTTTATACTATAGTTTATTATTTAATTTAATATTTAATAAAATTTGGATTAGTTAATATTTTGATTACTTAATATAAATAGAATTAATCAATAGAATTTCTATAATTTAATAGAATTTTAGAATGGAATAGAATTCCAAATTCGAATTCTTTTGAATTCTATTTTCTTTCTATTTCATTTTCCTTCAAAAATAACAATAGAAAGAAAATATTTAATAATAAATAAATAGCATCGAGAAAATTCCAGTGTTACTACTAGTTGCTTGACCCACGCTTCGGATCCGTTGTTCTTGTAAAATATACTTGATAGCACAAAGTTTAAAAGGATTAAATGAGAAAAACTAAGTAAATTGAGGTAAGAGATAGGAAATTCACATAGAAGCAAAAAGTACAGGTAATTATGATCTACATGACTCAATATGTGTAACTTTTACCTTATTTATTCAATACATATTATAGAACTGGTGTTTGAGAAAATTATTATTTGTTTTTCTTGAAATTTGATAAAAGATACGTCAGAGGAAAGATATACACATTGTAGGATTAATGGAAAAAATCATATACAATAACAACGAGAAGCCAAGTTTTTTTCCATCGTATTGGGAAGCATGTACAAAAAGAAAAAAACTTTTACAATACCTCCCATCATCTCACTGGCCGACCTTGACCTTATTATTTGAAGATCATATGTAGTATTCAGAGTCTACCTAGATTTGGTACCGCTCTCGCAGCTCGTATTGAACCAGTGCTTTACATGTAAATGTCCAATCAACCGCTGCCCTCAATGCATTTTAGGGAGAACTAGCTAACTAGGTGTCTGAGTGGCATTTCGCCCTTACCGCAACTCAGCCACTGATTCTTCAATATCAATCGATTTGAACCTCCACTTAGTTTCAGCCGAACTTCATCATGGTCATGGATAGATCACCTAGGTTTGGGTTCATAAGAAATGGCGATTGCCCTATGAAGAGTTGCTTTTGCTACGGCTTCAGTGGGTTAAGAGTCGTCACATTGAAAATTCAATACATAATCAGAGTATGTAATCGCACTCCATAGGCACTGATAATAAGTAGTAACTCATCTCCCAATAAAAGTTTGAAAATTTCGTCACTGTTAATCTATGCAATAATACATTCAAGTACGACTCAATGAACATCTTTTTGATATTCTTCACTAGTAGTTTTACTCTAGTTTGGATTATGTAGGTTTTTGTAATTTTTGAGAATACTAATGTTATTGAGCATACTAAATTTTCGAAGAGAGATAACAACATAAATACATATATGTGATACTAAATTGGTATTTGCACGTGTAGTGCATTTAATGTGGACATATGTTTTCTAATGAAAGAGTAATTTCCTCTTATGAAGAAAACCTAGGAGAAAACTTTTTAGAAACTAAATCCAAATAAAATTGTCTACATCTAACACATGAAGTAATATTGACTCTATCACGATCTATACATTACATAGTGTAGGGATGTTCTCAAGCACAGAAATTGTCCAATTAGTCATAAATCTACCATATGAATGCCAATTCAGTCACGAACCTTTTCACGAGATTTTCATATAGTTCTTCTAGCCAATTTTCACTGGAAACTACTAACATGGCGGTGTGCCACGTAGGATAGCGATGATTGGATCACCATGTTAGCGACTTTTGGCGAAAATTGACCAGAATGAGTACATTGAAATTTCATGCAAAAAAAAAGATTAAATTGGCAAAATTGAAAAATTTAGGATTAAATTGGCGTCCATACGCTGGGTTTAGAACTAATTAGGTAATTTTTTCATTATATATGCATATTGTGTATAGAGTAATAGTGACTCTATTATACACAGAGGTACTATCATGTTTTATCCAAGTTAACTACGCGAGAATATGGAAGAAAATTTTGGTCGATAAACAGATATGTATCTACCTTTGAAGGGAAGAAGAGAACTAGTTGACAGCATAAAATGCATACTTTAAAGGTGAACTGTATTTATGACCGTTGACCTTAACTTTATTCATCAGCTAATTAATTGATCAATATTTTCTACTAGACAATAACTACACACTATTTTTTTTTTTTTTTATAATCGAGGATCCGCACGTACGGCCGACAGCCAACATCGACTATACCTCGAGGGGAACTAGCACAACAACCCACCACCATGGTCCCCCACTTAAATCGCGATAGCAGTGCTTGGGAATCAATCCCAGGTCTCACGGGTAAAGACTGCGAACGCCCTAACCAGCGCAGCTGCCCACTGGTGGGTATAACTACAAACTATTAATGACCACTATCTCCATTTAACATTAAGAGAGGGGCTTTAAAGTGGGGGACTACTATGGTTAACAAAGAAAATTTGCTTCACTAAGAATAGCATATTCGAACCAAATAGATTAGAAACTATTTAATAGGATTCTATGCTAAATAAAAAATAATTAGGCAAACGGACATATAGAGAGAGATCTCTACAAGCAGATAATGTCGCAATAGTATACCTTTAATTGTTTCGATTATTAGCTTATGTCATTATCACCAAATATACTGAAAGAACTTGATAGCAATTGCAGCAATGAAAAATAATCACCTGTTAAACTTTTGTTTTTAAAGAGGAAGCGAAAATGGGAAAATAGATATTTGACGAATAAGGAGACTCTTTTTATCATACGCTTATACTCATTAACGTTGGAAAACCCCCGAACACGACGTGCATGTTTTCTTAACTTGTTGCATGCGTGTAGGTATATTGTAGGGAAGTTCTAAGGTTTAGGTCCGTGCTTATACATGGGGATGGTCAATATGTAGCAACAATATAAAAGTTCTATCTTCGTGTGTCCGATATTTACATGATTGATTCGATGATAATCTGCGACTTTCTATGAACAAATGAATCATTTCAGCTAGCATATGTAGTTAAAAATATTTGGCCACCTGCTGCTATACAAAGGAAAATGACATGCATGGCCATTCTTATGTAAGCGATGGTTACACAATCATGCAACTCATTTCTTTTACAAAGACTAAACCAGATTATTCTAACGTTGGTATTTGCAGAAAATACTAAGATTTATCCAAACATTGCTCATAACGCTCGGATGAAGACGAGTTTAGCCCTAATTCTCTCCTTTTCCCTTCAACACCAGGTGTCTAGTCCTTTGCTTCACTTCTGCATTATGCTCCTCACCAGGATTTAATAAGAACCCTAAACTTAACTCCGCCTTTTGGTGCTATCTTTCTTTACTGCAAATCCATCGCTTCTCATTCTGATTGATTGCTCTCAAACGCAATTAAAATCGAATTAAAAGCTTTATCGTGTGAGGAAGATGCATGATCAACAACACACATGTATGCAGTCCCATATTTTCCTGAAATGTCATGCTTGTTATACAGGCACATAGACAATCCTTACAAACAGGTTCAAAGGAAAGTTTTTCTTAAGTACAGTCGTGACAAAACGTGTTGTGTCCTTCCTCATACTTAACCCCCCTTTTTCCTCTATAAAAAGCTTAACAACCTTCATGCTCTAACACCACACAACCCTTTATCTTACATAAAATCTCTCTCTCTCTCTCTCTCTCTATGGCAAAAGCAAACTCTTCAGAGAGCTCAACAGCTAATTCAAACCCATCGGCTGCATCTTTGAGCCTGGATTCACCCAGAACCTACAATTGCACATTTTGTTTCAGATCTTTCGTTTCTTCACAAGCCCTAGGCGGTCACCAGAATGCGCACCGCAAAGAGAAGAGAGAAGCCAAGAGACTCTACATTGAAAAACGCCTCTCTTTCATGAAAAACTCTGCTGCCGCAAGCCAACCGCCTCCTCTCAGGGTTGACCGTTTTGCAGCTGCCCCAGTGTTCAACCCTGCAGCTGCCCACGGTGGTGGCTCTGGCATGGGCGTGCCGTTCAAGCCAAAGCAAGGTAATGGTTCTCAATGTGCCCTATGGTTACCTTTGACGACGCCTGAGATTAGACGCCGGAATGTTGCAAGCTCGGTCGCAAACCAAGAGACCAGCCCTGGTTGTAACTTCTTGGGGTTGTCAAAGAGGGGGAGTGGCTCAGATCCTAATAAGAGTGAGGACTCAAAAAAAGAGGGAGGTCTGGACTTGACTTTGAAGCTCTGATACAGTGAACCTTTTTATGTGCTCTTTACACCGTGTTTTATAAGACAAGATGCACATGTAACTAAAAACAAAAAAAAATGTATGAACTCTACTAGATCGAAGAACAAATAGTACAAAACATATGTCCATATGTGTCTGCAAAACTACTAATTTGCTCAAGCATAGAAATGACCGGACTCTGAATTGTTATCGCCGTTAGAACGAAACCCTAGGAATTAAACGATGAAGAAGCTTGTGGACTAAAAGGAAAGTAGAAAAAGCACAGCATAAATCAGAGAAGATGAAGAGAGAGAAAGCTGAATTAATGGTTCTTTGGTTTCTTCTGTAAACCTTGCTCAATTAGTTGCCTAATAATGTGCAAGACCTCGCTGATCTGTCGGTGCATTCTGTCATCCATCTTGGGTTTACCTTTCCGATTTCCTGCTAAGTTCTAGCAACTGCATGCTTTATGCATCACTCATAGTCATATCTGAGGCTTAAAAACAACAAAGCGGCCTTGGCTTCATTAAATAATCAGAATTGCTATCGTTTTCTCCAATTTCGATTAATTGCTCTATGTGGTCTAGCATTAATTTGCCTGAACTGCAGATTTGAGATGATAAACATCATCTAGTGATGCTTTAACTCGGTTTGAAAACAACACTAATGGCTTCTATAGAGAAAATTTCATCATGATGACATTCGATTGTCATCTTCTGCCTTTTTATTTTGTTGCTTTAGCGGTCATGTGGTGTCTGGGCTAACTTTCGTGCATTTCGACTCATCGGCCTCCCTAAATGGTCTTAAGGGTTCACATTGCAATCCTTCATAACCCAAACCTATTATTACATGTGAGTTCATCAATGGAAAATGTTTAAACTTATCTAGTGTTGAGTATGTCTTGAATTCTGTTTCGGATACAATCCAAGCCCGTGGCCCAACACTAATCCTCGGCGAGGGTGCGGGGGCTGTACCCCCACGGTATGGAGTAACATCAATATTGATTTTATCAAGTTATTAGATTTTGAGTAGAGACAGAAAGAGTTCAAAGGTTTTTTTTTTTTTTTTGAGCCACCCTTTGTAATTCTTGAATTTTCCTATCGAATTTTGGTTCTCCTCTGCCCATAGTTTTTCCCGCAAAGGTTTTCCATGTAAATCCGTGTGTTCTTTTATTCTTCTCAGTTTCAATTTCGTTTTTGTTCCGCATTAGTCATAACATCTAGAGAAAATCACCAAAAGCATGAATTGCTAAGATGGATCGGGCATTATACCGAGAAAGTTGCAGCATCGTATAAGTAGAAACTTCTAGTAAATGGTTGAGGAAAAAAATCAATTGGGAAGTTAAGGATACGACACAGTCGTCGCTAGGATGTAATTACATACTGTTAGCCTCAAGCTTACACTAAGCTTTAATTCTGAGCTTCACCATCTACAAGTTCACCATTTCTTTAGCTTGAAGTGCAAACTTGCTCACTCTAAGGTGTCATCAAGGTTGAAATGGTTCAAAGCTGTCTTACCAACTCGATATGGTAATGGGTCGTGATCGTCCTCACGATTGTGGGTGCAAAGAGAAAAGAAACTGAATTGATGGAAAGAGAGCAACAAAGCAAGTATAGAACCATTATCATTGAGTTCAATAAATACGTGCAAATTCGAGGAGATAATTCTACTTTCTCCATATTCTATCTTGTGACATGACATGTCCAACTTGAACAGCATACAAATCGAAAGATATGTCACCGCATATCAAGAAGTTACAGGCGAATTGACTTCCTAGTTTGAGAATGAATAAGGCGATATGGCGAGTGTCGATTCTAGTGTTTGTTATCTCAGTTTAGCAGCTTGAGATCATGGCACCCTGCTTATCTGTTTCTCAACGACACGTGTCACGATCTCAATATGGGGATTCGTCGAACCAATGTCAAGGTAGCAGTACTCAATACTCACCAGAGAAGCTCAAATTATTCCTGGGGCTTCAGAAAACAAATTACATACACTTGATTGGAGGGCATCCACACGAAGAGAGACCCTCCTGTATTTACAAAACATCAGGCTCTTTCATTCACTTAACAGAACAATCCTGTACAAAGCCGCATCTTCCCAAACCAATCCCTAAACAAAGCAAAAAGTCAGCGTACAGTCCACATCTCAAACCATTACATCCTTACCCTATGCGGATTTTAAAGACCACGTCATCGTTGATTTTCTTTCGCCGAATCAGAAATGTCAGTTTCTGGTCCATGCGATTTTTTCAGCTTTGCAACAAGAACCCACATGTTAGCAAGCTCGTTCTCCAAGTAAGCTTCTCTGTGCTTGGACTCCTCCACTTTCTTTTGTAGCTCGGACTCCCTTTGGTCCTTCTCCTGAAGAGCGGCTTCATAAGCTACCTCTCTTTCTCGGATTATTGTCAGTTCTCTTTTCATATCAGCAGCAGGCGAGACACCTTGGTCTTGACGCTTTATGTGGCTCTCCCTCCGTCCATTACGGATCGTACTGCTGCTCCTGCGTGGCGTTTGGGAGTTCCTAGAAGCTGCCAGCTCAGCAGTGAGCCTGTCATTATGATTCATGAGCTTCGCGACTTCTTCTGACAAGGCCTTGAGCTCAACAGCAGCGGCTGAGGCGAGGCCTTTGGCGTACGAACTGTCCTCAGCCAGTTTCTGATTCCGAACTACTAACTGTTGGTTGGACTCAGTTAACTCAGTCACCTTTCGGTTCAATTCTTCAATCTTGGTAGCCTAATGAAGTACAGGAGTCGGTCAAGATGTTCACGGAACAGTGTTGTATCAAATGAAAAGCATAACTAAGTTATGACTTATGATCATTATTTATTTGCTCCTCATTAAAATGTCATAACTAAAGCAATTTAATTACAAGACACTTTGACTGCACAAACAAATTAAAGTTTTAGAAAAATATATGAGCTGTCAGGAATGTTCTCATAATCACACCCTTATACTCAGAATGCACAAGCAGGTGCAAACAAGTTTTTGGAAGTGTTAGGATTTGAACATAGACAGGTGTTTTGAGATCATGTTATATAAACCTTTTTCCCAAAAACTTAAATTGTCATAGAACAGACCAAAAATGCATATAACAAATTTCTTAACAATCACAAAAATGCAAATAATCTAATTTCCAGGAGACCTTTACTTTGGTGGTTGGCTGAAGGCAGGCAGTAAACTACTATCAATGTCAACCAGAAAGAGATCAATGCACCAAAACCTGGGAGCTTCCCTATAACTGTGTGACAGAGTATACATGAAAATGTTACCTATGAACAGCTTTCATAAGCAGTATCTAGAGGTGTAAAAATGGGTCTTAAACCCATATATGACCCATTTATTTTTAAATGGGTCATATATGGGTCACTTTAATTTTAAAGAGTCAACCTTAAATGGGTTTTAAATTTTAAAGCTTAAAGATAAATGGGTCTAAATGGGTTGAGTTTGGAACCCATGTCCAACCCATCTACTAGATCCATCCACACACTCTCTCCCTCTTTACAAAAATGTTTTAAAAAAATCGAAATTTAATTATTTTTTTTTCTCTTTTTCTTTTTTCTTTTCTCTTCTTTCTTTTTCTTTTTTTTTTTTTCCGGCCGGCGGTCGGCCACGGCGACCGGCCACCAGGGCGGGACGACCTCGCCGGAGGCCGGCGAAGCTCGAGCTAGCCGGCCTTGGGCGAGGCTCGAGCCTCGCCGATCTGGCGAGCCTCGAGCTCGCCCGATTCCGGCGACCTCGAGGCTCGCCCGATCCCGGCGAGGCTCCAGCCTCGCCGATCTGGCGAGACTCGAGCTCGCCGGCCTCGGGCGAGCTCGACCTCGCCGGATCTGGCGAGGTGGAGCCTCGCCGAGGCCGGCGAGACTCGAGCTCGCCGCCTCGGCGAACTCGACCTCGCCCAAGGCTAGCGAGCTTGAGCTTCGCGGCCTCGGGCGAGGCTCCACCTCGCCAGATCCGGCGAGGTCGAGCTCGCCCGAGGCCGGCGAGCTCGAGTCTCGCCAGATCGGCGAGGCTGGAGCCTCGCCTGAGGCCGGCGAGAACGAGCTTCGCCGGCCTCCGGCGAGCTCGTCCTCGCCTGTGGTCGGTCGCCGGCCACGGCGGCCGGCGATCGGCCAAAAATAAAGGAAAAAGAAAAAAAGAAAAAAAAAATTAAAAATTCGATTTTAAAAAAATATTAATTTTTTTTTATTTTCTTGGATAATGACTTTATGGAAAATATTTTTTAGAAATGTCGCATTTTTCGTAAAACAAACAGAACCTCAATTTTAAAAAAAATTATAAAATTTTTTCACTAGCTTTGTATTGCATAAAATGTTTTAGCAGTATAATTTAAAAAAAAAATCATAAGAAACAAGTATTCCTAGATTTGGTTAAATATAAAAGTGTTTTAGCAATATGGGTCGGGTCGGGTATGGGTTGGGTATGGGTCGGGTCGGGTATGGGTCGAGATATTTACACTATGAATAAATGGGTCATAAACGGATTAATGGGTCAATTTGGGTTGGACCATTTATGACCCAACCCAAACCCGACCCGACCCACCCGTTTAACAGGTCTAGCAGTATCCATCAATTGGCTATGACTCCATTAAATACTCTCCTAAACCGGAGACTAAGATCAGAAGAGATGGTTAAAAGTCCAAGAGGAAACCTGTCTTTGTACAAGCGAGCCTTCATTTTTGTCAGTAACCAAATTATCTTCTTTTTGCAAGCCAAGTTCTCCAAGAAAGCTCTTCACTCCAGCAAGTCTCTGAGAGTAGCCGACTGATGGACTAAGCTTTCTCAAATCCAGGCCATCCGAGAGCTGTTGCCTCAAGGATGTTATTGTTTCTTGCAATCCTTCACACTCACGAGTCTGTACCAAAACAAGTGCAAGTCCAAAACGGGTTTTAAACTTTGACAATCGTCATGAACCAAACTATGGTGTAACAGAAATACATGAATTTAAAAGCTCCGGGTACCTTTTCGTTGAGCTGCTCTTGAATGACACGGTTATCTGCAGTTTTAACCTGACGATTCAACAAGCCAAATAGATTAATCATAAGCAGAGGCTTGTAGATGCAAATAACAAATGGCCCATATCTCTCTGTTTATGCCCTTGAAATTAAATTTCTGCGTATCAGATGAGGCAGTAGCCAAGCAGTCAGGTGAAGTTGCCAACTCAGCAAGCAACTCAGATTGATTACGATAAAGGTAAGGAAACATACAACCCACATTTTTATTCTTTTGGCATTGCATGTGAGGCCTGAGGCAGGAATCTAATGTGAATAGACATGATGACTAGGGGTGTCAATGGGTCATCATGTCTATCATTGATGACAGCATAAAAAGGAATAAAAATGTGGGTATAGTGTTTGGTCTTGACACCCCTAATGATGACAGCATAAAAAGGAAATGAGCTTAAATGCTTTAACAGATGCCAAGAAATCAACTACCACTATCAGGTAATCATACATATATCTTCATGTTTTTTAACACTTAGCAGAAAGGACGTCATAGATGGCAAACATCACAATTCCAAATTCAAAAATAACTCCAGTGCCGCTCATTACGCATCTATAGATTATCAGGAGCACTTCTGTATAAAATAATTATATAAATCTGCCAATCCACCGTGGCAATTTTCCTTAAGTACTCTAAAGACAGATAAGAACGTATAATAGCATCAACACATGCATTAATAAACTACCTCAAGTTCGAAGGACTTCTCATTCAGTTGAGCCATCAGGTCAGCAATATGCTGCAACATTTGGAGATACAGAGCATAATGTTGTCTGTGAACCCATAAAACAGCGGAATCATTTGAAGAAACGTGCAACTTACTTGAGATACTTCATGTTTACCCATCTTGTCATGAGAAGCAACGATGGAATCAGCAATTTGCTTCTCAAGCAAAGCTATTTGTTCATTCTTGACCTTAATTTCATCATTTAACTTCTTCATCTCCACCTTAAATACCAGCAAAGTGTTAAGATAGTACTTGATTACATTATACAAGATTTAAGATCCGAGGAAAGAAAAAATTACATGAATCTGTTCCTTCTGGGGGTTTCTTGCAGTCTCCTCTGATAACCGCTTTAAAGCACTCGAATGTAGTGCCAACTCCCCCGACAATATCTTTTGTTGCTCCCTTAGGAGTTCGATCTGATCGATTGATTTTAGGCTACTCTGTACCCCATAGAATACAAGTATAAGCTAATGGTTAAAAATGTAACTCACCACAAATTTGGACTTGCACATTTAGACAAACATACATAAGTACGTTGATAGATGTAAACCTACAATGGGCCCGTTTGGTTCAACTTTGAAAATGCTACTTGGAGGAATGCAAATACCTTTGGGTGAAAGCTCATTGGAGAAATGCAAATGGTGTTTGGTAAAAATATTTTGTAAAGCTACTTGGCCAAAATATAGTGTTTGGTGAATTATTTTTGCAAATGGACTTTGGGAATAAAAAACCTAACTTACCCTTCGCCGGAGCCGGTGCCGGCCGGCCGCCGGCGAGCCAGATCTGGCGCCGGCGGCCGTCGCCTGAGGTCGGGCGACCGCCGGCGGGCCAGATCTGGGGCCGGCGGCCGTCGCCCGAGGCCGGGTGACCCTCAGTGAGGGTCGCGGGACCCAAGCGACCGCCTGAGTCGTGCGACCCAGGCGGCCGGCGCCTGGGTCGCGCGATCTCAGGCGGCCGTCGCCTGGGTCGCGCGACCTCAGGCGACCGTCGCCTGGGTGTCGCGACCTCAGGCGACGGCCGCTGGGTCGCGCGACCTCGAGGCGACGGCCACCTGGGTCGCGGGACCTCGGGCGACCGCATCCCTGGGTCCCGCGACCCGGGCGACGGCGCCTGAGTCAAGCGACCCGGGCGGTCGCTGAGGTCGCGCGACCCAGGGCGGCAGCCGCCTGAGCCGCGCGACCCGGGCGGCGGCCTTTGGGTCCCGTGACCCTCCCGAGGGTCGCCCGGCCTCGGGCAACGGCCGCCGGCCTCTTGCCGGCCCGATCCAGCGCGGGCCTCCCTTGCCGGCCACCTCACGAAGAAGAAGATGAACAGTACACACGAGGGGCAAAACCGGAATAAGCCAAAATAACTAAGGGTAGTTTGGGGATAAAAAATTTGGGTTCAGCATTCCAAATGCTAGCATTTGGCAAATGTTGATCCAAATGCTGAACCAAACGGGCCCAATATATGTGCATGTTCATATGTACGGTGCATCAAGTTTGCATGCCTTCATGTGCATGTGTCTGGACGGAGAAAGGAGAGAGATCTCATATGAATCATGACACACTCATGCATGCATGCATCTCCGACTTTATAACCCAAAGAGAGTAACCAAACATTCTACTTTTGATAAAACTTAGAATAGCACATGGCTATGATGTGCAGATTCATGTTGTGACTGGACATTCGACAGACTAGAAGAATGATTTTGGAAGAGTCTTAGAACACTCATGAACAATACAAGTATATCTTCGGCATAAACCCAGAAAACCGCGTGCAGTTCCTAGGCACTGTTCGGTAATAGTGTTTTCTACAAGTGAGTTCATCGCCAAGATAAGAGAATTAATTCTGGATCAAAATATCAACCAACTGCCAGGTCTTGGCAAGTTTCCTGCTTGACACTTGCCATAGAAAACATAAATGGCTTACCAGAGGTGTCTCTTGTCCCAAAAAGTTATCTTCGCGAACATCTCGGTCCTCTCTACTCTCACAAAGAATATCTGCTACAGGAGAACTTTCTGTGACTAAAGATTGGGATAGTCTGGATTCTGTAAGAAAGTTGCCACTTTCTGCTTGGGGCGTTGAAGGTGTGCTAACAGATTTTACTCCACTTGATTTATCACTAGTACTTGCCAGCGTACCCAAGCCACTATCTCGTTTCTGTAAACAGAAGAAACGGAAAACAGACAACATGAGATTCAACCGAAAAATAATATGCTGATGAAGTCTAGTTGAAAGCATATGGCTACATATAGGTGCACCAGTTTGCTGGGGCAACTATACTTGGAAAATAAAAGCTAAAGCTAACATGGTCAAAGCAAAAAAAATTTTAAGAAAAAAGAGGAAAATGTAATACAGGAAAAATTGAAGAATGCTTCACCCCCCCAATTTTTTTGTTTCCAAAAAGTATGGAAATCCTGAGAAAATCTTCAGCATTTTAATTGACAAGCTCTCCAAATATTTAAAAGATGATGACGCTGTTGATTGGTACATCCATATTCAAACTAACAATATAGTGGACCTAATATATTCATCATGAACTTCCCTTAAATACTTGGAAAAGAAAAATACCCATGGGCCTCATGCTGCAACAGGGTGTGAGTTCTTTATTGTATGTCATCTACTAGGAAACCGGGAACAGCTAATGAACTACAGATGCCTTATGAAGGATGTCCACTGGTACAGGTGAAGATCCCCCAGTTAGAGATCCTTAGGTATGATTGCGGCACAGTTTACCAGCAGCTTGCATCTAAAATTGAAGCTTTTACTAGAATCTATAAAAAAAATGGCTTGTTCAATTCAGTACCACAGATTTTGTGTCAAATTAAAAGAAGAAGAACAAGAAAAGTCCAATTAGGCCATACACATGAGAGGAAATGCTAAGCATCTGATGCTTAAATGTTTCTCCTGTTATCATCTAATGAAACAAAAGCATAAAGACATGCACACAGCACAAGTTAAAGCAACAATGATGGGAATTCCTAATAAGCATATCAAGAACCCCTTAAACACAGAAAGAAGAACAGTAAAATTGCTATATGAATGACCTCCCCCCAAAAAAACTGCTATGTGAGAATTTATAAAAATATGCAATATCTAGAAAGGAACAGAAGATTTGTCATTCATACACGTGGCTTTAACCAGTTCAGCAATCCATGCTTCTTGCTCTTCTTTTCCTCCTTCACTGGGTCATCTGCTGTTTCACAGTTGGCCTCAAGAGAAACATACAACTCTATATTTTCATCATCTAAAATCAAGTCCCGTCTTTTGTAGGGTAGATATGCAAGCTGTATAAGTTGAATAAATTAGCATTAGTCATGAAACACTTTACGTTGAGTAGGTAAACCAAAATCCAAAATGCTTTTAAAGTAAATTACTGTGCACAGTTGTAATACAACAAGAAACTATAGAAACAAACTCTTGTATATTCTTTTCTTAAGGTTATAGAAACAAGCTATTATGAAAACCAACCACACCTCTTCTTCACCAAAGGAATGTCTCCTCCTATGACCAGGGCGATGCGGAAGTTTGGACGATGGCGAATCTTTTGTGGATACCAAGATTAATTTCGTCAACCGCTGAATTCGGCCCAATAAAGCAGCTTTCGCTTCCTCTTCTTGTTCCAATCTGGACTGAAGCTTAACTTGACCATCTTCTAGCTTTACATATAAAGTCGCAAATAAAAAATGGAATGGAACAGGTCATACAAACATTCTTCACTTTATGAAGAAACAAAGTCACAGAGACACTCCTTACCAAAAAAAAAAAAAAAAAGTCACAGAGACACCTTACCAAAAAAAAAAAAAAGTCACAGAGACAAATATATGAAGAAAGTTATGAAACTTGACTACTAGTCTCTACCATGATGAAATTAACCACCTAATGTAGGCAAAGGCAAGCATAACTGTTGATTACAAGGATATCATGATCAAGGTACACAATATTTAAAAACATTCTTGCTGCGCTCCTGCAATTTGCAACATTTTATACAACTTAGACACTTCTTTCAGCAGTTTCTGTGCATTACCAATCAAATCCACCACAGGATTCAATTGAGGTTGAATCCTTTGGAAGGAAATGGTAATTGAAAAGTTAAAAAGCAATTTCTAGCGGGAAAACACAATGATTATTTTGTCTTGATTGAAAAAATAGATGAGAAGAGGCTTTTGTATTCCTAATTGACAATCCTACTTATAAAATTTTCAAATAACTTGCTTTCGGGCCTTTCAAAGTGTCCATGAAGAGAGAGAGAGAGAGAGAGAGAGAGAGAGAGAAGCAATGGTGACCATGCTGACTCACTATTGGAGTACCTTTTGTTTCAGGAGCAGAATGTCATCTTTTCCAGCAGCATCTTTCATTTGAGGAATGGTGACGATACCCTTCTTTAATTGTTCTAATTCTTCTTTTAGGCGTCGTATCTCATTTTGGTACTTTTTAATCAGCGACTTCTCGTCAATGATCTGCATATAGATAAATCAGGTATAAGTATCCTGAATATGGGGAATCAACAGATCATGTGTGCTCACCTTGTTTTGTGCTGCTTGAATTTCAATATGTTTTGCACGATGAGCAAACTTCAATGTGTTATGTGTCTCCTCAGAATTGCTTGACGAAGGAGTGACAGTGCAAATAAGCTGGAAGCTCCAGAAGAAAAATAATTACAATCTGTGAATTTTTTCCAGAAATGATATCTATGATTTGACATAAGTAACTTGAAGGCTTACAGATACTCGTCCATGACCACTTAGAGAAGACTGGAGGAGCCTTGTCAACTTGGAGTCTCGGTATGGTACGTGAGTAGCCCTCCCATCAGTTAATTTTGATATCACCTAAAAGTCACAATACTCAGTTAAAACTAAACCTTTCAAAAGAAAATAAGGACCATGACATTAAACCATTTCCCAGAGATAAAATTCGAAAATTGACACCTTCATGAATGGATCAATATTGTTGTCGGTTGGGGTATGAGATATGCCAAGTAGTTCAAGAACTTAGAACCCATTTGGCATTTAGTTGATTGAGTGAAAATATTGCCTCACTGCACAAACTATGATTCTGTGCAACTTAATTTAATTGCTTAACATCTCATTTCAAAAAGAGGAAAATTGCTTGCAATTTATCTGAACTGATTCAAAAAGTGCAGTTATAATACCAAAGCACGAGACATAAAGTCTAGGGAAAATAGACATTGCTTTATCTCATAATATTTGCTGTCATCAACAGTTTTGTCTTCTTCTGCTTCTTTTCCAAAAACCAGAAAAAAAAATGTATATTCACAAAAGTATGCAGGGAGAAATTTTCTTTTGTCTTTTTTTTTGCATAATCTTCCAGAGACAGAGCTTAAGAACACAAACTAAGCCTCAAATGGAGGTTCATTGAGGCCAAAGAACATTACAGCGAACCACACAAGGATCTCTTCAGCTCAAGAGAAGTAACTGAGAACCATTTATTACAAGTTGTCTTCCTCAACCTACATCATAAGATTTCCCTCAACTTAGACATGGACTCAAAAAGCTCAGTAATGTCTGCATCCCTTCAATGTGAAAGCATATCCTTGCTGTTCTAAGACTAGCTCACTTATTTTCCTTCTCTTGGCTACACAAGTATAACACTAATTGACTAAACAACACCCATTGTCTAAACAAAATTTTACGCACATGCACATAGAGAGAGAGAGAGAGAGAGAGGGCCAGGAGCCGAGAATAGACTGAACTAGTTTTGTTATGGCAAAATGAAAATAATATCTGCACTGAGTCAAGCAACGGACTATCATCTCTAAAAGGTCAGATAAAACCAAATCGATCCATACTAACAACTCAGTTTGATAAAGAAACATATGAGGCCTCACAGTTCCCAGAGTTAGCAAACTTTTGTTGATGTAGGATCCTTCTTTCCTCCTTACACCAGTTGCTTCAACCTTTGAACTTTCAGAACCTGCCAGATCGATGAGGTTCTGCAGGTATAAGTAAAACATGAAAGGTTACAGGTTGCAGACTTTTACATGGAGAACAAAGTCATTCAAAACAATCAATGCTCAAGTAAAAGTTTAATCTAATTGTCCAGAAAAAAAAAATTGAAAAAGCTTACTCTTCATGGAAGTAATGATCTAGATAGAGGCAGTGGTTGCAAGGCAATCGCATTGCAATGACTGTGGAAACAGTTACAGTGGGTATACTATTGTGTTGCGACATTACACTATAATGATTGCAGTCCGGGTTCTTTTCTATCAGACAGTAGAAACAGTAAGATGCTAATTCTTCAGCTTCAGTTTTAACCTTTAAAAACTTTCAGACAACCTAGGTCTGCAACTTTGAACATTCAATCTGTGACAAGACAGTCAGACTTTTAAGTTCGTGTTTGGTAAACGTACCAAAGCAAACATAAAATAATCAAGATATATAAGATGTCAACATTTTTTCTGAATGAAATGTCAAAATGTTTTGTTGACAAGTTAAATTAAAAACCTTGTTTGATCAGGCTGCTCTAGTTGCTATTATAAAGGACAAAGCTGCAGTCAGTTGCCTGAGCAATCATCCAAACTTTTGACTGATAAAAAAAAATGTCAGTCGAAAAAACAGGACAGTTTTCTTAGCAAGACTGGTGCACAATAACCTCTGCTTACAACAGTAAGTATAAATTCTTTCACACCACGCTAGCAGCCAACAGCAGTGGCAATACCCACCTTGACCACAATATAATTATGCAACAATTGCTATCTGCTGCTATTTGAAACTACAATAGACAATCGAACGACTTGAAACAAACTTATCAAATGAAAGATTTTGGATTTTACCAGTTGCGACAGGGTTACTGCTTCCCCCTCTGAGTTTTCACCACATGGGCTACTCTCTATTGTCTGTAAACAGTTGGAGCAGATGTAACGTTGTAAGAGGAAAGCACAGCGAAAGGAATGTACATGCCCAATGCTTATCAAGATGAATACAGTATTGTCATTGGCAGTTTATATATGTCACTCATTTGCTGGGGTAATTCTTACAGTATCCGTTGTAGAATTACTTTCTGCTCGTGGATATTGAGTCTGTTATTTTCCTGGGGTTTCAAATTATTAAAGCTAGTCAATTTGGCATATTTAATCAGATTTAAGTTTGCAGTTCATATTATGCAATTATATCCGCAATCAATCACTGATCGTTGACACCTCCGGCAGGACCATTCGAGTTATATGTCTGATTGAGCTAGTGATACCTGGTCGCTCAATATGGCAAAAAGGTCTACAGTTTCTACTTCCATATAAAACAGGTGTGATATCTCTGCCGATTTCTCTGATAAAAACCATCTAAACAATCATGTCGCTATGGAGAGGTGACACAGTGCATAGTTAAGCTAAACATCATATGTGATAGCTTTTTTCTTTGAGTCTTCATGGGTGCAAAGATTTTTTTTTTTCTTTCCTTCTTTATCTTTGACTCGTCTCTTGTTTTCCTCTCAATCTCTGGAAGGATAATATGGCTCTCTAATTGTTTAATTTACAAAAATTGTACCGCAAAGAACTTTAATGTTTGAATCAACACATTAGTCAACACATTAGTCATAATTATAACAGCAAGTCAATCTTGGTTTTTTCAAAATATGAGCAACATACCAGAGTAAATATTGTATGGCTCCGGCTGCTCAGCAAATTGAAATTGGTGGATCCAACGTGTCTATGCTCTGTGGTTAATAAAAATCATATCAACGACACTATCAACGTAAAACTATCACAAGATTCAATAAAAGTTAGGTTACCAAATTAAACCGGTACATTGTCAATAAGATGATGAAATAACAATTAATGCAAAAACAGCCAATTCAACAGCAACAATTTTTTACCAAAAAAAAACAAACAGTAACAATCATGTTTCTAATCCTCCAATCTACTAATAATACAAAGGAATTATACCATCCGATCCCTTCATCAGCCAAAACATTTGTGAGAAAAATAATAATACCACGGAGGAATTTTTCCATGAATCCATTGATTCTATATGGCTTATTTACACCTTTTTATTCTATTCTTACTTTATTTGGACATGAAGCCGTGTGTCATTTTTTTACTTCACCTTGCATGATAGATCATGCATCTATCTTTATATGTACATAGATTCAGACCTAACGCCTTTCTCTAGATAGCGATATCACCAACTTATATGCTTTAGAATGGACAATTATACTTCAAACGAACAATCATTTTCCTTCCAGAGTAACATAATTTCACATCATTTACCTTCTCCGGCTGCTATCAAGGAGAGGGCATGAGCAGGAGACAGTACAACTTCCTCCTTTATTCCCTCAACAAAGGTCCCCTGCAAGACCATCCTTATTAGCCATGCAAGCCCCAGACTCAACGTTTGTCAAGAAGATGTGTCAGGCTCAACAATTTGGCCTCTTTACAAGCGTAGCAGATTTGGCAAAAAATAAGATGAAAAATAAATAAATGACAGCTTAGCATAGAGTAGGGTAGACTGTATTTAATTGCCCTTGAAGAAATCATGAGATAGATAATGGAATTCAATAGGTTAGAAGTTGCAAAAGCAATTAAGGTCGATCATATTTCTTTACAAGGAGGTGGTGTTGCACCTCAAAACATCTTGAATGTGAGGTAACCCTTATCACATATTTCAAATGTCCAGGGGTAGTTTCCAAACTTTGAGGTCCATTACAATCGTTTCTCCAGTCAGTGCTATTAATTATTCAGGTACTAACAATATTTCCGATAAAAAAAAACCCGAGCAAGGACGAAGTAATTTCTAAGAAGAAAGTAGCAATTGTTAAGTGGTTACCTGAGCATCCTCTCGAATTCTTAAATTTTGCCCTGCCGGGTTTAGCAAATCATTTACAACCTGCAATTCATGAAGTTCCAAAACCAGTGATTTCACAAACTAGTTTGTAAGAGCAACCAAACTGCTTCATGTTAAGTACAAATACCAGAATCACCAAAAAAAACAAAGTTGATGTAAAAAGCCACAAGGAACCAAGCACTTAGAAATCATGAGAAGAAACTTACCTCGTTATAAATCTCTAAGTATGACACACGAAGTAGAAATTCCCTGTTCGGAGTCTGAATTGCAAGAAAACATGTTATTTTGTAACAAGAAGCTCAAGGTAGAAGTTACGCCACTGGCTGACAACTATAGCGATTACCTCTTGAATAATGCTAAAAGCATCCTTAACAGCTAGTGGTATAATTCCAGGCGACCTCTGATCACCCTGCAAAGAGCCATCATAGTGATTGCAAGTTCAGATGCATAGCTTGACATCACATCAAATTACTACGTTCAGTATCAGAAGCCACTGCAGATAGTATCTTCTAGCTAAGTTTACCAATGTACGACAAGGAATAGGACAAAGCAGTGCATAAAGCAGCACAATACGAAATACTTGACCTCATAGTTCAGAAAACAACCCACAGTTATAGTGTGAGCTTAGGAGTAAAGCATCTTCTTAACACATCATTGTCGCATGAACTTTATCCTTATAGATGAATTCACCCTTATAATTCAGTAGGATGCTAAAACAATAAGAAGACGGAAATAGGGTCAACTCCGAACAAAACCAGTTCGAACATTTAAGTTCTTATTTAGATGCGCTCAGCATGGAATTCTCTCTTTCATCAAACTGACAATTACCGCTCTGAAGAAAGAGGCTAAAACACGCTCAGGTTGAATAAACAAAGACTAAGAATTGCTTGTTAATGAAGCAGAACAAACATGTACGCTGACCATACTTGATGAACCTCAAAAACAAAAGTGTAACAAAGCTTAGAATATGTCATGCTGCAGTGGTTAAGAAAATGGAGTTTATTCCTTTTCATGGATAAAAATCGTCTAGCATCTATGTCACTCCACTAATTCACATAAGCAAAAAAAAAAAACCACATTTTTTATCTTTTAACAGTTCATTCTGAGGTATCCCAAGCCAAAAGAGGGCCAAATCTCTCTCAGACTATGTTGTAATGATTGTTATGATAAAGTCAAAGTTAATTGATGCAACTGGACCCCTCAATACGAATTTGAGAACCGAATGTCACCAAATAGTATAAACACAATACCCAAGAAAGATCTACTTATTTTGGAACTCCGTGTATGCGAAATGTGATTGTGTTAGTTTCATCCAGGTACATATAAAAACGTATAACATCACGGAAAAATACTGAACAAATAGACTATCAGAAAAACTATGACCGAGGAAAATGTATGAATGACTCCTCAAGGATGCTATAGCACGTTTCAGATCATAGTAAAGTGATCAAATTTATATTCCAATATGAGGCAACATAAGATTTACAGAGTACATGAACTCACATGCATGGTGTGAGTCTTCCCACTGCTTGTCACACCATATGCAAAAATAGTTCCTGCATTGGGAGGTAAAGATAGACGACAAAAGGCAAAATGTACAATGCAGACACTCTGCAATTAGAGACAGAAAGAATTTAAAAAAAAAAAATTAGAGACAGAAGAGTGTGAAGAGCCTACAGCATACGGACCATTGATTCCGTCCATAGCACCACTAATAACATGTTGAGCAGCAACATCATAGACATGACGCGTCGTGGTTGTGGGACCAAATACGCGATCTAGAAGCATAAAAGAGGAAAAAGTTAAAGCTAATAAAGTATAGATCGTAACTACTAAGAGAAAGTCCACCGTCAGTGCAGGATGAGAACATTTAAAGCCTGTGATAAATAAGGAATATTTTTTAGAAACAAAAGTTTAGGTTTCTGAGCACATAGGAAGATAATACATAGCATCGATTTGAATTGCTAACACCTTCCACCAATGGTGAGTATTTTATAAGTATTACTAATTCGCAAATGCAATCTCCCTGCATTCTTGCATTACCATAAAAACTTCAGTTTGTACTGGCAATACAGCTACCGATTGGCAAATCCCAGAAAACAAGATTAAAGGAAGCATGTTTTATTACTAAGGGATCATTGTTTGGCAGTAAGGACAGTCGAGGGAGCTGTCTAGAGTCTAGAGTCAGCTAGGAAATGCGGAATGGACAGTAATTTTTGTAAAAACCAAGCAAGAATGTCGAGCGGAAAGGAAGCAGAGAGTTATTGGATGAATTCGACTAGGCAGCGATCAAATTGCTGACGCTAATTGGAATTATTTATTTGACAGTTCGTCGTACTTAAAACCCTAACTAACCACTCTTAGCTTTTGTTGGACAGAAAAAGTATATGTAGCCTTCCAAGCACTATATATTTTCCACTCGATCTTCTTAGAGATCTAAAGCCAATGCCAAAAGAAAATTTAGTACGCATATGAATATACCTGCCCACTTCACTTCAGTTATTACTACAGGAATTAGCTAAAAGAGACTAGAGATCACACACCACCATGGCCATACACTTTATAAAAACTTACCGTAAGCATACGCAATTGATGGATTATGCTCATTGCGCACGATCGTTTCTCCATCGGCGTACCAAGCAATCTCTTCACCCTGGCGAATTTCCCTGGGGCTGTTCCAAAAACAAAACCAACAAAACCACATCGGCAGGTGTTCCGCACAAATTCCGCCAGCAAATTCACCGCTCAAAGAAGGCCAATGCACCTGAGCGGCCGAAACCGGACGGTCACCGTGACATTCTCTTTGGATCTCTCCGAATCCACAGGGAAACTCTCGGTGTAGAAATACTGAGGCTTGCTGCGTGCCGAAGACGACGCGGGAGAGCTCTGACCGTCGGCGGAAGTCTCCAGATTCTGTTTCGAAGACGAGGTGGTGGACGACACAGGAGAATTGGCGGCTCTAGAGCTGCTCAGGCTCAATCTATTCGATTTCGACACGCGCCTCGACGCCATCGTCCTTTCCACACCTCAACGGCCGCACAAAAACTGACGGAGCGAAAAAGATTAAAGAAAAGAAAAAAAAGCAGGCTTCAACAATCAAATCAACTTCGAAAGAATCTCCAACTCCAACTCCAAGCTCGCGCAGAGCGCGAATGAGAAATGCAATCTCTCGCATCGTCCAGTACCACATTCTCTCAGAGGATTACGCCCGTCGAGCAACTCGCCGCGCTACCTCCCCCTCGATTTTTCACCGGCAAAACGAGAAACAAAGAAAACCGCGAAAAACCGCATTCAGATCGGATTACTCGGTCGTAGCCTCTCGTACACTGAGCACGAGGAACCGAACCGCAAAAGCGACGGCACGCACAGCACACGGAGCCAGCAATCTCGACTCGACCGAGAGAGACTTCATTTTTTTCAAAGTCAAACAAAACCTCCTCCGAAGCAGTCAAGAACAGAGAGGCGGATGACGGCAGACGCGCGCGCGGGGGCGAAGACGAAGTACCTGCGACAGGATCAGGCGAGCATTGCGCGTACGTCACTCGGAGGGGGGGGGGGGGGGAGAGGAAGCTTCGCGAACGGAGACGGTGATCTCCCCGGCGGCGGCGGCGGCGGCGGAGCGAGGTCCAGATCTAGGGACGCAGGAGGAGGAGGAGGACATCATCATCATCCTCAGCAGCCATCACTCCCGGTGAACCAGCCGCCTCTCTCTCTCTCTCTCTCTCTCTCTCTCTCTAGCTTTCTCTCTCCTCGGGGCTGAGGGGCTTAGCTCTTCCTGGTGTTTTTGGCCTCGGAAGGGATGCCCCCTGCATCAAAGCCAAATCGCATTTCCAATCCCCACACCACTTTTCTCTCTCTCTCTCTCTCTGTGCGCGTGTGTGCTGTAGAGATAGAGAGAGAGAGAGAGAGAGAGTAGGAGAGAGAGAGGGAGTCGGGTACGTTAACTCGTGAAGCGCGGTTAATTAAGCTTAATTTGGTGAGTACAGTACAGACACACGCAGGTAACAGAGAGAAGAGAGAGAGAGATAGGGGGGGAGGAAGCTGCCTTTTTCCTCCTTTTTCTTTTTCTTTCTTTTTTCTTTTTTATTTATTCTGCATGGAATTAGGTTGAGTTGTGATTTTTTTTATTGTTTATTCATTTTTTAATTTAGAGAGAGAGAGAGAGAGAGAAATACGGTGGTGGTGATGAATTGGACTATTTGGGGGGGTGGGGGAGGAGCGCAGACTTTGCAGCTTTGCAGTGCGCTGTGTGCAATAAACGCACGGTCACAGGAGTCGCGGGCCAATCAGATTTCGATTATTTTCTCCTCCTTTTTGTCCTTTTCTTTTTCTTTTTCTTCGTTTTCCTATTTCGGGTGGGGACAAAACGCCTGTTTTGGAGCGACGTGTCTTTGTCCGAGAGTTTTTTTTTTTTCCTTCCTTTTTATTAATTTCTCGTCTTAATTATCTCGGGCGGGAAATAATATCTGTTGCCAAAAATAATCTCTTGCGTATTAGCAAAAGATAAATAAATAAGAGAGTTCCCAACATTTAATGTTACTTTTTCTTCATTAAATTGCTCCATGGAGTTCCATTAAAACTCGATCAGGTACTCTAGTGGTTTCGAATTGAAAAGGGGAAATTAGACATTGAAGATAGTATATTTTGGCATAAAAATCGTAGCGGGGCGCTTAAAAGGAAAATCTTTATAGGACGGTGCTTTTCTATGGCGCGAAATGTTGGGAGCTTGAACATCGACATATGGACATCATAAGTATAGCGGGAATATGCTCCGCGGATTTCTATTTGATCTCGATGCGGCAATCCAATTTAAAAAATGGAAAGGAAGAATGAGACATTCAAGATGCTAAAAAACCGTCGAGGGACACTTAAAAAGGGACATTTTGTAGGACGGACAATAAAGCAATGCCTTTTTCTTTATATTAAGCTAGATTATCAACGTGGAGTACCTTTTGAGATCCTTTTAAGGGTGAGTGACTTAGGATCTTTCTTAATTACATCAGTAAACAACCTGCCGAGTTGATTAAGTGTTCAACTTCATATGTTGTCTCTAGAGGTAAACATGGTAATGTTTTTGAATCCTAATGAACACAATTCTCTTGGAAAACACTTCCGCGGGAATAAATAGTTGCCCGAATCTGATCCACGATGGATTGGTTCAATCATAATAGTTAATCATGTGGGTCTTACAAAATTTAACGATTGTGATCACACTCGATGCATGACCTCTTTAGCATGGTTGCACAAAAATCCTCAAACTTGGAAAGTTATAGACTACTCGATGAAGTTTGCCCGTAAATAGAGAACATAGAAGCATTCCGAAATCCGAATAAGAACCAAGATTGAGCCTTTTGAGGATATGCCCGCTTCGACTTTTAATTTCCTGTGACATGGTCACGGGGGTTGCTCTCTTTTTCTCCCCCCCTTGGGGAGAAATTCCTTCCTCATTTGATTTTTTCTTTTGTCCTTTCCTGACCGTAAAAGAAAAGCAAGAAATTGATTATTCTATGAATATACAATACAATATCTAATCCACAAAATTCATTTTTTTTTAAAAAGGAAAGAAAAAAAAAAGGGGGGAGGGGGGGAAGTCATCATGCCATTTACCAACCACTCATTGCAACCGAAGGGATGCTGTCTGTCTCGGATACTTATTCTTCGCTCTCTTGTCTTCTTCGTGTCATCCGGAATCTTTAGCCCACCTAAACATATGGCCACTTTGCCCTTACTCTTGACCGATCTCTACCCCTCAACCAGTTGTCAACCCAAAAAAAAGCAAAAAGGAAAGAGAGGAAGAAAAGCATCCTCTTTCCATCCTAGCACTCTTTTTCTCCTTTCCTGGGCCTAAGCAAATCTTCACAAGAATTTATCTTGATCTCATCCAGAAATCGGGATTACCAGAACGTAAAACTTCCGGAGGATATTCCCTTTCCCTGGATTCAGGGGAAATTTGGAGTGTAGGGCGTGCACCGGCACGTTAAAATAAGGAACACACCGTGAAATCCGCTGTCACTGTATATTAAACGGACAGATTGCGGAGGCCCTTGTGGGAGCTTCGGCTCCTCTCTGTAATGAGATTACCTCTTAACCGAACATCAATGATCCACGTATTACCCCTCAACTAGTTGTCAGCCAAAAAGAAAAAGAACCAAAAAGAAAGAAAATGAAGAGAGGAAGAAAAGCATCCCGTTTCGATTCCAGCACTCTTTTCTCCTTTCACATTCTCTACTTTCGTGCCCTTCTTCTTCTCCGTCTGGTCTTGCGTGATTTGGGGCACTATGGTTAATGCCTTAATGGATACGAGATAAGAAATTACCTGGAAATTGTCATTTTTCGAGAATTCTCTTTTTCATCCCTGTAAATTGGTGACGGATTGTTGGGTTTTGACGAGAGGATTTTCGACGCGTGTCTTGGAGACAGGGGCCCGAACTCAAAATGAGGCCGGAAGTTTTGTTCACTTTCCTACATATCGGCTCCCTCCTTCCGTATGCGTCGTGCAGTGGTCCCGTGGGAGCAACGACCACCGCACGACGCAATGGCCATTAGCGGCATCAATGATGGCATTATTGCTAGTCATGATAGAGAAAGAAGAGTGAGATATTCGTTCCATAATTTCTTTCAATTATATCGGCCTTGGTACCCTGATGATGTATTCAGGGCTCTTATCAAATGTATCCAGACCGATCCAATTTGATGTGCATATCCAAACATTGGAAGGATAGCTTTTTTTCCTATCTAGCCTTTTCTTATCCATAACATGTTCTTAGGATTTCACACTCCAAAAAAAACCACAGAAAACTAAGCTTTCATGTCTCCCCCATCATCGTGTGCGGTAGAAGCTCGTTACTTTAAATCGAACACGGCGACGAAGGCCCTGCCTTTCGTTTCACACTAACATGAGGCAACAGCTTCGACGGCCTTTGTCGACTCTTCAATTTTTTCCTTTTTCCTTATTCTTTCACGAGTTATTGGGGGTTGTCCCCAATTGTTTATTTTCGTGAATCAAGAACAATAATTCCCGTTTGGTATCAAAGAGAATTGCTTCTCACCTAACCCACCAAGCATACGTCCCTCTCTATGAATGATTAGACATCGGTCATACAAGATATAGGAAGAAAGGTCGCAAAAGCACCATCTTTTTGCCTACTTCGCAATCCTCACTAGTCATCAGACGTCACATTCCTTCCACCATTCATTTGCACACAACAAATCGATTTTAGATCAAATGGCCCTGTCCATAGTGCGACCAATTCGTCCATTTTCCACGAACTTCGTCTCCATTTCGATGTTTGATGCGGCTCGTGATCGATTCTGAGTCCGCGAACCGTTACAAGGAACGACTCCCTCGTACACGGGTCTCGACAACATAGGCATGTCAGCCCTGTGGCTTTACTTAATTTCTGAAGGGGATTTAACATTTTTCAAGAAATTATTTTATGAATTTTCTCTAATAAACTTAGCGGGTTCCACATGGATCTCATATACGATGTCCGTGTAGAATTCATTGAACAATTACTACCTCCACCTCTACTACAAACGTCCAAAGCTCGTCAATCCAAATGGTTTAGTTTACATCGAATCCAATCACAAATCGGCCTAAACCCATAGGGTTTTCGAGTCACGAGTTAACAAAACAAGTCATTTGATCTTATTCATATGCCGCACATACCAAAATATTAGAATACACAAGGGAGGGTAGGTTTGCCATCTCTTTCCATCAACAATACCTTAGAAGTGAGAGTTGCTTGCGGCTTCTCGTGAATACAAAGTCAGAGAGATAAAAAAAAAAAAAATAGAAGGTCGAGTACATGTCTTCCTTCTACGTTCTTGTCTCGTAGAACATATACGCATAGTTCTTCTTTAGTACACACCGGTTATCTATTTTAGAAAATCTACCTAATCAGTCTTAAATTATTATATGGATGACAATTCAGTCTTCAGCTTTTCAATTTTGCAAATTTAGTCCTAAACCCTTACATGAAATTTCGATGTAGTCATTCCGATCAATTTTTGCTAGAAATGGCTGATGTGGTGGTTCAATCATCGCCAGTTGTCCTGCATGGCATTAGCTGATTTTTTCAACACGCTTGGCAAGGCTTCAGAGATCATATTTATGGATGGGTTCTTCAGTGATTTCCGACGAAAATTGGCCAGAAGGACAATATTGTAATTTCGTGCAAAGGTTTAAGACTAAATTTGTAAAATTGAAATGTATAGGACCGAATTTGTAGCTGCACAATAAATTTAGGATTAATTGGACTAATTTGGTGGGGGAGTTGTTTCTTTCGAAGGCATTCTTCTTGTATGGTGGCGGCCCCGGCTCCAGGCAAAAGATGGGACCAAATGGTGGTATTGATGATTGTCATTGATGGTTGATGATTTAGGTCAAGTGTCTGGAAAACGTTAAGAGAAATCATGAAAAAGTGGAGCAAGTTAGATCTTATATTATAATCGAGATTGGACCATACATTCACTAATTCATATATTACAGTGGAGTAGATAATTCATCCTCTAAAGCTAATCAATAGTCCAATTGCGAAAGTTCTACCGACAGCAAGCAGGTTGGAATCATTAGTGGCCATGATGGCCTTGGGCTGATGAGCTACGTTAGGTTTCCAATGATAAGATGATGTTGAAAAAAGATAGCTTTATATGAGAGTCATCATTACCTCACTTGCGTGTAAGCCTTTGTATGAATTTTTTGATTAATATCGCGAAAAATTCCAAATCGGTATATTTGTGACGAATTTACCTCGAACTAATAGTTTGACTGCCAAAAGTTTCAAACTGGTACACTTGTGATAAATTTACCTTCCGTTAAATTGGATCAATATAACAAAAAATCACACACTGGTAA